TTTTCTTTGTTTGGGATATTATGATGGTAACCAGGGTAGTTTTCCAGGAATATACACAACTGAACTCTAAAATTTCTGCTATGATATATTGTAATCAAAACTCCAGTCAGACTTCCAGTTATTGCAGAGCGCTTTATGTTTGATACTGACCTCTAAAACTGTGTCTTTCTGCTCTGGGATTCCTTCAATAAGAAAATAAAGAGTTGAAATTATCACGTCTTGAATAATCAGTGACTGACAGAGACAGAGAAGCACCGTGACAGAGACCATATTTTCTCTTGTTCCAGCCTTCCAGATATAGAGATTTTCTGCATCCCTGTCCAGAGATCATAAACTGCAGGAGAAAATACAGCGTTTTTTTGAAACCAGAGCATCCGTCTGTTTGTGGCACCACAAGCATGAGCATCGGAGCGGAGTGCCAACCCCTCCCTGAACTGTCCTTTCTTCTGCTGACCTCTGTCTTCTTGGCCTGGCTGACGGGGACTCATTCCAGACGTTTGGAACCGGATCTCGTCGTCTGTTTTTCTGTACATTGTGTACATTTGTTATGACCTTCTCTCTCTCTCTCTCCCTCTCTTTCTCTCTCTTGTTATTCTGCAGTCTGTTCCCTTTGCACATCTCCATGGTGGAGAGGAGTTCACGTGGCTTTAATCTGTTTTGTGACATATACACCACATATATTCACAATTAATCCAAAACTTTTTCACACTGCAATTTTACCATCTAGGTCTACTCTGGGTGTTAATTTTACTGGTTTTCTTGAAAGCTCCTGTGGGGAATTTTGGTTTGTTTTGATTTTGGCGCCCCTTGTGGACAAAGCAGTCTTGGCTTATCTTGTCCTCCACATGCTTTAAGAGTTATTCTAATATCAAAAATCTCCTCCTGTTGACTTTGGACAGCCAAATGTCTTGTTTATTGTAAAAATTGTACATAGAAAAAGGAAAATCAGGGCTGTTTCTGTTACTCAGCTGACATCTATCCCCTCAAATCGATTTTTGGCATAAAAAATTAGGACATAAGTAACATTAATCATGTTGCTGATGGCTGGGTTTGCTTTTGGATATCATAAAAAAGCATTAAAATTATTTTTACTCTCTTTTATAAATGTCCAAAACTCCTGACAGGAGCTTTAAAAACATATTTTCCAGTCATTTTTGTTGTTCAAATCGTTGTTCGGCTCTGTGTCGTTAACAGCAAGTCAAGACTCTCCAATAAAAAACAACTGTAATTCTGCAGATCCCATCACTGGCACTTGCTTGCTTTGCACACTGTTAAGACATGCTGACTATATTATGCTGTTTATATTGTTAAGTTTCCAGATATTGAGGTTGTAAGCTCTAATGTTAAACAAAGCTACACTGTAAGGAACTTGGCTGATAATCATCTAAAAGAAAGCAAATATGTCCATCTTTAAATTGTCAAACTATTCCTTTAATTCCTAGACTCCTTCTGTAGACCCCTCCTATTTATTATTTCGGTGCCTCCTGAGGGCAGGAGCCACAGGTTGGAACCCATTGCTCTATAATAACATAGTCTGTGTGTTGTGAAATGGAGCTTTGATAACACGGCTGTACGTGCTCCACTGTACTTGCTGATCCTCCAAACTTTGGACTCTGCTGCTGATGATGAGTCAGTTTCCAGGGTGAAGAAGAAACAAAACATTTGTTATGTGAGATCTCTTAATGGGAGGTAAATATAGTAACAGTGCCAGATGTTTACGCTGCCGTGCACTTTGACCTCCACGACTGACTCCGTGTGAAGTCTCTGACGAGGCTGTACAACCAACCGTCACGTACCTCGCTTTGCTGTCTCTGCACACTATCTGTCAGCGATGTGTGGGCTGGAGACTCAGAGATTACAACAAGCGTCTCAAGGCCGGTACGGTTGAGCACTCAGCTATTAGCGCTTTTAAACCAATATTGTTCTACAGTCTACACAGGAGGATGGAAATTTCCCTGCACTTGAGGAATACCCTGCTGTAAATCCAGCCCCAGACCACACACTGAGCTGCTGGTGCAACAACTAATTCAGGTCTGTGTGGGAGGAAGTCCCTCACATTCTGCGGCTTCACCTATAGTAAAACACCTTTTCTCCAGTTACCATCTCAAAGTGACTCACAAGCTGTTTGGATTTCACAACTGAGGCCGAGGTGCTTCACACTGATGATCACAGGGGCACTCTGCATGCCTGAGAGGGGAACGACCTGTCTTGACGTCACGCAGAGATCAGAGTCCTGATGCGACACGCGAGGATATCCCCGTTGCTAGGCGCCGGGGTTCCGTGTGTAGATAAACACGGGGGTTCCTGGTCACGGCACACCTGTGTTTGACACTGCCACGCTGTCAGACCTCTACCTGTTGCCGCAACACACTGTTGAGTAACCATAGTTATTTTCCACTGACGATAACTACACTAAGGTATCTGCCATAAAATCAGTGACAGTAGCGTTGGCATGGAAACCAAATAACTCCCTAAGGGGAAAGGTTAAGCTTTTATTCTACTAACCTGTTAGCCTAGTTGTAGCATGAGAAAGTTTATAGCTAAAGCTAAAATTATGTGGTTAATTAAGAGCGATGATTGCATAAAACACCAGGTGCCGTTCGTCTGTGAAGTTTCCCTGACGTATTATTCTCATGTGCCTCTGGGTAAACTGTTATCATAACCCTGCGGTAAATCTCACATAAAAGAGAGTATGTTTATGGCAAATATTTGTGTACATAAGAGAGGATACTCATGTTTTGCTGCAACCAAAGCTTCTGTAAGCAATCACTGGACATGAGGAATATGTCAGGTCTGCCCTCGACTCCTCGGAGGCTGAATTTGCTTTATGAATGCGACCCTCTCATCAGGCGCCAAAAATTCACACGCTCTGCCAAGTATCACACAGAAAGATCCACAGTGAGGCAGAGCGCGTCGACGAGTGTGTGAGGGTGTTTGAAAACCACCTGCATGGATAGAAAATCCCATTAAAAATGTCAGCTTTGCAGAAATTGATCCAGAACCACAGCTCTGGTCTGACAGTGTGCTTTTATATCAGATCATACCTGACAGAAGAAATGCCAAATCATGTTTTTTTCTTTCTTACACCAACACCTAAACTTGAGTTTAAACCAATATAAAGTACGCTAAATACTCCCGTGTGATAAAATGTGTGGATATTATCGCTTTATCACTAATATCATGCTGCTAAGCCTATATGGATATGATATTTCCTTTTGGTTCATTGTTTTGTCTGGCCCTGCAGAGTCAAGAAATCAAAACCAGGGACCTAGAAAACTAGCTAAGCTAAGGTTAGCAGCAGCTCAGCTAAAGGCTGCTTCCTGACATCCTCTGTTCACCAAAGAGATTTGAATAAACGCTAATTTTTGACATTAAAGCTCCTGTGAGGAGTTTTTAGCAGTGACGCCTGTTTATGACACAAAAGCAGGCAAGCCAACCACCGACGAGACTGTTTTAAAATATCATTTTAACACTTGCAATCATTAAAAGGGGATAAATGTCACACGAAATGATCAACAGCACAACCATCTAGCCCCTTTAAAGGGATACTCCGGCGTAAAAATTTAGGGTCAAACACACCATAACACCGAGTCTGACACCCCCTTGAGAGGTGAATGTTGCCGACCGCTTGCTTCTCTAGTTTTACCAACTTTAGTAACGACTGCATGATAGCGATACACAGCAGTCTGAGGAGCCATAAACAAATCTCAACCAAAACACCACTCTACAGCCACAAATAATGCTCAGAACAGCACCTAACTTCATCAACAGTACATATAGAGTCCCAGCCACAGTACTAGCCACCAAACATCTTCTTAACTTTGCCTAATTTCTTTAGCAAAGTGACTAAACACAACTCACCTACTGTCCTCCAGCAGCTGCTTGTTTGTAGCGAGACCTCGGGCCAGTTCATTTTGGACTGCTGCGGAGTGACTCAGCTCAAGGAAAAACATTTATGATCATTTCTTCATGGAAGTGCAACAGACCGAGACGCTAAGGCAGAAGAACTACCGCGTCTGCAGTGAAAATGATTAATATGGTGATTATTACTTCAAGGAAATGATAAAGTAATGTAAAGAATATCCCTTTTTAATTTGATGTAAACTTCACTTCTACTCTCATTTGCCTCTGTGATGATGTCTTGTTATATGCACTGAATACTGTGTATAACAGAGCTTCATCACTAACTTTAAAGTTCTCACTCCTCACTGTTTGTTTTCAGTTGTTTGGTCCTTATCAGCATGTAGGCTAAAACACCAGCTTATTATTCTTTATACGTCTATTTTAGGTCTGCTTCCTTTATACCCACTGACCTACATCAGACAGGAGAGTGCATGAACTTTACCTTCAGTATCAGAGTTTGTTTGTTTTGTTTCCTTGTTAAATAAAGGTTAAGTCAAATCTAGGACTTTTTTCAAAGATCAGACAAATCCTCTTTGCTGCACGGACTGTTCACTGAACCAAATCTATTCAGTCTGAGTGTATAAAGACAAATCTCCCATTATGGAGCTATTGCGACATGAACCAAACTTTCAGCACCTGCTCTGGGTGACTCACATGAAATAAGAATATCACAGTCCCCTTACAAGACTAACTTAAGGGATGACCTCATGCAGGACCACTGCAGTCTGGCTTGGCACGAACAATAGCAGGTCTGTGCTGTGTCCATCCTACATTTCTCTCTAGCATGTCTGTGACCACTGACCACAGTTTGAGTCACATCCTCTCCTGCTCTCCTGCGTGTTTACGGAGCGCTGGTACTCAGTTGCCGATGATATCACGCACCCTGGTTATTAAGAGTTGCACTGTTTGAAAAGACCTCCAGCATAGGGTGGAAAGAACCACCAGGGTTATACCGGACCCCCCTCCTCTCCGTAGTTTTCCCCCGTGTTCAGCATTCCTCATTGGTTTGCGGGACAGGTGCCTACAGATGACTCCATGTCAGCTCAGTGTGATGACTCTCTGACATCACGCGCAAAATGACGCAGGCAGACGATGGAAAATTTTCTCTAAATAGACATTTAATGATTTAAAACAGCGTGGTTACACATAGGAGAGAAGGGGGAACAGGTGTCGGAGTGGAAAACGGGGATCTGTAACTGGTATTCGCTTCACTGTTGAACTTAAATGACCACACTTTCATGTTTATATGCAAAGCTGAATGTCTGAGGAGTCACGCCGACAAATAGAAAGCACAACAGCCATGCAGGAAGGCATCGCTCTGGCATGTTTCAATGGCATCACATGGAGGTAATGGTACAAAAAGAAGAAGAGTGAGCTTTTTCAATTTACAACAAATAACACTGAATTGAATTTCATTAACATGTAACAAATATATACAGATAATCAACAAATAGGAATTGTAGCAGAACAAAGCAGCTTCATATATCCGACTGACCAGAACGTGTGTTTTGAACCTGTGATGGTGGTTACAGTAACTCTGGATGGCTAATGTAACATACTGTCTGACCCACTGTGAAAGGTTTATCTCTTGAAATGGATGTATGGATGTAAACTTCGCTCCTACTTTCATTGGCCTCGCTCACAGTCGTACATCAGAATTACTTCTTTTATTGAAATCTTTCCTAACCGAAGGCTCCATCTAATATTTGCATTGATCAGAAATTAATATACCTTCAACAAATACAAAAAAAAAAAAAATGCAGATACTGACAGTTGACCTCATGACTGACACCTGCCATCGTTAGCAGACAAGTGGTTCAACTCCGCCTCCCCCCTTTCTGAGTTCCACCTGCCTTACAGCCTGCTGCCTACTGGGTCCGGAGCTGGTAATCTGTGGAGGAAATGAAGAGGACTTAATCGAATGTTGAAGGAAAAGTGTAAATGAGAGAAATCAAGAGGAGGCAGCTGATGCTTTCCACCCAAAGTGAATAAAATATAAAGGAAATGAGATGAGGATGTTTGGCAATTAGTGGCAACATTAGCGAAAAGACCAACATGTGCAACCTTGGTAATGTCAGTATGAAGACCAGCGAAGGTCAAGAACAGAGAGAGAGAGAAAAAAAAGAGAAAAAGTTCACTTTCTCACATTTCGCAGGACGTTGCCACATTGCCTCATGTTCTACAGTGTATCCCCTTTTCATAGAACTGCATCATTTCAGAGCTGGTTCCCACCACATTGCATTGTATTGCCCAACTGTTGCCTAATAACTGCACATATGGGCACTCTGTACAACAAGTACTGCTGAACTTTTTGACCTACCTCCGTTCTGGGTGATGTAGCGCACCCACGGCAGAGCCTGATACCCACTCTTCTCAATGATCTTTAGGTAACGCACCTGCAGAGGGAAACAGAGGTGAGCGACTGATGTAAACATAAACAGAGCAAAATAACTGTGCAACAGCTCTTCAAACACTGAATTCTCTGATATGATGCAACTTTTTCTCTCATGATGAACAAAACATGCTTGTGTTCACACAAATTAACTTAATAGATAGCAACATGATGACTTCTGGATGTTTTATATCTACAGTCTAAACATATCCTGCAAGGTACCACAGTGTGGCTGGGGCCTTTTCAGTGCACACTGCAAGGAAGACTAGCTGGTGATCTAAGTGCTAAAACCTTGGCGTGTTTGGTCGATAGGAGAAGAGAATCTAACGTGTTCAAACTGGAATTAACAAAAGCAGAACCACATTTCCATAGTAGATGTGCAAAATGTTGACAAAATGGATATTAAATAATCGAAACACTAAAGGTAATGTAAAAGACATCCAAGACAACAAATCAAAACTGAAAAAAATATCGATTCATGAAAATACATGCACTTTTTTTGTTAACTGCACGATCTTAAAAGGTGACACAACTTTTTAGCATCAAAATAGTTTTTAAAGAATCATCAGTTGACATAAAACAAGCATACAATTAATACATTTCTTTTGCATAACCCAGTGCACCAAGGGCACAATCTACATTAACATGTGCATCCTATCATTTTCTGTTAGTAGACTATTTAAGTATACAGAATGATTGTTTCATTATACAAACAATGGGTCCTTTTTATTCATAAAAATGGGGTTTGTTTATCTAAATTATAAGGTACAGTTTAGGTTAACCCTAATCATGCTTGGGTTTGTGGCAAAAAATAAAAACCCATCGTTTCTTTTTCCCTGTGCGGACTGTCACTGTTTTCACAGAGCTTTTATTTTGAAATTGTATCCAGGTAAGTCCTTTGATAAGAAATCAAAACTAATATAAGCCTTGGGTAAATGTCCACTTATCACACTAGAAGGTAATATTTCTTCTTGTGCAAACCTTCCTCTCCCTGTGCACCAATCCTTGTGCTTGTCTCACTGCTCAGCTGGTGCATGTGTGCTTAAATGGGAGTCATAATAAAATAAGTTAATGACATCCTAGGTGAAGAGTGCTAGATCAAATACTAATGAAGTTCTCTTATAAAATATTTTGACTCTCGTCTCTGTTGTGCCTTTGCAAACCAGCAGCTCTAAACTTTTCAGAGCCTCCTTTCAGTCCTGCAGGGAGCCCGTATTCAAGACTCAAAAGTTAGATTTTCTGTGGAGTGCTCTGCAGGGTGAAAGTTGTAAGTTGTAGTAAGAGTGGTGTTGATGAGGAAGCTATAGTATGAGTCACCCTGAGAAGGAGGAAGCAAAAACAGAACAGCTTTCAAGGGACATACAGAGTGAATTTACATAACTGTAACAAGCTGTTTTTTAGGGCTGAGAGGAAAAAATATGCAGCATTAGCATTACTGAGATACAACTTTCACAAGCCATTAACTGATATTTCACCACAGCCCATGTTACCACACAGATGAGTTACGAGAAGACGCTCTAAAAATAACCCGACACTGACCATCCCTGGACATGATGGCCCACATTTTTGACAAGTCAGGTGGAGAAAAAAACAACACAGCCCGTCCATCTTGTTGATAAAAGTCAAAATGTCCTTAATTGATTCGAGTGATCCTCTCTTTTACAGTTCAGCCACTATAACATTAAGGACTCGCTCCTTTGTGGTTTGACATTTCATCTTGCGGTGGCAGTATCTGTTCCGTCACGACGATAATTACAAATCTCTATGTTCAAACTTTCACACAAAACTTTCTGCGAAGAAAAAAAGTCGAGATCCGCTCTCTCACAATTAGCAGGGATACCAGCGCGGCCATTTTAGGGCTGACACGACCCCTCTCTGGGAAATGTCGCTGGTTCTCAGCTGAAAGCGGGGCAGACAGAGCAGGAATTTGTGGGTCGGGAGATGGCGGTCCTCGGTAGTGGCCGCCTTGTTATTACCTTCCACTACACAGTGAGGTCAGAGAGAGAGAGAGCGAGAGAGAGCGCCTTGGCCACCAGACACATGACGACAAACACATAGACACAGGATCAGACGGTTTGCCTGCGCAGCAACTTCTCTCTCAACCCAGCAGCCAAACATGCAGCCGGCCTGACCGTGGCTACGCAGTCAGCAAAACGCCACCAGAAGCCATCCTCCGCAAAATATCATTATGGCTTGTAAGATGAGAAGGGGCACGGAGGATGTTTGTTGTATCGCGTTTGGTAAGTACAGACTACATGTGTGGTCTGGATTTATCAGGCTTTCGGTCGAAGCCATGGCCCCTAAAAGTATCTGCCAGCTTGTTTGGCTTCCCTCGACATCACCTAAAGACAGGAGATTTGAGAAAGTAACTACAGTTCTGCTCTCACTGCCACCCGGCCAAAGTGAGGGGTTCCTCCATTTCCAGTCAAATTTACAAGGTGCAGTGACGTGCATTATGCACACATGACATGTACTGTCCCCTGCACTTAGTGGTGGAGTTAAGAGGAACTTTCTCATGCTTTGATATTGACATGCGTCTAATTAAACTTCACACGGCCTCTTCTCACTCGGAGAGTGTTGCATTAGAGTCTTGAGACCCAGTCTGCTGCTGCTGCCCTGTAATAAGGGGAAGGTTTAAGGCCCGGCATGTGAGTTCGATGGGAATATTGCTCTTAATAGGCCACCTCTGATATGATGAGTGCACCGCAGAGGGATCACAAACACGAGGAAAGAGTTCAGACTGTGGGACGGAGAGGGAGTAGATCTTATGTGTAGTTCCCAGTAAAGCTCTGGATCTCGTAGAGTAAAAAAGATGTTTTTTTTTACGTTACGATAGGATTTTTAAAAAGTCATGTGCGGTGCTTTAGTATTAAATCAGTGACTCAACTACAAAGTGGTACATATTTTCAGATGTCACATCGAAAAGTCCCCTGGGGTGCGCTGTGGTTTTCAGAATCAGATTTGTTCAGGTGGCTTCCTTCTAGACCGTTGAAGAAAATACAAATTTAACAGAAGAAAAAAACTGCTTTTGACATTTGGTCACTTTCAGAAGTTTTGGCATGTTTTTCGATTCAGTCAACGTTCAGACTGTCTACTGACCTCAATTCAACAGAGTAGTCAACAGTTCTAACGGCTCTGTCTTTAAAACAGAGTTAAAATGTGAAATATTTAGAGGATTAGGAGAAACTAAAATCTGACACATTGCATGTGCATCTGATGCATTTATTTCATCTACATTATCTTTTCCACTCTATTCTTTATATTCCTGTTTATTTTCTACTTTTATAAGCACTTCTGGGCAATTGCATACATGTTTATGTTGCATATAACTTTAATCTGAAACCTGATTTTAAAATAAAGCATCTCGACTTTTGAAGAAGAGAAGTTTTATGATCATAAACTGTTTTGTATGGGTGGTGAAATCATTTTCATTCATTTATTTACTTTAAGATTTCTTTCTGGGCTTTTATTGGCTGACAGAAGACAGTAAATAGAGCAGGAAATAGGGCAGAGAGCGGGGATGACACGCTGGAAAGGTGCAATAACGAGTCAGCAGAACAAGTCAGCAGTAGATCACTGAAACTACTAAAAACAGGATACATCTAGCGATCAGATGAGTAAGCCTGGTCCTACTGTGTATAACATGACCTTTGGTTTCATTTAATTTCATTTGTATCTATTAAGTTGTATTATCTGGCATAGTTGTCTTAACCTTAAACTTGTTATGTCCCATCTTCTAAATATGAAAGCTGAACTCCTCCTAACACTCAGGTCACTTTAATCATGTGCAAAACTTTATGTGCATTTGTAGACTGTCCAAATTTCCCCCATGGAGGACAATAAAGTTGATTCTGATTCAGATATTTCCTTACAATTTAAAAACTTAACAGAGTTCTGAACTAAGAGACTTTTTTCTATTTTGAACCATGACAAAATTAAAAATGTGACAGCTGACCCTCTTTTGTAGACATAAAATTAACTGTTGAAGGGGGCGCTAATGTAGTAGGTTGTGCTTTAAATCAGCTTTTAACACTTTGAACACTTCTTTTTGCACCTTTAGATGGTGGAAATTGTTTATAAAACCTCAAAGAATGGTCAAACTTAAGAAACCGACTCAAAGAAAAGTCTCCCTCTCCCAGACCTTGACAACAACTCACTGATCGAGCATGCCGACGCTAACTCATCTGGCTCGACCAGCTCTGAGCATGCCCAGGGAGATGCACCGGAGAAGGATGCCTCCCCGTCGCTCATCCTGGAGGCCATTAAATGGATGGAAAACTCTATAAAATCAACTGCTGAGGCCTTTTTTTCTTTAAAATTTAACACATAAGGACGAGGCTTCTTCTCTGGACTGTAAACCGACTCTAACCCTGCATTCGTTGCTCTACTGAGACTTCATGCACTTGCTTTTATTCGTGCATCTGTTCATTTATAGATTGGCAAAGATTTGAAGGGAAGAGGAGAGGAAAGTGAGTTTATTTCTTCTAGCTGCCAAATTACCCTGGAAAATTACAAGTGCGCTTATGTTGCCAAAATCACCCCAATTAGAAGTACTATATATTTCAATTAACATCACAGTGAGCGGCTTGTTTCCGAGTGGGCTGCATAATGTCCACACAACTTAATAACCTTTTATTGACTATCATAGGAAATGTGGAGAATGAGGAAAAAATTACCTGGAGCTCTTTAAATGAGAGTCAGATGGAGAAAAAAAATGACATGTTAAGACTTTAATAAAGTCTGTGACCGACCAGGGCAGTAAACTTGTAGCAGTATCAATTTACAGTCCTTCTTGAGTTTTTGGTTTTAGGCCGACTATTCTGTATGAAAAATCTAAGTTTTAGGAAGCTAGAGAGAGAGAGAGAGAGAGAGAGAGAGAGCTATTTCTCAAGTAACAATACTTTATTCTGAAATTTGCAGGACCTGTTGTGAGGTCTGATTGATCTACAAGATCACTGAAATAAGTCTAAGGTTTATATAAACACTTCTTTTCTGTGATTCCTGTGTTTGAAATACTTCAGCTATCATTTCAGGTCTTGTAATTTGAGGCGGTGTTATCAACCCTGTGTCCTATATTCCCTTAAGGAAACACCTATTTCTTAGAACGCACTACTAATTTACAACTTTTGAGTACAGCGTCTCCTGACAATATTTCAGTTTAGACGCTCTGGTTTTAGACAAACAAGCACAGCCTGAGAATGAGATCTACAAAATGTAACATGGGTTGTAATTGTCCCTGCTGAAAACAGTGTTTTCGTCTTCTACACAATAATATGATATTTTCAAACAGAGATTGTCAGGTCAAGCAGTTTCCTCACATCAAGACATTGGGAAACGTAGGTTCATGTTACGGTGGTGCTGCACACATAATCATAGGACGACTGTGATTACACAGTAGGTGCAGCACATCTGTGTAAATCTGCGGTCACTCCGAGTTTTCATTTGAAACATGAGGGAAAAACATTAGCTTCTCTTTAAGTATCATGGGAATTACAATCAAAATCCAATAAATCTTCTTACGTGTAACTAAGAGCGACGTTTTGTATCACTGTGATTAACAGGAGGGCACAGGGCCATGACTCAGTCTGGTTTGTTTAACACTCCACCACATGAGGAGTCTCTCAGCTGAACTGTGCTCCCTTACTGCCCCCTCTGGACAAAACCAGCACAGAGATGAATTGTTTGAATTCCTGCTCGGGAGAGAGCGTTTGTTTGAGACGGTGCTGCTGCTGCTGCTACGTGCTGTCTATTCTAAATCAAGGATGACAGGGAAACAACAGAGAACCACAAGATATTTGGACTATGCAAGCATGCATGTGCACTGGACTGTAAACAGACAGCAAAACAAAAGTGCTGAATTTGTTTTCGTCGTGTCCCTCAGGGTTTCCCAACAGGAATGATCAACACACACTTGGACTGACACTTCCTGTGATTAAATCCTATCTGAACTCTTTATTTCTCTCAGGGGGATTATGTTTGAACTAATGTAACCTCTGCCTATGAGCTGCTACATGGAGGTTAAAGTTATTTCATCCTCTGGCTGTCAGGAGTCACATGAGTACACAGTGTGTGCTGAGATGTACCTGGATGCCTGAGGTGGTGAAGTACGGGATCTCGAACTTGACACTGATTGGTGGCTTCCCCTCCTTGTCTTCAGCCTCCACACTTGGCAGACCAAAGTGGGCTCGCATCAAATACTCTTTCCCACCCTGTAATGAGTCACAGCGCAAACTCTAAACCTCATAGTTTAAACCAAATCAAATCAGCTTCATTTAAACATGAACTTCAGGCCAAGTGCAGGAACTGACATGAGAACAAGTTAAAAGCATCTAAACTTCGACCAAAATCAAAAGTAAAACTTATAACCGTCAGTCTTTAAACCGTCTATATCATACTCATGAGTCACGGTTTCTGCTCACAGGGAAGGACTTGATAGACCAGACGATCTCGCTGTTCTCAGGCACCCACTTCACGCTGCCCACTGTGGTCTTGAATTTGGGTGAGTCAGCGTCCGTTGGCACAGGAATGTGGATCTCCACGTTGTTGGCTGTGGAACGCCTTTTGAACTGGCTCTTAGCCTAAACCAAGAAACGAGCAGGTCAAGTTAAACAGGGTGTCCTGACCAAACCAGGTATTAAACCAGGGCTTAATGAGAGCTTTAAATGTGTATCAAAACGGTGTGAAAATAAGATACAAACTCAAAGATCCAGTCAGTCCCAGAAATCAGTTACAACATGCTGGTCTTTGCTGTCATGGTTCACATGTTATAATCCCTTTGAGGTCTTCACAGACGCCGAATCCTGTTCCTCTACTTTTTCTTTTTTAATAATCACTATGGAATCTCTTTGTCACAATAAAAACAACAACAATGTTGCTATGACTGACACGAAAACTGACGCAACAAGAGAAAAGTGACTAACCTTAATCATGTACTCGATCCGACTGTGGGAGTGCTTCTCAATAACAGATTCAATCCAGATCAAGGGTTTCACCTGCGACACAAAAAACACTCTTTAATCCAGACTTTCAATCAAGTTATTTCAAGTGTTATCAATAATATCAAACATAAATGTCAGTGTGAGATAAGATATGACACAGTCACCACCTGGTGGACAATAAGTATTACTACAAAAGGTCCAATAAACAGCTTTATGATAGTACAGACACTGGGCAAATATTTTTTATGTTCTAACCTGATAAAAACAGAAAAAAGTTTTCATTCAAGTTTAGACTGTGTTCAAAATGTGCTTCCTGTTGTCTAAACTGGAGACGAAATCTAGGGGAAAACACGAATTGCGTAAAACTTTAGGATGGGGGGGGGGGGGGCAGTTAACTCACTTTCATTGTGCAACATGTGCCTTAGAATATAACCACTGGTCGGTACGTGCGCTGTTTGCCCAATCATCAATGTACTTTTGAGGCCTGCAAGCCTGTAAACCAGCCTACATGATAAATGTTTCATCTTTGACGAACCATGATAATCTATCTAAAACTTTTTAATATTGAAGAACTTCATTGTTCTTTAAACGTCTGTAACTCTTCAGAAATAGTGACTGAGTTTCACACATGCTGAGCAAAACTTTTTACATTTGGAAAAAAAGGTTTGTCGGTTTCCTCGGTCGATAAACTGTAACAATAACAGTTTTAAGATTACCTGAAAGTTTTTGTGCTTCATTTAATGTTGTATTTTGTCAACAGTTGCTGATACACACTCTAGGGTTGCACTTTACGATTGAACTTTATTGTCATTGCAAAATTTATGGAAAAATCGACAGCACCATTGGACAAATTAAGGGAAGTCAAGACAAGGTTGGACTGACACGTTTCTTTGTAAACTTCTCTATTAAACACATTTTACAAACTCAGATGTTCTCTTTTAATTTAATTGATTTTCAAAGTTTCGTTCTGACAGAAACTCCTTCAGAGAGGAGACTGCCTCGTAAAAACGTCGTCTGTTATGCTTTTATTTTGACATTTTTACTGTCTTGCTCAAAGGTTGCTTTGTACACATTACTTTAGCCCTGACAAAAATTATCGTAAATCTTAATTATTGTAGATCGTAAACTACAAAACCGAATGAAAACACCCAAAAAACCCAAACTGTTATCAAGTATAAATGTTTGTGTATTATTTCCTGAGGATCATAATTTTCAAAATACTAGGCTATCACTGTTGCTCTGTACTATATGGACCATGTACCTATATGGTGTTATCCTTTGCTTATTTGAAGCACATTATCAAAATTCATATTTTTAAAGGCGGTTATTATCAATACTTGTGTATCACAGCAGCCCTAATGTGCACAAATACCACCCCTTTAAAATGAGCAGATATTGGCAATGAGCTATTGCAGGTGTTAGTTTGAGCCGCTCTTCTCATATACAGGGGAATCAACCTGATTATCAGACACAGTGAGTCGGAAAGTGTTGGATGCTCACATGAGTGTTGAGGCGGTAGGACATGAGCTCAAACTCTCCATCAGGAGGAATGAAGGAGATGGTGCGGTCGTTTTCAAAACGAGACAGACGGACACACTGGTGGAACTTAACATCCTCCAGCTCCACTGATTTACTCTTCCCTCCTGCGTGAAAAACAAACACACAATTGAAAAGTAGAAAAACAGCAAAATAACTGTAACTGCTGTATATTAAGTGACAGTCTTTGCATGCACAAGTTACTTTTACAATCAGTGTAGATACACAAACACAGTATGATTGGACAATTTAACAAGGTTCTGGAAGACCTGTCTGACTCCAGCTACCTTAAAAAGGTGTTAAATACTCATTACATCCTCCATCACATTATCTCTTTCCCCTTAGATGGTTCTTAACACAGTATGGATGAAAGTTGTTTAATGCCAGACTCACTTCCAGTGTTTTCAAACAGAACCTTGTCATTCAGGCCCAACCGCAACTCAGGCATCCCAGACAGGAAGACGCGCATCTTAATGGAGCCGACAATCTCACTGCGGAGAACATTACCATTGGCACTAACCTGAAAATTCACAGGATTACCAGAGTCAGCATTTACTTCAGGGATAAAAAAAGGTCAAATTCGTGTGGCTAATGTTTTGACGCAGGCAAGGAGGAAGTTTACAGGCACTGTCATTCCTTAAGCAACACCGCGCTGCTAAAAGAAGGAGTTCCTACCAGGAGGTTGACTGACTCAATGACGTCCAGGAAGACCTCATTCTTCCTGTACTTTATACCCTCTGACCTCCAGGACACAGCGTTGGTGACTGTGGCAGGGGGTCTCGGGGCGCCAGTGTCAAGCTTGTGTCCCTCTTGGGTTATGTATCTAAGAGACAAAAATGTAAACACAGAGACAAAACGGAGAAAAGGGGAAATCAACTGTCTGCAGTATAGGTTCCCAGAAAGCATCAAAGACGAACAGAGAGTCTCATGGTTACTACAGGGAGGAATCTCTGACTGATTGCTGAAGTCTAGGGGAAACCCAGAGTTAGGTTGGTTACGTCTGCATCAACCACAGCTCTGTAAGTTTAAACGGTCATCCACAAATCTGTGCAAACCACAGCGCTGAGAGTTTAAACATTCATCCAGGACAGCGACCTCGATTTGACTTGCAGATACACTGGAATGATCAAGAAATCTGTCATATCAGATTTAACGGCTCTGCAGCAATTAATAAAAAAAAACCCTTTCCACCACAACGAAGGCCCCACGCTTTGTAATTCTCTAGTTGAAAAAACCGCAAGGATGTTGATAACGGAACACTTCATCGACACATACTGTGCCTAAAATGTGTCAGTGAGAAGAATTTAACTTTCATGAGAAAATGATGGTAAAATCGATGATAAAATACAGTGTTTGGACTTAATATTTACACCTAAATTTTAAGAAAACATAATACCAACTCTTTCAGACCTCTTTCTTATAAAAAATGTAGCTTAATCCCCAAAATGGAACTAATTAGTTCACATGAAATCTCATTAATTTAGGGTTTTGTTGTAAATTTGCAAATAAATCCGGTAGTTTGATTCTTGTAAACCATTTTTTCTTGTAGATCAACAACTTTATTCCTCAAAGTAAAAACTCATTTTTGTTTCATTAGTATTTTAGCCCCAATTTTCTCTCTTTTTCATCCTTGAAGTGTCCCTAATCTTCTGTCATGCTTTAGATTTAGCGTCACCCAAGTTTGATGCTTGTTTAAGTGCGGCATCTCGACTCTGTGACAGACATGTAAAAGAATAACAGAAACACCCTGATAAACACGACAACAATGCTGATGGGCTGTCTCCTGAAACACTTTAAATATTGATGTTGAGTAATATGTTGACGTGTTAACTTGTAAAGTGACGAACATGAAGTGACATGAGCTGCATTTATAAAGAAATTGAATTTAGTGGCATTTACAGTCATTAGACACAGAACCTTTCAGCAAAGATCTTAAAAGTTATTTAAATCTTCAGCCTTTAAAAAGTTATTTCGAGCAGTTATCATAGGTGTATTAAAAATCCTGCAGCATCCTGGACTTCTCTTGCATTGGTGAGATAAAGCACTTAATTTGGCCCCTCAGTGCAGAATCTGCTATAACTCAACAAACCACCAGATGTCAGCATGTGTCCTGAGTTAGCAAGATTTTTTTTGGCACAAGAAAAGAAAAGGCCTCAATGGATTTCATCCACCCTTCAGTGAAAGGGAGACAAACCCACTACAGAAAATATCTTCTCCTTCATTAGAAGCTTTAACACTTTCTCTACAGTGAGCATCACAGTTTAGGCTTGTAGGTCTGCCCAGATATCCTCTGTAAAACATTTTAACTCAAATACTGGCAGATTTCCCATTTGGTGGGTAAATTTCAGAGTGTTATCCGCCATATGACGAGAAAATATTTGTACCAGAACACTTGTGTTATAAAATAATCATACTAGCTTTTTAACATGTATCCACGGCTTCTTTTCCTCCTACTACTTATGCTGTCTGTGTGTCAAAGCCTTGCGGGGTCAAGTAGACACACAAACCCCCGCACACAAACGCACACACAGTGATGTCACATTTCAGTGTGGACTACTCTGGACAGCAGCGACCTACCCTTCTGAAACTGAGTTTTGGATTTATGACGTAGTTATTAACTAAAGGCCCATTTCAGTTTTTTAATCTCTGAACCTGCAGGAGGCTTGATATTAATTTTTAACCTCAGAGGTGATGTGAGTGAGTGCACTCTGTGCTACTTCTCCAGCTCCTTACTGTAACAAACAACTTGGAGATTATTTATGTGTACCTTTGCACCTCTACGAACAGATGAGGGCTCTTTGATAGATCTTAACGCATCAGTTATAAACACATAACACTAAATAATGCTCTGAATGCATGCCCACCTTCCCAAAAATGTTCCATCTATCTCCCTTTGTAGCAATTATGGATGATTATGAGTGTATCTATGAAAATATCTGAGAAAAAGATGTTATATTTTCCTGTTTTAGAGATACACAGAAAATTTTGCAATATGTTTTGCAAGAACACCAAAAGAATGGTATGCTATTTAAATTGGACCTTGATTATACCGATTAAGAATTTGCTGGGTTACAGCTTTTTATTTACTAAAGAAATGAGTACTCACTCTTGGAGAATCTTGCTGTCTGTGGTTTGAGGATAGCCAAAGTCCATCAGCTCGTCCATCAGCTCATATATGATGACAAAGTTATCTCTGATGCTCTCTTCTTCCAGTTCTTTAAAATACTCTGAAAATACCTGAAAAGTACAGACACTGTTTTTAATATTCCTGTTTGGTTATAATAATAATAATAATAATAATTTTATTCATATAGCACCTTTAAAAACAGAAGTTTACAAAGTGCTTAGACAACAGTTGTAAGCACAACTATCACTGTTAATATAGAGTACAAATTCTTGAGGATACATGTTTGCCTCTTTTGGTGTTGGTTATCACCTTAATTCACTTAGAAAAGAGCATGTTATAGAAAACAACTCTACCTGGACAATTTTGTACAAGAAGGAGAAGACCAGCGAGACGCTAGCATTTTTCTTGGATGTTGCAACCACTGATGAGATGTGTGTTAAGAATTTTAACTATAATCCAGTACATAAAATGTAAAAGACCAGATGAAACTTGGGTGCAAATACCAAACAGTGGAAATCAAGAAGGATACAGTAGAGGTTATTATGTTTGATCCACATGAAACGAACTCCTCCGTGGGCCAGGATTGGAGAGAGCGTCCCCTCCTCCTCTTTGTCCATCAGCAGGGTCATGAAGTGCTCGATCTCTGACATGTCCACATCTCCGCGGTAATTTCGACACACAAGGACCTGAAGGAACACATTACACAGAACAGGCGCAGTGTCATGACAGTATTTCTGAGAACATCAGTACTATCTCGGCCTGCAGGCTATGAGAAATGACCTGTGCGATGACACTGCTCAATTTTGCAACAGCATTACAAAGTGTGATAAACAAGCACACATAAAAGTATGAATATGATTAATCAGAGCTAGGCAATACAACGATAACGATGTATCTTAAATTAATTTTCCTCAATATCAATATAAAATACAGTCAAAATGCTTTTTGATAGTCGGAATTTTGCCATGTTTTGGTAGACTATACGAATAGCCAATGAAAAGGGGAGTTGCTCCGGGTCTGCTTCGCGCTGAACCAATCATGTGCTGAATTAGAAACAACTGCGTGGTAGCAGGCTACAGCTACACGCAGTTGTTGCACTTTAACACGTGAAGCCGACAGCACTGTTGGTGAGAAAAAAGAAAATGAGTGCTACCCCCCGCAGAAATGCAGACGAAGGCTCAGCAGATGATGATATTGTTGACAACACGGGGACAAAAACATCGGTGGTGTGGAGGTATTTTGTTTTTCTGAGTTCAGACATCAAGCAGAGTAAGGTGCACTGCAAGTTATGTCGAGTACATACTCTCGCAAAGTCGGGGAATACCTCAAATCTTTTTCACTACCTGAAGCAGTGCCACGCCGCCGAGCAAGCGCAATGCAAAAGGTTACAAACCCCGAGAGGAGCAAGGAGCTCATGGCGCCTGTGCAGCCAAAAGAGCCGACTATTCAGGCTGCTTTCTCTAGCCCAACACCTTATGACGAAACTATAATGAGACACAAACACCCAACAGATGCAGTAGCTTATTGTATTGCAAAAGGCATGCTTCCAATAGCCACTGTTAAATTTCATTTTTTATATTGTGACATATATCGATATCGACTGATTCGAGAAAAATAAGTCATGATAAACCTTTTCCCATATCACCCAGCCCTATGATAAATGATCCCTAATGTGAACTAAGCACTTTGAAGGCCCCTGACACCTTTCTTCAGATGAGGGAAAAACTGGAAGGACTTCCCACCAGTTTCACACTTCCAGAGCTAAACTGTCCTTTTTTACTCACAACAATTAAGTGTTTTTTCTTTTGGCTCATAACAACAATCTTCTTTGCACGGCACTTTAATGTAAAAGACAGACTTACAAATAGCAAGACTGTCAACATAGAAAAGTATTCAATAGTTTTACCCTGAATAGAGTCAAATCACTGCATATACTGTAGCAGATAGTTTGATAAAATATACATAAACACAATTTGGGTGTTGTTAATCCTCCTCCCCCACCTCCACCATCATGAGTTAGGAATAAGTACTCAGGACTAAGGATTTATAGTGCATTTATGATAAGGTAAATTTTACTGTTACATGGTTATAACCACAGACAAGTACTTTTACTTCTTCTTGAGTAAGATGTCACTGAACTTTTACCTGAGAGGAGTATTTTGGTTCTCTTTCCATCCCTCTTTTACTCTGAGTAGATGAAAGGAAGGAAACAGCTGATAATAGGAGGAAGCTCAATAAGAAAGGCCTGGTTTGAAGGAAATGAGGTGTAGAATAGAGTATTCTCAACAACAAATTGATCAAAGTCTCATCATCCTCCTCAGAAAACAGCTGATCACCTCAGTTAGTCTGATCACCTGAGTTACTCTGCGTGTCTGCCGTTATTTTCCTTACACTTACGTGGCCTTATACTCCCCAGTTTTTCACATTACACTATATAAACCATCTTCATTAGGTGAACTATAAGAGCTTGGATAAGAAGCCAAACTTCTTTACCATCATATGAACCTGTTCCGCTGGGTAAAGTGAGCTGCTGCAGGTTCAACCACATCATAATGTGTCACTGAGGAATGTGTTAGCCGGGCTAACGTTAGCTTAGCAGCGCAGCATCACTCCGTTATCTTACCTTTCCTTTCAAATCCAAGACATAAACAGCACTCGCAGACATCCTGAACTAATTTAATCGAGCTTAGTTCAGCTCGCTTTCAGTGCTTCGTTAATATTTTCTGATAATGACTAGTTAATAGCTAACATTAGGACACAGACTTTCATTCATAATACTGAGAAGAGGAAAGCAAAAACCCTTCCCTTTTCTTTAAACCATCCATGGAACTGACGAGCGCCCCCTGTCGGCCAGGAGGACACAGTGACGGTGAAATGATAGATTAGTGTGCAGTATTTATCTTCTAGTCCCCTACACAATTAACCTTCCTGCTGTGTTAGTTTTTACTACGCACTCACTATGTTAAGGGTCGGTTTTGACCAGTGTCTTAAATCAGCTGTAAATTATACTAAAAAGGAAACAGCCGATAATAGGAGGAAGCTCAATAAGAAAACTATCATCCAATTTGGTTCTCACCTCTAGGTTACCTTATTAAGCTTCATTATCCATGAAAATATTGCTTATAATAGTTTTTGTAGTGGGCCTCTGGGCCTTTCTTTGTCAGTATACCCCTCATACAGACATCTATCCTGAATTGATCTCACATGTCTGGACATGCCCGATGTTGTTTTTTGTGCAGGGAAAAACAGGCAAAATGAGAATTTTCTAAATCTCACATGATTGGAAGAGGATCTGACTGTCAGTGTGGTGTCTGGCAGTGCACTTATGATTTCAGTTTTTGCTCTAATTAATATATATTGATCTAACCGGGTCAACAGTAACCCTCACACGACAAGTGCCATAATTTTAATGAAAGCATTTTATAATTTAGTCAATTTAATTTTTTTTGATTTTATGTTGTTGATATAGAGGTTCCTGACAAAGTCAAAAAGACTTGATGCAAATAAACTAATTTATGTGGTTCTTTTAAGCATTTAAAATCAAAAACGGGTCGGTGCAGACCCTAACACAGGAGGAGGGTTAAACGTTAACAAAGACATAGGATGTGCTCAATTTCGGGATTTCTATTGTCATTCAGGAAGCTTTGTTATTGTTTTACACAATTCACACCTACAAAACTCTTAACAGATTTAAACCGGTCATAACAGCCTCTGACTTAATTTCTTCATATCCTAAAACACAGCACTCCAGAAGCCTCCTTCACTAACGCCATGCTACAACGTTTTAATCAATGAGTTAACAAGTACTTTCTTTTGAAAGTACTTGACAAATTATGAAATGTTCTGGATTCTAATTCTGACCTGGAAATACTGGAAAGGGACAAAAACATCCCCAGACACTAAGATCAGGCAAGTGCATGTCTGTTTAAGGTGATTCAGAAATCACTGATGTCATGAACTGAGTAAATCTAGCATCTGGAGCAGTCTACAGTCACACCCTGGGATTACTCTAACACATGTTTTCTAACACATGGTATCCAATATTTAACTTTACATTCTTTTAAATCATTGAATGGATAAAAAAAGCATATTGTCGCCTCTTTGAGTGATAATTTGGCACAGAGGTGTAGAATCAGACTTAAATATGAATTTCTTCTTTTTAAAGCACTTAATCCAAAGCATTGGCACACACACACACGCCCACGCGCTCACACACAGATGCAAGAAGTGGGCTGTGTAGTTTCATCTTTTCATGTGGTCACTCAGTTGCTCCCATATGACAATCACTCTTTTCCTCTGTAGCTGTGTGGTAAACCACTGTAGGATGAAGTGATAAGAAGTGTGGATAATTTGCAAGGCAAAAACAAAACTTGATTTGATTGTTAAATCACTCAATTTATCAAGGCACCTGTCCTTGGTCCTAGTTGATCCTTACATTTATTCCTAAATGGTAGACAACTTTTAAAGCTGTCATGGTTTCTGAAATGTGTTTGAGACACCTTTTTTTCCTGACACTGATCTTGTTTTTACCTTGTAGCTCCCCCCTCTGGACAAATGGTTAATCCACATGAAACAACTTTACCAGTGTTTTTCAGTTTGGCTCCAAACTTCAATACACCCCCTTAAGATTTGTCAGCGTGGAATGCATTAAAAATCCTATTCGAATTTTAGCAGGGCAAATTCATTATTAAAAATATCAGTTCTATTTTGAAGTCCATAAAAGTTCAGTCACTCTTGACTTTTATTATTTACTTAGTGGATATCACTTCATCCACAAAGACTTCAAATATGTCGGCAGGAGAGGCACAATCTGGAGCCATATTATTAAGCAAGCGTCATTGTGGGCTTCGTTATCACTTTTCCTTTTAAATTAAAAGAGACAGTGTAACTTCTGTCATTAAAACACCCCCACACTAATGAAACTGTAACTCTTATTTGAACCCTTGAGTACTCATGTTTTATTTCTATTGTTGACTGTAAGAAAAAAATCTCTTTTGGAAGTCAAAATAAACCCAAGAGTCAATCCATTCATCACTATATTTCAAGGCTAGCTGGTATAATAGTAAGAGGAGTTTTTCATCAGCCTCGTGGGCCGAATCTTACTCCATCCCACACTCATTATGTATTTCTATTGTACATGTGCAAACATGTGCGTCTAATTTGAACTCATTGTCCTCATTCAGCTGCACTTCATTAGTGAGCGTCGTCATTGTCTTAAGTTCTGGTGTGACCTCCATACTGACTTAAAACTGAAACTCTTCGAACTTCATCATCTCACTGACCATAAATTTGTGTTAATCTCAAACAGCTGCCAGGCAACAAGAACTGACTTCATCAGCATTAAAAAGACCTCTGAAACACAAGTCGAAGTAATGCCGCTTCGTTAAACTATAAATATATCTCTTATTAATATGTCAGTGTTTTTTAGCACACAAAGCTACTTGAGGAATTATGGAGGTAGCAAAGGCTTAGCAGTAAAATAACGTGGGTTTAAAGGCTCGCTCAAGAACACAAACTTTAACAGCTGGTATTTTTCACAGCTGTGTGTGTGTGGAGAGACAGAGATGTGAGGCGATGACGGATGGAGAAGGACTACAAGGGAGCACTTGATGAGAGATGTTTCAGAGAATACAGGCGCTTAAAATCTGCTTTGGATTTGGATTTTAAAAAAGTGACCGAGAGACAGATAGAAATACTTTTTTAAAAATGGATACTGACAAATACATGATTTTTTTTCCCATCTAAGATCAGCACTCCCGTTTGGCGTGGAAAGCCTTTCAGCACTGAGCTTGTGCATGACAACTGAGCCCTCTTTAAAGTGACACATCTCAGATCCCTTGGCCTGTAAGATGGAGTCTAGACATTGTCAGAAGTCATGGATATAAGCGGACTGAGTTACAGAGCCAAATATAACAGATTGCTCCTTCACTTAACCACTTCCATATACTCTATAGTGTACAGTCACTCCATACTCTGTAGTGTGTGTGTTTGTGGCTGTGGTTGGCGAATCAGTGGATGTGGTTGCGTAGTTAATGAACATGTTTGTGCAGAAGCCTCAGAGCTGAACAAGCCCGGTGACGTGTTTACTTGTGATACTGAACGGACTTGTTTGGGTGCACCCTGAGTCAGGACATGGCATAGGTGTTACGCACTTAATAAGTCATGTGCAGGTGTTGCCACAGCAAACTTGTGGAACATGAGACTCTTATTTTTCTCTCCTTAGATTGGTACATGGAAGAAAAAGTGTAATATCTGCTTGTCAAATAGATTTTTACTTAAATTGTTTAGCCGTAGACCCATCAGTGTTCACATGTTCTTGCTTGACATCAACACTTAAGGTGGCTAAAACAGTCGTAGTCTGAGCTCTTCAAGCATTCATATACACTCTAATCTGCTTCACCATTCCCATGGCTTTGTGATTTATACTTAGCAGGACTTTGACTCTACTCCCAAGACGATCCTGTGGCTTTTTGGGGGAGTTTTTACCATACAAGGAGAAGAGGAGTTTAGCTGTGTTTCCTGTGGGAGGTTTCTGATTTCTCTCACTCTGCATCTGATTCACTCTGCCTCTATTCCTCACTCTACCTCCTCCCTCTTTCTCCCTATCTCAATTTTCTTCTCACTGAACAACCTAAAGAATTTAAGTATTAAAAGAAAACATCACCAAAACACTTCCAAAATCAATATTTGTCGCATTGAATTATCACACATGTATCCGTGCTATGTGTTATCATAACATTGCACTCAGCAAGTATCCTGACACACCAAATAAGGCACACAGTCCCCGCTCTTTATCATAGCAGGACATGATGTAAGCTTGTTTAAGCTATCAAACTGCCACCACTTTCATAAACTTAGGCCAAAAAAGGCCTGCAGTCTCCCTCCCTTTCAAAACAAAAATCTACAAGTGCACTCACAGAAATATTGGTCGAACTTTAACAAAAAAAGAGCGAAAAGCTGTGCGACTGATTCAAAGTTGGTGAATTTATTAGGAATGATCAGACTCATGAAAAGCTTATGTGCTGTTTCAAATGCATTTTATACAGTTTCTCTTGTGTTGCATATGTTTCAGGCTTTACATTGACCTTTAGCCGGAGCTTCACACAATTTAGAGCTTAAAAATCCTCTACTTACTTGAGATTGGTTTCTTTGAGAAACCTCATATCATCTCCTGTCTGAAATACTTAATTCCAGCTACTAACCCCGGCACTCAAGAACCTTTTTCCACTGTTGCCACACTACAAAGTTGTTGTCATGAAGTTACCAGGCTTTTCATCCAAAACAACAAATTATGAAATATAGTAATCTACTGCAGTTTTGACCCCAAATCTGACCTGCTATGTTTGAGAAAGGACAAAATAATTACCAGCAGATTTATCAACTGGTGATGTCACAAGTTGAGTAAACCATATGTGGATCTCACTTTGTTCCTGTGAGACTTTTTGAATAAGCTGTTCAGAGCAGCCTTCAGTCTCATTCTGGGATTACTCCAACACAATGAAAAATGTTGCTCATATTTAGCATCAACATTTAAAATTAAACCTCAAACATATTTGTGAATAACACATAAAAAGCACTAAACTATGTCTTTAACTCTAAACTGTAATTGATAACTCCGCTCATGAATATAATTGATTTTTGCATTTTTCTGCTCCTATTTTATTGTCACCTGTAATTTTTTTTAGCAACCACTTGTGTGATTGTGACACCACATAATTGAGGGCATACCTTCAATGAGTCCTTGAGATTTAAATTATGTTTCCTGAACTTCAAAATAGATGTAGTATGAGGCAGAATTGGACTTAATCCCTTGTAACATTCATTTATAATCTATACTGCAGGAAAATAGGGGAATTCTTTCAGCTCATTAAGGACCATGTAGTGCTTTTGTTAGCCTTATTAAAGGGTCTTTTTTTATTGCAGGGTAGCTACAGTATGCCTCGATGTATCTGCAGAACCCCTTGTGTAAATCATGCTTTGCAAAGAGTGTTATCCTCATTACAGCACAGAGCTCCTATAAAGTCTGACAGAAAAACCAGAGGATGCCTACAGTAAAATTAACAATGAATTAAGAAGTGCATGAGTCCAGATTTATTTTCAGATGAAACCAAAGGGTCCTCGCTGCTCCTTGACTTTCCCTGTAATCTTTATTTTTAGCCGGGGCAGCTGGCACAGGAGAGCTGAAAACAAGCAGACAGGTCCATTAGTACTGATGTCATAAGGGACACACACACACACACACACACACACACACACACACACACACACACACACACACACACACACACACACTCAAAACTTTTTGAGTGTGTGTGTCTTTCAGCAAGACTTATTATGAATCTTTTAAATAAATATGAACATTTGTTATGCTTTTGTCTGTCATGCTGCTCATTCTGCAAAAGAGCATGACCACATATGCCCCATTTTCTAAACATCTCATGAGTGTGTAAATTCATTTTCCTGGAAACCATCTCAGTAAAACAAGTTGTATCTGCCTGTCAACAAAGCTTTCCGCATTGTGGGCCTTGCATTTTATAGAAAACATGACTAAATAAAGGTCTGTCAGACCAGTAGTAATTAGGTGGATGTTAATTGCAGGAGACCTGTGGTTTATGTCCGTGCAGCTCGGCTGTAAAGCTCCAGCTGCCTGGTGTAGATCACATGCAGACAGCTTGCTCTTTCCCCAATTTTCTTTGGCTGGATCATTTTCCATACAGCTCTTTTTCATTCAGCGGTAGAATGAAAACTATGTCCTTCTCTAACCAACTCTGGTATTAACATCAATTTGAACATTCCTAAGTAAGAACACAGGCGTATGGACGTGCCGTACTCCAAGCAGGGGGAGAAAAATGAACCTCCAGTAACTCAAATTACTAATATGAACAAAGTCCTTTTGATGTCTGGGCTCCGGATCATTCTGCTGCGTCTTATCAGATACTTCTTTCCTCACTTCTGTCCAAAACAAAAAGGCCATGACCCAAATAAGGAGAGGGGTAGGATGGTGCCAACACATGTACACGATGTTATCCCTCCAAAGAGCCTTGAAGAGGTGAGGTTCAGATCAGGGAGGGGGGGCACAGTGAGGTCTAGAGTAGCCAAAGTGGGGAGTGGCGGAAGGGGTAAACGGTGGGAAAGGGCTGTCACAAGAGACTGGGGCTGTCTCCAAACCTCGGGTGAAGTTTAAATCACACAGAGCTCCTTCCACTCTCACTTTGCATCCTCCTCTCTTGTCCTCTGCTCACTCTCTCTGAGCTCCCTCTGTCTCTCTCCTCCTTCTCCTCCTCCTCTCTGCATCTGCTGGTTGCTCTCCCAGTCAACCTTGAGAGGGATCATCTGAGGTGTCTTCCTCTGAACATCTGCAGCAGAAGTAACAGTTTCTTTATTTCCTGAGGTTTTGTGAGACACTGAGACACAGCTTTCACCATGGAGGCCATCAAGAAGAAGATGCAGATGCTGAAGCTGGACAAGGAGAACGCCATCGACAGGGCGGAGCAGGCTGAGACGGATAAGAAGGCAGCGGAAGACAAATCCAAGCAGGTGGGACAAAAATATATGATGGACTGAGTCAATTAAGTTTTTTATGACAGTATTTTTTGAATAAAAAGTTAGCAGATTGAATATCAGCACATATGTTACCACATAAATGTAGAATCAGATTTACTTTGTTGTTCCCAAACAGAAAGATTGAGTCGTCAAAGCAGCTAAGATAAGAAAACTGAACAAATGCATAGAAATGTATATGGTCACAAGAGATACGAACACTTTACACAATCGGCATCTTTAAACCACAGAAAAAGGTCTTAAAAAATATATAAAAGCATGACACAACTATTACATTACACCAAAATATTACATTAAGAGCCAAAGTAAGAGCAAGAAGGGCTAAAAAACAAATTAATTTCAACAAACCATGATAACATGAACAAAATATCTTAGCCAACTTAAGATACAAGCTTTCTTCTACTTAACTTTTTAAAAAACTTCTTGGATATTTTGTATTTGAATGTATAAATCATGGTTCATATCATTAAATAAAAGTATTAAACGTAGTGTATTTTTTTATTGTGAGTTTCTTCTATCCCCTAATATGACAAATTTAATTTGGGCCAATTATTTTGACAAAAAAAAAAAAAAAGCAGTCAAATTTAATTTAAAAAGACAAGATTAATCTACAACCATAATACGGAGTAAATTCCACATTTATCTAATAACTTTACCAATTTGATAGACTCCCATTGTGGACCAAACCCACTGTGCAGAATGTAGGGTGGCTCGAAATAAAATGCCGAATATTCCCCAGAGCGCCAAATGCAGAATTACAGGAGGCAGCTGATACTGAGCCCCTGGGCCGTGTCTTCTGGAGGGCAGGAGGATAAGGAAGAGGCAGCCCACATGGATGCAAAAATGGAATCACCAAGTGATGACCACTCAAATATTATCAGTAATCCCACAGAGAACCTGTGGGATTACTTGAGACAACCAGAAGTGTTGCTGCGTGAGATAAACCAGCCCGTACAGCAGCTGCAGCAGAGGAAAACTGCATTACCCAGCATCCTTATCTGAATTAATGTCTGTTCAGGAAAATGTCTGAAACCCTGCATGTCTGTCTGCACATCCTTATTTGGTGTTGCATTGCAAAAGCTTTCGACAGGGTGATATTTTGAGGGCTAACTTAATGATAGCATACTTGTACCTCTTTATACAAGCAAAGTAGAATTTGGAAATGTAACAGGATATTTGAGGTTTTCAAAATGAGGTGATCATTACACAGTGGGAGGTGTTATCGTCATCATGGCGGTACGAGAGGAATGCTAAAGGGTAGGCAGTTTAGGAGGCATACACAAAGCCAGGATCTTCATTAAAGCAAGTGGAAAGAATCCTCTCTGCGGTGGCTAATGCTCTAATGACACCCTCAGAGACTCAAAGGAGTGACAGTTGTCATTTGGCAATGCACACATGGACCCTTCAGCATGTCTTCCAGATCAAGAAGCAGTCAGCATGAAACCCTAGATGATTACACAGAGCTCTTTAGTTTGTTTGGGTGGCAGCGATACAAGCAGAGTGACTTTCTTTGCTATTCTTGGCACGATGGCACCAACCTCAGAGCTGACGGAAGACACTGGAAATACACAAAACTAATATTCAATATCAACGTACAAAACAGTCAACAGACTCCAGCAGTTAGACAATATCCCTGATTACCCCTCTTTATCCACTGACTTCATCATAGGGAGTTTTCTTTGGATCTACCCTCCTCAAAAGAAAAAGTTCTGATGACATCTTCTGGCAGTAAGATCTGAAAATGATCAAAAGTAATGGGAACATTTCTTAAATATAAGCCAAGCTACCAGAGAGGCTCAAAGAACAGTTATGTGAACCGCTTTTCTTTTGAGTTAAACACATACTTAATGGATTGGCATCAAATTGTGTTACAACATTCATGAGTCCCAGAGGGTGAACCCTTTTCCCTTTGGTGGTTTCTTGATTTTCCCCCACTTGTCACCACAGTATTTATATTTGTGGTATTAAGAGAAATGTCCCAACAGTAATTAGAAGGAAAGGCATGATAATTGTGGATATTAGTGATTCCCAGAGGATGGATCCTGGTCCTTTTAATGGTTGTCTTATGAGACCCTTCTTGGTAGACATGATCCTGGGGGCATTTATGATTCCCAAAGGATGTTTAAGGATTTTTAATGGATGAACCCTTTTTTTCTCTTGGTTGTTTCCCATCGTGCCACCGTGAGCTTCATGTTTGTGGCATTAAGAAAATTGTCTCAACGAGTATTTAAAGAATTGGCATGGATGAATTTTAGACATTCGTAGTTCCCAGGCGGAACAACCCAATAATTTCAGTGATCAACCAATGTTTTTGTTCTTGTCCCTAGGTTCATATTTTACTATTATGAGGAGTGTCTTGAAAACTACAGAATGAATAGGAATAGTTTTTTTTGACATTCTTGGTTCCCAGAGGATGACACTTAACCTCTATGGTGGTCTCTTGATGATCTCCCTCTTACCACCACATGGTTCCTATTTGGCGCATAAAAAAGAAATCTCTGGATGTTTGTTAATTGGATTGGCACAAAGTTATTTTAGACATTCCTGGTTCCCTGAGGAAGATATTTAGTCCAGACTTTCATGTATTGTGATGCCTTTGATGAACTCTAATTTGCAGCCATCAACTGGCTCAAGTTTGTTAAATGACCTGTTACAAGCTTTATGCACAATTTAGCACGTATTAGCATGCTAGATAAAGACTGGATATGAAAGGAGAGAAAGGGGCTCGTGGCTAAAATCTGCATTCTCATTAATGGCCAGCAGGGGCGACTCTGCTGGTAAAAAAAAATGACAATGCATGGGTTTTTAAGAAGATTATTTCACTTTTTTCTTGATAGCACACATTCACATAATTAATCAATCATTTTAAACATTTTTTTTTTGTAGAGTATCATCCCATAACGTAAAATCTTTGATAAGGCCATGTACGCTAGCTGTGTGCCTCCCTTGTGATTGACAAACTTATGACGGCTGTGACTTGGCAAGTAGGATTCAAACATAGAAATCTGAATCTGTACAATTACAGTGCCCTCTTTTTCTGGCCTCCAAAAACCAAGATAGCAAATCCCAATATGCCAAACTCATGGCTCCAGAAGGTTGTGTGCTAAAAAGTGGCAATATTAGTTACAGTCTAATGCTGACAAATTTAACTACAATACAGAGCAAATCTCACTTAAGTTGGTATTAATTGTGCCATAAATCTGAGTGCCCCTTTTTATAGGCCAAGTCTAGTTCAGCGTTGAAAGACTTTTTCTCCGTCTCCATCCTGACTCTGACACATGTGCCTTCTTTCAGCTAGAGGACGAGCTGCTGGCTCTGCAGAAGAAACTGAAGGGGACAGAGGACGAGCTCGATAAGTACTCAGAGGCCCTGAAGGATGCTCAGGAGAAACTGGAGCTGTCCGAGAAGAAGGCCACAGATGTGAGTTAACCACAGAGGGTGCCATCTGAAACACATTATTTACATTACACAGGAACACCACGACTTAGGTTTCAGTCTTGAGTGTGTTATTGATTAGCAGGCCTGTGGACGGACTTAACTAGAAATTACTCCACGGTTGAAGAAGATAATTAATAGGGACACATACAGGGTTTATAAACAGATGTTCTTTTCTATGAGATGGTTGAATTAAGCAGCATAAAACTATGTCTGAGTGTGGCTTCTGCTGCTCTCACTTTCTCTTCAAGCCGTGTCTCGACAAGTTTAATGTAGTTTGGTTGATTCTAATGTGGCGAAACATTGCTGCGGAGTGATGAACACTGCTGAATAAATATTAGACTCAACGTTTAATCCATAATCAGCAGACATTATTTATCAACAGTATTTCTAACCATGGAAACTAAACTTTTCAAGTCTGTCGGTGGTTGTGTTTAAAACAAAGACATGAACAATGTCGGTAAACATCTGTATTACACCAAAGTTTAGCCATGAGGTTAAACTCAGAAATTCTTTTGTGTGTTGAACATGGACTGGTGCAGTACAACATTCATGTCCAAGAGACTTTACACCAAACTTACAATAACCTGCTCAGCTTCTACTGATAAACCTCAAGAGAAAGCGACTCACACCCTGAGATGATTAAATTGTTTCTTCTAACAGCTAGACGAGAATCAAAATCAAAGAAGTTATTGGTGTATTACTGAGGCCTGTAACAGAGTTTTTCTCAAGCAGAGACAAAACTTGGCCGGCCTGTAGCCGACCAGGAATCCCAGGAATGCAGCTTAAGCAAACAGAGAACCCCTTACTGCAGTTTCTAATGAAATCAATGCTCAGGCCTTTTTTGGGGAGGTGATAGTCTCTGCTCTGTCTGGCCTTACAACACAAACCTTATGTACGACTACAGTGGATGGCCTTTAACCAGAGCAGCTTACACACACAATTATGTCCTACTTATGTCTGTATCTTAGTTATCTGAAAGGACAGGGTCTGAGGTGTGTTATCTGTTAGCTCCAACAAAAAAAGGGGAATATGGAGGATCCTCCTGACATGAGACTTTTATGGCCAGTTTTACAAACACTTGAGATAAGACAACAAAGACACTTTTATAGCAGAGTTTTACCTGCGACATAATGAATACTAATCCTCCTCAATCAGTGTCTTTTTTGTACTTTAAAGTAATACCTTATCATCAGTGGTGGACAGTTAGAAAGTAAACTTACAGTGAATTTTTTATTATCTTAACTTTGAGGACACTTACGACTTTTGACTCCACTTCATAATTCTTCTTCTTACCTGCTACGTTTGTTCTGAAATTGGCTGATACTCTCTTTGTTTTGTTCTGCATGAGGTTTGACTATGTGATGTTGCCGTACCTGTACGTCACTCATGCTTTTAATTGTATTAGAGTAAAATTTGACCAGAAGTATCTTTACTTTTACTCAGGTAGTGAAGCGGGGTAATTTGTCCACGACAGGTTGATAACAGCAATGACAGGACCAAGATTTTGTTGAATAATCAACTACAACTTACTGACATTGGAGTTTTCTTTTAGCACTAAATATTTTTCTATATTATTTATCATCTATGGTGATGATGGCCAATAAAATTCCGAGAAATCATTAAAAAAAGGAAGCATCTCCACTTCTTGATGCAAATCTTAAATCTTTTGTCCAACAAAACCAGCAAATAGAGATAAAAAAAATGGAAAAACTTAAAGCCCCTGTGAAGAAGTTTCAGTTTGTGCCAATTTTGGCAGCCCTGCAGACAAAGCAGTCTAGTAGAGTTTCATGACTAAAAATTTTATCCTGCTGACTTTTGAGTATCAAATTTATCATTTATTGTCAGTATTTGATGTGGGGAAAAAAACAGGAGCTCTTTCTTCAGCAGCCCAGCTTACACCTACATGCTCGTACCAGTTATAACCATTGAAAGATACTGAATAAAATCTGTAGATCTAGTCAGGAATGGTCTTATTTGATTTTTTTTTTATCATGAGAAGGCCTAAATATAATTTAAAATGTCCTCACGGGAGCTTTAAAAAGTCTCATAACCAGTAAAAAGAAGTGCTGCGTGAAAAATGATAAAAACAGTAACATGTTGTCAAAATAGGTGCCTCTGCTAAATAAATATACAGCATTAAATGTAAGCTTTCTGCACAGCTTGTTCTAATCTTGCATCATAGACAGATAAGATCCCAGAGGTCAAAGGTCAGACTACAAACGATCACTGTCACTTATGTCATACCAGGGTCCTGCAGATCTGCCCCTTGTAAACTTGTCCAACCCTCTTACTCCTGCTGATGTATTTCACTCAGTTTATGAGGGATATTTTTGAGTATTAATGTGACACAGGGACACATACAGGAAAACAAACCAGTAAGGAGTGAGGAGGAGGAGGCACAAGAGGGCGCTGGAGGAATGTGTCGCCACCCCATGGCCACAGGTCATGCCTGCAAGCAAATCAATTTACATTCCTGCCAAATGCAGGTCAACAACCCCTGTAGAAGTGTATTATTGCTGCCACACCCAAACCCTGGATCCTCCCTCCTTCCTTTATAGATAAAGCCACGTCTGTAGACCCTTGATTTCCTCACAGTTTACAACTCTTCCTATTCCTCCTCTACAAAATCATGTCAATCATATACCATGATTCACATTAAATATGATTCATCAGACTGAATCCGATGAATCAGACCCCTACTCGTCCTCTGGTGATCTCTGCCCCGCTTCCTCCTGATCACAGCACAAATATGCAGCCAAGGCAACACCTTACATTTGCCATATAAGTCCACAATAGAGCAGCAAGACTCTCCCTCTTTCAGGCTTTTACACACCTCTTTTGTGGAGGAAAAGGAGCAGTGCCTTCCCCTCCTAAATCCTGTGATGTCATCCGAGACCAGGCTTCTTCACAGGATTGGAGGATCTCGCCATAAATTTCCTGAAAACTCCCAGCCCTTTTTTTCTCCCCATCCCAACAGTGCACGTCTCTGACTTCCTGCCAGAGAAAAAAAAAGTCTTTTCCTCGGAGCTAGAAACTTCAAATCAATAACTTTTAAGGGTCCGGACAGTCAATCCAGACGGCTACTTTTCTTCTTCCGCCTTCTTTGCGTTTGAGCAGACAAATTAATCGGGATAATGGAGGTAGTGAAGAAGAAAATCCAGGCCCTACAGCAACAAGTTGACGATGCGGAGGATCGTGCACTGGAAGTACAAAGGGAGTTGGACACTGAACGGGAACTACGCGAAAAAGTGAGAAAACGTAACATTTGTACAACTTTAGTCGCATTTTTGTTCTGGTTTTTATTCTCTCTTGACTGTGGAGCATCTCTATTGAGAGTTTGGTAACTACTTTAACCGTTCAGTCACCGCAGGTAGCGCTTATCATCCTATCATACCGCTTCTTTGAGATTTTGAAACTTTCCAACCGTATTCCATAAGCAAATTTGTTGATTTAACTTTGTATGGCGACAGTAAAGGTTGTTTTGGAGGCTTGTGAGACATGGAGGCAACGTTGCAGTGACATTCCTTCGCTGACTTTTGTTCGGCTGGGTTATCTAACTCAAACCCGCCCTAAATCTTCTCAAACATGAAGAAATGCAGCGAGCGCCCTGACTTTTACATTAACTGTCAGCCTGGTTGTGAAATAATAAAAAGTGGCAGGTTTTCAGCTTGGATTTATCTAATATACGTTAAAACATGTGGCTTGTTCCTTAAATTTTATTTTTCTACCCGCGTTTTAAGCCTTTCAGTCAAACATTTGGCTCTTCAGTATGGAAACTTGTACATTTATTCTCCAACTCCTCCTTTTTTTTAAGGCTCTACACAGGAAGAAGAGAGCAGACATGGTTATCTGTCATATCAGTCCCACAGGAAACAGGCCCAGAACTAGTAATCTGTTGTCCCACAAACATACATGAGTTTCTACAGCAGTTCCAACAACAGGGCTGTAAAACTTGAGATGAATCAGGGTTAAAACTACCACTGTGTGAGCCTACATCAGCAGTTTTCAGCAGCTGTACACTGTCAAGCGTCAAAGTCCAGGGCTCATCATGGTTGTTGGGTATGAAACTAATTACTTGAAACTGATCTGACCTGTGTGACCAAAGAAGGGATATAAAGAGGCCGGTAAAGTATACGTGGGTGGATTCTAGGTCATGAAAAGCTTTAATGAAAAGAAAATCAAACAGAACATAATAATTAGGTCATTTGAGTACATAATTAGCATACGTTAGATGGTTAAATGTGTTAAAAAGGACTTATTGGAAAGGAGAAACTAAGAAAATGATACAAATAGCGTTTTTCAGTTACAAAAGAGCACAATTAAACAACCAAGTTAAGAAAGTTAGTAGTTTACCTAAGAAAAAAAGTAAAACAGTAGATTATACTGAGTCGCACTAATAATCAGGCATATTAGAGTAACTGGTTTGATGACAAACAAGTGGTCAAATTGCAGCTTGAGTCATCATCAACAGTATCCTTCCTCCCATGGCTGCAGCGTGTTTCCTGGCTGACCTCTGACCTCTCTCCCTTCCTCTCTGTGTGGCTGTAGGCGGAGGGCGATGTGGCATCCCTGAACCGCAGGATCCAGCTGGTGGAGGAGGAGCTGGACCGCGCTCAGGAGAGACTGGCCACAGCTCTGCAGAAGCTGGAGGAGGCTGAGAAGGCTGCAGATGAGAGTGAGAGGTGAGAATCAACGCAGGGCTCAGTCATTAAGTATCAGCCATAGATATTACTCATTATGGGCTGTATATAATGCTAATTATCCTTCAAGACACACCTTAATCGAAGGCAATTTTCACAGATAAGATATACTGCTGTAACCATGCAAATTAGAGAACCAGGTCAATGCAGCGAGGACAGCAAAAAGTGACATACATCTTTAGATTCAGGGAGGCAAGGAATTAAGAGATGCTGGGTTGTTAGGGTCTGGTGGAAGGGAGAAAACGACCTAGAAAACAGAAAATGAGATGAAACATATCAAGTTGAGGAGGGAAATTTGGCTTTTAACTTGTGACAGCAAGTCTTAAATCAAAATAAAAAGACTTGATGAAGATATGAGAATGATATAAAGTGAGTGTAAAAGTAAAAAAAGTCAAAAGTTTGATTAAAAATGGATCAAATTTAGATTTGGACATAAGTATGTGATATTTTTCCCTCAAAATTTCCATGGCCAGCTAAAGCATCACATCACCATCTAGAAAGAGAAGGGTGAGGCTAAACTGTCTGGCCTTATAACACATGATGCTGTTTGTAAATTTCCCAGCACTTTTGGAGTTCTGTAAATAATTTAGAAAGGTTACACACCATGGGCCACTCATTTTATCAGCTTGTTCAGTTTTTATAGATACTGACAGTAAGAAATGCTCAGAGGGGGTCCTGGCTGAACTGTGATCCCTCAGTGGTCTTGAATCAAGCTTAAAGCTGTCTTTGTGATCCTCAGAGGCATGAAGGTGATTGAGAACAGAGCCATGAAAGATGAGGAGAAGATGGAGATCCAGGAGATGCAGCTCAAAGAAGCCAAACACATCGCTGAGGAGGCGGACCGCAAGTACGAGGAGGTATGTACACCGGAGAGATCATGTCTCAGCTAACTTAGAGTATTATATATATATTCTTATCTGTGTTTTTTATCTCTCTCTTGTCAGGTTGCTCGTAAACTGGTGATCCTGGAGGGTGAGCTGGAGAGAGCAGAAGAGAGGGCAGAGATTTCAGAGCTGTAAGTGAAATTGGCTAAAGATGTCCACTTTTCACCCAGATACCTGTTACAAACACATCAGAAAATTAAAATGTGTTACCCTTTTCATACAGTAAGTGTGGTGACCTGGAGGAAGAGCTGAAGAATGTCACCAACAACCTAAAGTCACTAGAGGCTCAGTCTGACAAGGTGAGGGGTGATGACCAATTTCATTCCTTCAAAAGTTCTGGGATCAAACACTTTGAGCCTCTTTATTGTATAGTTTTCATTAAAAAATTTGTCTTTCACTATGTTTTTGTAGTACTCTGAGAAAGAAGACAAATACGAGGAGGAGATCAAAATCCTGAATGACAGACTTAAGGAGGTAAGTTTCTGTCTGCTTGATCTATATTCTCTGACTGGTGTTTTGAATGGACCATAATTATGATTTTTGTCTTGATTTAAGGCTGAAACCCGTGCAGAGTTTGCAGAAAGATCAGTGGCCAAGCTGGAAAAGACCATAGATGATCTAGAAGGTACGCTGCCTTTGAATCTTTCTTTGCTTTACAGACTTCAAATCTTTACAAAGATTTCATTTCTTACTCTAAAACTTTTATCTTATTTCTCTTTTCCATCCTTGCTCTACGTTTCCCTCTGAACCTCCTCCACCTGTTTTGCCTCTCTCTGACCTTTGCCCTCCAGACGAACTGTACACTCAGAAGCTGAAATACAAGGCTATCAGCGAGGAGCTGGATCATGCCCTCAATGATATGAACACCTTGTAAACCTTACATTGAGCTAATTTTCACTTTCTCTGTGTCACCTCTTGCCTGATCAGAAGCACTTTGTCTCTCCTTTTGCTTTGATTCTCTTTGCATTAGTTCAATAAAGATATTTTCCCTCTTTTACCCTGTTCTCTTCTCTTCTTTTTGACCTCTCCACTCTGAAATGAACCACATTTTTATCAGCACAACCATTACACTCTCGTGATGAATATTATGTTCACTTACACAGCCAGCTTTATTGATCTTCTATCTTATCTGTTGTTGTTTTTCATTGCAGAGAACCTATCAAAAGCAAAAGAGGAAAACTTAGGAATGCACCAAGTCCTGGACCAAACACTGCAGGAGCTGGGTAGCTTGTAAAATGCAACAGAAAACATCAGGCAATAATAAAAAAGCAACAACCTTTTTTTTTGTAAAAGATATTTTCTACATGCCATCCATGTCTGTAATTCTCACTCTTACTCCTGGTAGCTAAAACACCTGTACCCCTTTTTATATATTTATGGTTCTTTTGTTTCTACCTTTTTAAATGGTTTTGGGTCCATAGTCAGTTTCAGTGCAGGATATTGTGTTTTAGACCAAATTCTTAGCACAAATAAAAGTGACGATGATGCTGATGACGACATGAGTTTTATGAGTAATGTTTGTCAGTGCGCATGTGTGTGTGTCCTCCAGGCTGTTTCAACACAGAGCCATAAACTGGGAGCAGCAGCAGCAGAGAGAACTTATCCTTCAATTGACAAGCGCTAACACGCTCGGTGTTTTCAGTTCTGCTCTGCTAACACAGTAAATTCCTCAGACTCAAAACTAGAGATGGTGCTTAGCTGCTGATCCTGTAACAATGGCTGAATCCCAGAGAGATGATTCAAGAGACGTGTACATGTCAATTCGTTTCCTGTACTAACCACAGCGATCAGAAATGACACACCTATCACACCAGGGTAATGTTTGATGTGGGCAACACATTTAAAACAGATGGGATAGTTCTGGGTTACATCACCTCTTCTTTTATGAACACGATGAAAAGATTTGTGAACCAGGGGACCGGTTTCTAGAGTTTGGACAGTGGAATGTCCTACTTTTGCCTGATGTAGCCTAATATAGATTTCCAGCTTCTCAGCAGTTTACGGCTTTCTCTTGATATCATTTTGTGTCACGGTGTACCAAATGGTTAAGCTCCAGCTCTCTTTTAATATTGTAATGTGTGCAAATTGAAGTTTGGCATCTTGTTCTGTGTTACGCAAGTTCGTCCCTGAAAAAGGCAGTGTTACAATATCATTTAGCAGATGCTTTTATCCAAAGCAACGTGCATTTGAAAACAAGAACAACCTAAGCTTAGGTCCAGACAAGAAAAAGAACAGCAAAAGTCCATTTGGACGCAGGTACTGCCATGTAATATTGAAGGCAATGCACAGAGTTAATAGTTTTGTTTTGTTTTCTCCCATTGAAAGTCAACAATAAAGCAACCGACAGCATTGTCTGGATGGCAGCGTATGTAGCTGCGCAACTTGTACATTAGTCCAGCATTAATGGGGTCTACCTGGAGTTGCCCAAGCCATGAGCACTTATGTATCCAATACCACCACATTTGCTGCCTTTTGAAGTCCTCACCAAAGCTGGAAGGTCCCTCGCGTCTTCAGAATGGAGAGTGGGATTTTGCCCCCATATGTTATAATAATAAGAAGAATAAATTTTGTTTATAACGTGCTTTTATCAAAGACACCTTACAATGAAAAAAAAAAAAATAAAATAAATTAAAATACAGACAATTTTGAGAAAACCAATGATGTAAAAGGTTAAAAAAGACCCAATATGAGAAGACAATAAACAAACAGTTCACAGGTTAAAAACCAATTTAACAAGGTGTGTTTTTAGGAGTGATTTAAAGGTATGGGGGGTCTGTACAGTCTGGGATGGGTTTTGGGAGTGAATTCCAGAGGGTGGGGGCGGCAGCGGAGAAGGCTCTGTCCCCCCCAAGTTCGGTGCTTGGTCCAAGGGGGCAAGGAGATTTCCCTCTGAGGGCATGGGAGGGGGTGTAGTGGTGGAGCAGGTCTGTGAGGTAAGTGGGGGCCAGTTGATGTTGATTTCATCACATATTGCTGGCCCCGAATTCAAAATAAGAAAAACAATTTTCAACTTCAACATATGATTGTTGTCTCTGTGCTATCATGAATTACATATGGGTTCTGAACAGTTTGAAAACCATTAAACACATTATTTTATCATCATTTTACACAGTGTCCCAACTCATAACTGCTTTCAGATGCTGGGCCTTAGTGTGTGTTAATTTATGGATCCTTGGCTCTGTTCATTATTTGAATACTATAACAGTATTAACAAAAGGTTCAGATACTTGTAACTTTCTCCACTGCTGGCCAAATGCATGTTAAAGCTGTTTGTAGCAGTTTTGACTCCCCCTTGTGGGCAAAGTGGTACCTCCATTTTCCTGCCTGTCCTGTTACATACATACATGCGTGAGAAGTGTTTTCTCTTCCTGCTTTGTTTAAACAATGACTTTTATCACTTATTGACATTGTAAATGTAAATAAAAATAGTATTACAAGCTGCTTAGAAATAAACAACCTTTTTGCTGGTAAAGTTGTGCTGTTGTGACAGTTGTACTTCCAGTCTGTCTCATTACTAGAATTAAGAAAAAAAACCTCCTTCCTCAAGCTTTAATATTTACTTAAGTAATTTGTAAACTATTTACTTGTGGTTACTTAAAATTTCAGGACAAAGTATGGAAGTAACGCCCAGCGTCGCCATGTCCCATGAAAACCGCAGGTGTATTCCGGGCCAGCAGGGGGCGTTATTCCTCACAGTAACATCACTGCTTCGCCGGGCGGGATTTCCGCAATAATATCAAGTATGGCGAAGACATACGACTATTTGTTTAAATTACTGTTAATCGGCGACTCTGGTGTCGGGAAGACCTGTGTCCTGTTCAGGTTTTCAGAAGACGCCTTCAACTCAACGTTTATCTCAACTATAGGTGAGTTTTTCTTTGTATAGACGGTTGTCTCTCTGTCTGTTTACAGTACGCTAGTGGTCTGTCACGGAGTCTCCGTCTATTTGCTGGAATGCTGGCTATGCTACGTTGAAGGCTGGAAGTAGTTTCTCTTTTGTCATTAATGAAACGTCTGTTGTTTCAAAGATGCTTTTGACTTAATAAACTTGTAGATAAGAGATAGCGAGGTGTAAATGTATAATGTGTGCTTTTTGTTCAAAGGTATATTAGAGATGTAAACGTATGTGGTATATATTGAAGTCATGCCGGGTGTCAGCGGAGAGATGAGACATTAGCTGTTGGCCACTGTCTACTTCCTGGAAAGACACCGGAAAACCTACTATATGTTCAAGCCATGTATGGTCGTTTTCGCGGTTTTAGGTTGTAACTGTCACGACAAAGAACAGAGTCGACGTTTCATATCAGTTTATCGCGAGTATTTATGTGTGTCTGTAGATTTTTGACAGCTATATGAAGCTAACATTATAATTGACACGCTTGGTCCCTCTGTGTCCCCTCAGGCATCGATTTCAAGATCAGGACAATAGAGCTCGACGGCAAGAAGATAAAGCTGCAGATATGGTGAGTTTATTCAATCCCCTTTTTTCACCATAAGTTGAAAGATGGTCTTGTTTTATATATGTCTGATTAACATGTCATGGAGGGCACACATGTTATTCCTGGTACGATCAGGGGTGCCTTCAAGTCCTGAGACCCTCTGAACCACAAACATTGTGTTACTGATTTGTGAAGTTAGATACACTGGTGCTCAATTATAAATTGAACATAATGCTTTCCAGTCATTTTAACCATTGTATCTACCTATGCTGATATTGATTTGACAGCTTACTCAAAAGCTACTAAAGTTTCATACATCTCTGCTGTCATAGAGTAGTTTGTGTAAACCCGTTTAAAGACATGACTGTCATTCTAAATCAGTGTGAGAATTTAACAGGATTTCTGGTGTTTTTCAGGGACACAGCCGGCCAAGAGCGCTTCCGCACAATCACAACAGCCTACTACAGAGGAGCAATGGTGAGGGAGTCCACCATGAACTGTTTAAAAAGACCTGTTTGTTTCTGACAGGGATTATTGAAGCCAATAATCTAAGGATGCCAAGTTGAAAAAGCTGATTCAACTACTTGATATCTGAAGAACGAATGAGTTTTCAAAAATTCACCTTCTGTGGGGTTATGCAGACAGAGAGATGAGCTATCCGAAATCTGTTTTGTACCTGGTTGTTAAGTTTTGAAGTAAGGATAGGCTGTTTGAGAGTGGGTGTGTGAGTTTTATGATGCTTGTGGAGCCAGCCTTGATAAGATAATCAAGGAACTGCAATTGCAAGTTTTCTAGGAAGCCCAGGTCTCTTTGCCTGCTCATGTTAACACTCATTATCCTTTCATATTTACAGGGCATCATGCTTGTCTACGACATCACCAACGAGAAGTCTTTTGAAAATATCAAGAACTGGATAAGAAACATAGAAGAGGTGTGTACTAGCCTAAACAGACCACTCTTAACCTGAATAAAAAGTCCTGAAAAAACAAAATAGCACAGCAGAGAAGGTTGTTTTAGTTACGTCTCTATCTTGTTCCAGCATGCTTCAGCTGATGTGGAGAAGATGGTCCTTGGCAACAAGTGTGACATCAACGACAAGCGGCAGGTCTCCAAAGACAGGGGAGAGAAAGTAGGAGGCTGTTTCTGTTTACCGTTATATAATAATTTACAACATCACTTTGCTAATAATGCTGGTTTATGTTTAAAAACATGTTAATGGACTTTAAGTCAATGTAAGTTTTTATCATTTTCTCTCAGCTTGCATTGGAGTATGGAATAAAGTTCATGGAGACCAGTGCAAAGGCCAACATCAACGTGGAGAATGTAAGTAATTCTTCTATTCCAGATAATAAGATCAAGACTTTAAAGCCATTTATATAACATTTTTAATACCGTTTTTTGTGCTAGGCATTTCTGACACTTGCCAGAGACATCAAATCAAAAATGGACACAAAATTGGTAAGAGAATAGAAAGTAGTCGTATAATGTGACAAGTGAGCAGCCGATCAGACTTTATCTTTACCCGACAGACTGTTGACCTGTTTTTGTGTCATATTTTCAGGAGGGCAACACACCACAGGGGACCGGCCATGGTGTCAAGATCTCAGAGCCTCAGAAAAAGACCAGCTTCTTTCGCTGTAGCTTACTCTGAGGACCGAGGCCTTCGACTCTGGCTGCCAGCTAGCTGGACACAAACGGACTGTGCTTGCTCTTAGCACTTCCTTCCCCTTCCCTCTTTCTACCCACCCATGGCCTGTCCTCCCTGTCCACACAAACCATTGTAATCCAAGTAAGCAGAGGAATCCCCTTCCTCTCTTCCTCTTCTGAAAGCTTCCACTGGTGCATCTTCCATTTAAAGGAAATCTGTTGTCTTCATGGGTCAGAGTGCTTGTCTGGTCGGGGACTCAGCCAGGAGCATTTTCCACCTGTTGTTATCACAGAAAAGACGGGCTCTTGTTTCTGACGTTAGTCTCTTTATACGACGCACTCATACATCAAACGGCCAGTAGCACAACCAAGGATGAGAAATCGCTAAATTAATGTCAAGATTTTTGGATGGTGTATACAAAAAGTAATATGTAGATCTATTTTTATTAGTGCTCTTTTTTATGTTATCGATGCTAACCAGAGACTGAGAGGCTTGAACTTGAGTGAAACAGAGTTGCACATGCTTTCATTTCATCACAAGGTGTCACAAAGGGTGTTATAGAAGACTTTACTTCTGCTCTGTTCTTTGCTTTGCATGTAGTCCTCGACAATCATTTGATGCGTTTTATTTCGTCCCAGTCATCAGCTTTCAACTGTGTTCAAATTCTCAGCAACAGGTTTCAGAGACTGGAAGGCGGTTTGACAACATAACAGCCAGAAATACTGAACAATCCAGATTCCTATAGACGTAGCTCACTTTCTTAAAACAAATTAGTGTCAGGGCTTTGCAGAGATTAGTTGACTTTGTTCAAACTCTCTCTGCAATAGAAACCTGTAAAAATAAAAAAACTAACATACATGTGACGCTACAGATTAAATAGTTTCCACAACCCATGCAGAAATTTACCAATATTTTATCTGTTTATATGAATAATCCAACCATTTCTTTCCCAATCTGTTTATTGTTTGTTTCAAAGTTTGACAAAAAACATTGAAAGAAAGAACATTTTCTAAATCCCAAGTGAACATCAATCACGGGATGTTTTTGAAATACGACATCAAAATCACACAAACGACTTTAAGTATATTAACTTCAATGTGTTGCCTCTTCATTTCGTTTGAAGGCTTTGTAACAGCTCTGGTTCACTGTAAAGCTGAATGACGTCCTGGTTTATCTGATCAACAAATCCAAGTCTCGCACTGTAAGCCCCTCTCTTCTCCTCTTACTATCCACAAAAGCTCTCCTTGCACTTTACCAGTAACTCGTGTTGTGTGGTGTAGTTCGTGCCAAGTGATAGTTTTGCAATACAACAATACAAGTGCTTAGTTGAACAAGTTTGGATCTATCAAGTCTTAGTAGTAATGGGCATACTTCCTAAATTTGACTGCACTTAATTATAACTGACCTGGTCTCCTTTTTGCTATATCACTGCAAGGGATTCACTGTTTTGGTATTAGTTCACTGAAAACTTTGCCCTATTGTACTTAAATACATACTGTATATTTATACTTTCAAAAACAATAATTTGCAAGCCTGTTTCTATGCTACTGCCATGCCAAACAGTACTTAAATAGTAATGTTTTTTGGCTCATTCCATGAACACAGGCTTGACATACCCTGAAACACGGTCCCGTGGTATTATTGTACATTTTCTTGCGTGCTTGTGTTTGATCATAGTTTGACAGCTAGGTGGCACCACAGGAAAAGTAGACATTACAGATGAGCACCTGAACTTCAATTATAATCAGTATTTTATTGAGAACACAAGACACACACAGAGAGCCAGACTTGTGTAATCCAGTCGTGTATAACCTCTATTCAACATATATGTTTCAAACTTTCTCCGCTGTTCCTCATGTTTCGTTCCTGCATTCGTTGCGCGTCTGAAAATCAAACTCCTGTATGCACAACATCGAGGGAGGATCTGCTTTTGCTTGCCTGCACTTTTTTTTTCTTTTTTTTTTTTAAATATCAAATAATTTGGGACCTCATGACTTCCATGGCCATTTGTCTTAACCGCTAATACTCAGTTCTGTCATAGGTGAGCTATGCATTGTGAATCTTGGACCTGTGCATATTTGTGTGATGTAATTTTCAGACATACATGTAGGCCTGTACAGTTGAATGTATGGGTTTTTATTTGTTTTTGTTTTGCATCATTCACTGAGCCTAAAAAACAGGACATAACTCTGTCTGTCTTTCAAAAAGGCACATCCACAGGAGTGAAACTAGCTAGACAGAAGGATGAACAGGAAGAGTCTTGACACGGGATAATGTGGAGATAGAGCCGTTGTCTCATTTGGGTGATGCTGTAGCTTTAAGTCATTAACAAAAACATAGGGAGAAGACTTGTGGGACTCAAAGCTGTATCATTTGAGGCTGAAATGATACTCCCTCTTTGATTTTGCTTTTAGATCATATCCTTTTTTCTTAAGACTCCTATCACACGTCATATTATACTGTACATCCCTTTTTACAGCCATATTTTCATTCCATTGGTTGTGACGTTCACAGGGAGAATAATACAATACATTTTGAAAAAAAAGAAAAAAACATGTAAATATCACATTGAATAAAAGAGATCTACTTAAATTGTACTGTACTTTCTAAACCCATATGATAATGTATCTACAATTTGTAGATATGTGTACTTTTGATTTAATAAAATAAGATTATAAAACTTACTTGACTTTAGTACACTGTGTTTATTGGCAGGCTGTCAGAGGAGATAACACCGTCAGTTGACCCCATGCCCCAACAATGCAGCTCATGACAAATAACTCCTTTTATTTGCTGGCTGTGACTCGCTTGAATATTCTGGCATGTGTCTCTTTTATACTCTACTGTAACTGAATCCCTTAGGATACAAAACAAATCTACTGTTGGTGATCATAGCTGATGAAGCCTGACTTGATGGATTGGCAGATGAGCCAGAAAGATGATAAATGACTTTGCTGCCACAACAATAAAACATCTCCATGTGAGCTTAGATTGAAAATAAGACCACTAGCTGCAGCTGCAAGTTTAAGGAACTCCAAATGAGGTAAAACACTTTTGTTGGAGTACTTGAAATCTGCATTTAAATTCTGTCCAAATAAGAAACAAACATGATGACATGTTGTTTTCATATCCGTATGTGGAAGGTGCTGCAAAAAAAGAATAGATCAAGAGAAAAGCAAACAGTTAAAACAATCATCCATCTACAACCAAAAATGTTATCCCCATTTGTTGTTTATAGCTCAGGTTTTAGATCACCGCCTGCTGACCCACCTGAGAAAGTCTGGCGCCCGAACTATCATGTGCTGGAAGTCCTCAAGAGACAGACGTCCGTCGTTGTCCAGGTCAGCCTCATCAATCACTTTCTCACACACCATCCTCACCTCGTCCTCCGTCAGCTCATTACGCGTCAGTTTGTTCAGCGTTTTCTCCAGGTCAGACTTACAGATGAAGTCATCATTGTTGAAATCTTGCAGAAAATATGAGAGATATTAATGGTAAAATTAGATTAATTAAACGACTGATGAGGCAAATGTTTTGAAATGTGTCCAGGCAAAAATGCATAAAATTGCTGGGGTTTTTTCACCCTTAACAAAGTTCAACTTAATGCCTATGATCTAAGGATTTTGAATAATGTGGTTGGGGGGAAAGAAGCAACAGGTTGCTGCAATAATAACTTATTTACCTTATTTGAAGCTTCATATTTAGTGGTGAAGTTTGAATGTTTTAACTCTCATTGTTGCACAACTTCGAGCATTTAATCCTCATTAGTTTCTCTCTGTCATTGAAACCTTTACAGCTGTATTTACCAATAAAAGCAGCTTTTGTAGTCTTTACTTGACCCAACAGGTAATAGCTGCCCCTGCTTCATTTGTCACAGCCTGGTTACAGGCAGTCAGAGTGGACCTGACCTGTAAGTCCCCTTAACATGCTCCGTGTTCCTTCGAGCGAAGGATTACAGCCCCCCAACACAAGGGGCCAGACATTGGGTTGTATATCTTCTCTATAGGTCTAAATGATGAATGAGAAGTTCCTTTGAACCATGACCATGTTGATGTGTACGTAACTTCTTCATCTGTTAGCGTGTGTTAATTAGGGGGGACCTTAGTGCCCGGCACATAGTGGGCTTTGAAAAGCTCTTTGCCTCTATAATGGGCTGATTAATCATTAATGACAGTCCATGCACCATCCATCATGGTTAATGCTCCTGTGCCCTTCTCCATGCTTCCTTGACTTAAACCATGATAAAATCTGACATTTTTCCAGTTTATACACAGCTAATTAAACCTGTAGATGAAAATACGACTTTGAATCAAAGTTTGGGGGATTTTGGGGTACCTGTTGATGCTCATTTACATTTTAGCTCTATTATTTCTTTTAACAGCCCCAAAAGAGTCTTTAAACATGTAAGTATTATGATATGTTAAGACTATTGCAGATTTTGCAATATTTACTTGTAAATGACCATCAGTTGACCGTGCCTGTTGAATAGCATGGTAAACACAGCTGTAACAGACGTAGAACTAGTGATTTCACAGATTGGTATACAAAAGGAAGTGTATTTCCATGTGCAGGGAGCTTATATCATATTTAACATCAAATATTTACTTTTAAGGTGTAATATTCATGCTAAATGCTTATCTTGATATCAAGAGTTCAAGCTTTAGTTCAGTTTGAAGCAAATGAAGTGGTCACTTTTCAGCAACCACTGAATTATTTTTCTTTTTTGGATAAAGCAAGAAAGCTTTTGAATGTAAAAGACAGCTATCATTTGTACTTAGGGTATTTTACCGTAGATTTTGAAGGCGTAGTAAGCCTTGAGATCACGCGGCGCCATTTCACTCAGGACCGAGAACATGTCCAAGAAGTCGTCCAGTGTCATGTTTCCCTCTCCATCTTCAGAGAAAACCTCAGCGATCCTCTGACGAAACGGGTTGTCCTGCAATTTAGGGACACCGGTCAGCTGCTAGTTATAACAGTGAATAATTCAGCGTGGTCAGTCGTTGCAGCTTGCTTGTTGTGTCTGATGACTTTTCTGAGCTCAATAATTGTCTTTTTTTCTTTACTTTCATCATTTGCCTGTTTTGTCAAAGCTACTGTCAACAACATCACCACCACCATCTGGGAAAGGATTAAGGATGAGGTAAAGTGTGATCTCCTTGGTTTAACTCTCCCTCTCTGAGGTCAGGTCAGTGACCTGTGTGTTGGCACTCCTGTTTACCTTACAGTCATTGTGTAAAGAGGCATTTAATTGACCCATTTCCAACTAGAGTGCCCTGAGGGACTCACCAGCATTCTCCAAGTTTAAAGGAGTCGGGTAACGTATAACCTTTCAAAGAATTCTGTCGATTAGTTGGCCATTAATTATGGATTGGGAACACAGGGAGAGAGCGGGTCTGCAGGGTGTGTGTGGACCAGTGGGTCTACCTTCAACTCGGGCATGCTGCCAATCAGCTCATACGGTAGCTTCACATCTGGGTGGCTGGTGTAGTCAAGGGGAACGAGCTGCGGTGCCAAATCTCGATAGCGATAGAACAGCCTGAGAAAGGTTTGAAATATTAACTTTCAGTATTATATCACAGAGTATTTTTATTTTAAATTTATTCTGTTGTGCATGATATTTCAGATGTTATCTCTATTTTTCTCCAGAATTGTGGTCACCAGTTGAAACAGTAACAGTCAGATAAGTTACAGCAGTAAAAAAAGATGTAAACACAAGATTTGAAAAACCATGTGATCTCCTGTAGCCTAGCCCACAGTAGAGCTGGTCCACAGCTACTGTAGTTTAAAGTTACAGTGTAGTACATTGCAAAATAGACCAACGTGCATATGATACTGGCAACGTCTCATGAGCTATAACACCAAATATTTGGCTCACCTGAGAATTTCTTTTCTTGTAAAATACGTACAATCCTACAAAAACAGATAACGTCAGGGTAAATCATTGTAAATAATATAATACTGGTAAACTTATCATGCAGAGTGGTTTATAGTAGCATTTTATTTTTATGTTTTTCTTCTTTGTGCTTTGCATCATATGTTATAGTAATAAAATACTTATGTAACATTAAAATCTAAATAAAATGGATTTACAATATGGTCAGGAAAGGCTCTGACTTAGTTCAACACACACCCACATCTCGCTGATCCTCTGTTTGTTCATAAAACAGTCTCACAAACTGTGTTTCGTTTTCTTATGTTGATAGCTAATATTAACAAGAGAAGCATTGTTTAAAAAGAAAGAGGAGTGCCACCTACCTGATAAGCATCTAGCTGCTGTGCTGTAAAGATGGTCTGTTTATTCCCCATGTCTGAGCGCACAGACGCCAAGCCTCACGTCCATCGCTGCTCCAACATCAAGTGTGTTTTTTTATGCTGTGTGGATATGTCAGATATGAAATACTGGGACAAAAGAAAGCCGGAGCCAAAGAGGAGATCGGGTGTCAGGCCGCCATGGGCCCTTTGGTCCCCGTTATAATGGCAGCATTTCATCGTTTTCTCCATTGTGAATAGCAGCCCCTCCGACAATGAATAAGGGCTGTCGTCCAGCATCATGCCAAGTGGTATCAACCCCCTTTAGTGCCACTGTATGGCCAACGCCTCGGTCACTGCTCAGGTTACACTCTGTTGAGACAGGGTTTTTGTCATGGGCAAATAGACTTTTTGATGCAAGATACGTTTTGTTTTCACTGGCTCATGGATGTTTTTTTAGATTACTCTGCATATTTTACCCTTCAGCTTCAGACAGGCTTAGCTTAAAACCGACTGAAATGTTTTTGTAGAAGAATCATGAGTGGAAAGAGATACTTGTGGTGCTGGAATCAAACTAAAAATCCTCAGAAATATAGGCCTTACATAGCCCCGATAACCATCATGCTTTGTGGTTGGTGTGGTCTTGAAGCAGGTTAACAACTTTATTTTGTGTGGTATTAACAAAAACTTACATGATGCTTAATGAACAGTAGAGATACATGAATAAGAGAAGTGATAAACTCCTCTTTTATAGTCTGCTATGATAGACAACATGTGGTGTTTTTAACTAATGTTGTTCCTCATATTTATTTGAATAGAATATACTTATTTCTGTTTCATTATACATATTCTATGTAACAAATAATACTTTCTTTCAAAGTTGCATTTTTTTAAATGTCAGGTTCATTTATTACTGTTCTCTGTCTCCCAGATGACTGAGATGAGCTCAGCAGACGTTACAAACATCCAGGACTACCAAGCCAACCTGGAGGACTTGTGAGTTTTCCCAGAGTCTGCACGGCTTCTACATAGGTACATCTGTTTTTTATTATGTTTGCAGAGTTCATCTTGATTCTCTTTGCAAATGAACTCTCTTTCAATTTTTGTTTCCCTTTGAGCTTTTTGCATTTTCTTTCATCTGACGTTTGTGTATCTTAGTCTTCAGGATTGTCCTGGACTGAACCCTGCACCCAGTAAGATGTGAACCAGACAGCCTTCCTGGAGAGCTGCTGACGTGAATACTGCAGATGTTCTCACTTCATCTCCAGTGTGATTACAGGTCAGTTATCCAGATGTCACTTTCATATGGACCCCAAACCTGCCTCAGAGTGTCACGTTTTAAAAAGTGTCTTTAACAAGCAGGAGTTCACACAATCTCATCTGAGTTTTTGAGATGGACCCAAACACATTTTTAGATTTTTTTTTCTCTTATTGTATGATATGTATTTTATAAATAAATAGATTTAGATTAGAAAAGCAATATAATCCACCAAATCCTAAACCTCCAATGGCAGCCTACTTTAACTATTTCAGACCTATGTAATATGATACAGTGCTGTACAACACACCAACACAATAACTATGGCCTGAAGTACATCATTACTGTGTAAAATAATCATGTTTTTGAACGGTCTACAACCTGTTTTCAATATTAAGCTAAAACATGTATTTCCATCAATATGTTTAAACTTTTAACAATCCCATCATCTCTGTATTGGAGGTCCACATAAGCCTTTGCTCACACAAAGCAGCCCCCCTCATGACTGAGTCTAAAACCATCATCTAAACCGTTCACAACCTTGTAGTATGGGAGTGCACCCAAGCGCCCTCCAGTGGTGATAAAGAGGCGCTGCAGGTTGAGTAATCAATTCAGGATGTGGTCAGATTTTTCTTCACAGACCAAATAAAAATGTAAAAATTCCAAATCTAATAATTTAAATGTCATTCTTTATCTACTGGTACCTTGCTCTGTCTTCCTGATTTGCAAAAACATATTTTTTCAGCCTTTTAAATCAAAATAATTGTTGATAATGATGGTTTACTCCTAAATTGAACTTCAAAGCTGCAGTTTCAGCTCTCCAATAGTAACTCTTTTGCCCCTGCTCCTTTGCCAGTCCATTTCCTAGATAAGAGTTTCGAATTATAAACAGAAAAAAAACAACAAATGTTGACCTCCGATTGAAAAATGTTTTGACATTTGTAAAATCACTTTTTTTTCTCTAATGAATTCACTCTGGAATCTTTTGTCAACACATTTTATTCTGACAATGTCATAAATCACAAAAACATAAAATATACACATTTACATCTTTCTCTGGATATCATTTCCATCACTGCCATATATTATAATTTATGGGTATTTACATATCTTACAATGCCACTTATCGGACAAAGCACATTACACATTAGTTGCAAAAGAGTTTTAAGAGACAGACTATCTATTTACCAAACCCCCTATTTACATGGTGGTTTCACGAGTATCTGTGCAGTCCAGTTACTGTGGCTTTTTGTTGTCAGTGGCAGCCACAGCTTCCAGCCACCATATCATTATACTGTTTGAGCACCACATTCTCGTCATCGTCAAAGTAGAGCAGGTTGATGGAGAACAACTTGTCAGGCACGCAGCATGGCGTGTCGATGCCTTTCATCAGCTTCAGAGCGTTGATGATGGACTGGACGGTGGCGTGGTTGGTTGGCCTCATGTTCTGACCCAGAGGGAAGGGGCAGGAGCCTTTGCAGTGGTAGGCATTGTAACCGCGGGGGGATACGATCCAACCAGACCAGCCAATCTCCTCAAAGTCCACGTAGAGAGGCAAACGCTGGCAGGGTGAAGACACGCCTTCCTCTTCGCTGTAGTCCAAAGAGCGGGCGCTGCGGGAGGGAGGACCTGACATGGGGGCCTGGGGCAGGGTGGAAGTAGGAGCAGTGTCGTTTGGGTCTGGTAAAGAAAGACAGAGCGTTTTGTTAGAAATTTTATCATAACAGATTATTCTGGCAGGTTCCGAGTTTTTCAAGTTTTCAGTTATGGTGGCTGAACATAAATTCTTATCATACATTAAAAATCAAAGTAGAGAACAGAGTGGGGGGTTGTGGGGAACAGGGTTACCCTCAGGCCCCATTATTCTTACTGACACCCCTGCTCATAAAACCTGAACACCATATTCTTTAACCATTACTCAGTTTTAATTTCATGACACAAAAGTAGAAAAAACCTTTACCGAGACTCTCGAGAGAAGTAGAACGGCGTCCATCGTCAGTGAAGAGGACTAACATCGGCTGTTTGCTCTGGTGGTGATTGCGCCCTGAAGCAAAGCGGATCAGTTTCATGTCCACCTGGCTCCCTCCCAGAGTCCGGACCACCACATGGAGACCCATGTTGCTGCCTTCATCCATTGTCCAGGAGCGGACCTTCATTAAAAAAGATCATCCAGTTCAATTACATTCAGAAAATACCCAACAACAGTTCAAGAGGGCCTTAGAGTAAAGTGGATACTCACTGCTTGTGTGATGGTGAACACTTCCCAACCAGTGGAGTGGACTGGGATGAGCCGAGAAGAAAGCAACTTCTTCCCTCTTGTGTTGTTGCTCCTGCTGGTGTCAAGCAGCTGATAGACACTAACCTGAAAGAAACACAAGAGGATTACAGTCATGTCCACTAGATTCACATTGAACAATAGTCAAGTTATCCAAGTTTGGATGAGGGTTTGTACCTGGCAGAAGTGATGCCTCTGGAAAGTCAGTGTTGCCTGAGGTCGCAGCTTGAAAAGATGGAGCTCTGCTGTGAGGATCTTCTCAGTTCTGGCAACAGTGGACAAATTGAACCTGAACTCCACCTGCTCACTGCGCACTGCAATAGAAACAAACCTATCAGAAACCTGAACACATGCAGCTGTTTCTTGAAGACACTGGCCACATAAGAAAAGGTGATAACAGCGAAATGAGGTCTTACATTTGTCAAAGAAGCTGCGCACAGTATTCCCCTCAAGAAGGTTGGGGTCCTTGGTCACACCGTCCACATCAGCCACCGTGTTGTACAGGTCAAGCATGTACTGAGGTGGTTGTTTGTGTCCATGGATAGCAGGGGGATCCTCCATCCCAAAAACTTCCAGAAGCCTCTTGATGGCAGCTGAGCGGACTTCCTCGGGCTCGTTCTCGGCTGTGTAATGATTCTCCAGGTAGTTCAGTGAAGGTCGCGCAGCGGTGGTGCACACCAGAGCGGCGAGGGTGACCAAAAACATCATCATCTCCAGGGTTTGAGTAGATTCCGGGAGCATCTGTGTCCTGAACCACACAACCAGTCAGCAACTTAGAGTTGGAGTGACTGAAGTGTCCTGGAGGCTCGACTTTTTATATCAAACGCTCCTGTTCACTCTTGACTGCCCCCGAAGTCTTGGTAAACAGCAGTAAAGATGCTATTTGGTCGCAAATGTAAATCACCAATCAGCCAATGTAAAGGAAGACTAATGGCGGCGTTAACAAGGTGTGAACCTGATTGTAGATTTCATTCAGGCCTATTGTCCTCACGTCTGGCAATAAAGCTTCAAATAAACTAAATTTGGCCTTTGAAAAAGCTTGGTGCCCCTATAAGAGCGTCAACATTTTTGTAAAATCGGTATTTTCTTAGGTTTATGTTTTTTCTACGTAGAAATATGAACACAGCACACTTCAAGATGATCTCTCGGGGAAGCTCACGCTCCATGGGAGGCCAACAGCACCCAAATGAATCCATTAAATTAGAATAATGGGGACAGTGTCTAAGGTGGAAACCAATTACTCCGACAAAAAGACGGGTGTTGCTGCCTACACGTTGCGAGATTTACATAACTGCTTATCCAGTGGCAGCTGGATAATCACTGAATTCGCTGTTTGGTTTTGTAAAAGAACCCCAGGTTGACTGGTATCCTGCTGAAAAGCGTTATGTGGGGCTGCAAAGACCACCAAGGACCACGAAAAGTTAGTTTGCTGACATACAGTTGATTCCTATAAATTCATCAGAATAAAAACTGTGGATTAAAAAGTTTATAAACTAAAAATCAATCTACCGTAAAGTTTATCACTTTAAATCTAAAAATGAGAGATAAAAACAAATTCACTTCATAACACAGAAAATTAGATACCTATTTTAACTAAACTCTTCTTAATTATTATATTTTAAAATTATTTTATCTTATAGACAATACAGTCCTTTGTATCAAGCTCTGGTGTGTTTTACGCACTGTGCCATTTGGTGACTCCGATCACAATTACGCACGAGCTGAAGACAGGTGGGCCCTTTGAAAAAGCAGTCTTCGTTTACCGTCTGAAGTAAACATTGAAGCGATCAAAGCTTTCTTCTTTACGGCACCTTGAAAGCGGGTCATAAAACCACTTGCCTTATGAAGACAGAAAAAAAGAAACCCTCGAGTGTTTTTTTCACACGTCGATATCAGAAAAGGAGACCGCGAAGGACTTGCACGTGTGTTTTTTCTAACGAACCATTGCAACATTGGATGGCTTTGGCTCCTTTCAAGTGATTCTTCAAAGACTCGGTTTAGTTCTTTGAAAGTTGAACCTGATACAGTTCAGGTTTTATTTCATTTTTTCCTGATTTTTAACCTGAGAAAGATGATCTCTCAGACTGCTCGATTTCTGAGCTAAAACTAAGTTTGTGGGAATTATTTGCTCTAAAATTATATATATTTCATTATTTAAAGCACAGCATTGCTTTATTTACATGTACTCATTATGTTTTCTTGGACTATACATTTATGTGGCATATTTTCCAAGGCAGCTTTTATATTTGAGATGAATATGTTGCATAGGGTGACAAATAGAAGTCCTTACACATTGTTGTATTAAATTTATTTACAAAATTATCCTTTTTACATATATTACATATAATACAATAATACTTAAGGGAAGCAAGTTCTTAAACAACTGTTGCAGTGAAGGGAGGGGGTCTCTGAATTTCAACATTTCACAGTCTTCTTAGGGGACCAGGCGGTGGTTTTCCAAGAGTGGGTGCAGTGTTCAGTTCTGGCAAAGGCAGGAAGTGATGGAGTGGACCGTGCGGATCTCTCCGTGCTGGTTCAGGAAGCTGTGACTCTCATGGCCTTGAGGAACACAGGAACTGGACTCTCTGTCCGCCCATAAGTGGCAGATTTTTGGATCAGATGGACTCCTGCAGCAGAAAATGGACATTTTTTTAAATTCAGTTAGATGTTACGACCTGTGATTACTTTACAGTTACATGAAATACATTTTTTACTGTCAATTTTAGCCCCCCCCCCCCAAAAAAAACCCTGAAGGTTTCTGTAAAAGCTGTGCTTTTGTCAAGAATTTATTGAAGTATTTCAAGCTAATAGATTTGCATTACATCAGCTAAAGCTTTATAGCATGGCCCTGAGAGATGACACTGAAGATATCAGGTTGGATCTCAGAAAACTGAGCCTCAGCACATATTATTGTAAATATGTGTACATGATAGAATTGAGCAGCTGTACCATCACAGAGTTTTATCTTCTCATGTAGTGTTAAACGTAATAGGTTCAATTCAGTGCAGAAGAAGTTTATACTGACTTTCCAGCCTTTAATTTCATCAACTTAAAATTATATTTCAATAAACTAATATTGCTGCTAGCAGAGTGGAAAAACGAGATGTGACAGATTATAGAAATTCAAATTGATCATGTATTTTTGTAACAAACAAACCCAAGTCTGACCTTGAAGACTTAAAAACAGGCAACTGGACTGTGTAGAGTTAAGAAGTTGCCTGTTTTTAAGTCTTCAAGGTAACCATGACCTGGATGAATGAGAATTTACATGGACCAAGTCTAACCATTTGATGATGAAACTAAAACGTAAAATATTAATGTTTTCTTGATTATCATAGACTGAATTATATGTTTTGAATTTTGCTTGAATATCAAACAAATATGAGGCAGAGGGTAAAAGAGGGACATTTGGTGTAGGAGCTGAACTAAAACAGCCGGCATGTTGGGTGTAGAAAGTGTCAGAATTCACAGTCAATTGTTACGAGTGTCACCGAGGAGGTTTGTGTTTCGGTGTGTGTCGCAGCTGTGTTCGTACTTACCTGAGAAGGCAGCGTTTTCCTGTAGTGCAGCCTCCCAAACATCTGCCCACATCTATTTCCTGTGGAAAATTAGCAACACAGAGATAGGGCCGTCAGCTCACAGCATGGTCACAAATATTGACACAGTCTAGATGCCGTTTAGCATGTTAACAGCTTTCTTTCGTCACCTGCAGGACCATTTGTGTTTGTGCTGCTCTCACACCTTTGGTGCTGGGGCTGACCAACTGTGTCCTATAATTCAAGATGAACTAAGAGCCAAAACTAAATCTAAAATGATGATTCTCTCATGAACTCCATGAAAAAATTACACAAACCTATTTGAATCTTTGAGGTTTTGAATTGTGGATTTGAGCTTTAAATAGAGCTTTAAAGGAGATTAATGCATTTATAACCTCATTGTCTACATGGTCGAAAGTCTATTTACATGTGGGTATTTTTGTAGATTACATTTGACCTCAAATTAACCTGTTTTGCATGGATTTTTTTTTATTATTGTGGATTGTGTCCGAATAAGCATAAAACACATCCTGGAGTCTGGCAGAGCAGACAGCAGTCAGTGGATTAGCTTGATTGAGTGCCGTCTTCCACACACAGGTCTGATGAATAAAGACACTTCATTACTGTCTGGCACCCAACTCCAGCCCCCGTTTCCTCTAAACTTAGTTACAAAAGAAAGTGTGAAATCTGCATCACAAATGAATCGCTCCTCAAGTGTCAAGTATGCCATGCTTATCAAAGAAGAAACACAACTTTTAAAAAAGCTGGAATGAGGGATGAAATTGGATTTAAACAGGTTTGTGAACAATATTGCTGATTTATAAGAGTCAGGGAAAAGTAAATCAAATTAAGAGACTATGTTTTATTGTTATTTTCCACTTACTTTAAGTTTTTCTTCTTTGACTCCATCTCCATGCTGGACTATTTCATAGTAATACTCCACATATGGGACCCTGTAGCAGCTTTCCTTCAGCTCACAGGCCGACACCGTCTGGATGAGGTCCACTTTGTTGGGAGTTTCCACCAAGGCTGAGTCAAACTTGGTGGGGACACAGGAGAAGCCCTCTGTGAAGGTTAGATAAAGGAAAGTAAAACATGAATACAATTACAGGATTGATTTTGTGGTTAAACTGCTTGGCAGGTCTTTTTAAACAAATCAAAGTAACTTATAAGGTCCTTTGTGCTCTAAAGCTGGAAAGTTGTTGTTCGTATTGGTAAATTTAGCAGACCTATACTTTTGACAAGACTTTTCTCATACACATAACTTAAATCTAAGACTTGATTCCAGTATAAGGCTTGCAGTGTAAGCGTCATTTGATGGTGGGTCTATAGGAGCAGCATAAATACAACATGCTGGTTCTATGGTTTACTGTAATTCAGCCATTGCCTGTCAATTTATTAACATGGTGGCAATGTGCATAATAGGGGACTTTTTAAGGCTTATTTGTACAGTAATAAATAGAAAAGGGTTGATTAAAATTAAAATGAAAAGTACAATATTTAAGGGTGTTGAATGATAAAAAATAACATCATAATTCAGAAAAAAACGAACCACTTTAGTGTCACACCCTCAAGCACGATTTGAAAAACTTCTGATATTGCCAAAAGTTTCTTTAAGTGCCCTTTTCGTTTGGAGACTAACTTTTTGTTGGTCTTATGAAAGCCATTTTTAACAATAATGTAATATTAATAATTAGCCCCTCTTTTTGTTTTCCACAGGTAAACATACTAACCTGGTGCGCCCTTCGACCTGGAGCATCCTCCCACGTCGATGACCGCTTCATACGGTGTATCGGAGTAGTAGGTCTTGAGCGCAGGGACGCGGATGCACTGGTTCACCTTAACGTCGCACTGGCACTCCTGGATCACCTCCACGTCCCGGGGCCCCTCGAACAGAAGGACCCGGTCAACACGCATCCCGGTCGGCTCGCACACCTGGTGTATCCCGCAGGAGGGCAGCTGGTTCAGCGGCTCCGGGCTCTCTGGGGGAGTGGGCCGTCGTGTCCTCATCTTATGAAAGGTAAGAGATGACACAGTTTGAGACATGTTGAAACATATTCCTATATGTTAATGTTTAATTCTTCAAGTTTGGAGTTACTTGTTTCAAACCCATTTAGTTTGGACTGTGTAAAAATTCCACATAATTCCACAAAAGCATGATCCTTAAATGATTTATATCACGCACCCAATTCATAACCATATATCTTAAATAATCTATCTCTATTTTTAAGTTTCAGGAAAAAATAAACTCGACAGTGAAAGTAACAGCATCCCCCAGTGGTCAACCCTGGGAACTTCACTTACCTTTTTGCTCCTGAGAAATTCCAGCATTGAGGAGTGTTTGGAGTATTCCTGCTGCAGTGCTTCATGTGATGGCCTGACTGCTCCCCCACAGTGAGACCTGCAAATCCCCACATCAACACTGACAGGACTCCCAGAGATGTCTGCAGTAAGAGAAACACAACAAGCACAAAAACACACACACAGTCAATTTGATATAAAAATAACATTCAATCAAACAATGTTAATACTTGCATTTGCATTGCAATATCTCAATCAGTGTTATTTAGTACAGTCCTGCTTCTTTTAGACAACCTCAGGCAACAACATGCGTTAATCAGTAAAGGTAAAGTCACCTTTAAAATATAAAAATAGGAGCTTACCTTGTCCGATGTAAACAAAGTGGCTCTGTCTTTTGCAGCACACTCTCTGCGTGAACAGGTTTCTGTGATCTATGTGTTTGCTCAGCACTCTGGTCACTAGAAAAATAACAAACATCTTGTTAGTTTGATAGTTTTTTTTTCACAGTGAATGCCAAGAGCATGATATGGTCCAGCATGAGCACTTCAGGACTGATGAAAACATGATATTTTATCCCTTTTACTCGACCATTTGTTTATGAAAAGCATTTTTCAGCAGTTACCAAGGCCTTAACAGATTTGTGACTATTTTAAACGCTGTATGAACATCTTAAAATATTCATATTCAAATTTTCATGAAAACATTTTGATTTAATTATACGAACAGCAAGTTTCCCCTTATTCATTGAAAAAATCCATGTGAAGAAATGACTACTTCCAGCATCATTCCTCTCATGTTTCAGAGTCATGCAGATAAGCGGCATTTAAACCTCTTCTACAAACATCACATCAGCTTTAGCAAAGTATCAGACAGTCAGTACTTACAGGTGAGGTGAAGTGCACACAGGAGGAGAAGGAGCAGTCGGGGTAAATCCATGTTTTTAGTCTCAAATAGCTCCTCTGCTGCCAAATCCTGAGTGTCCCTCTGCTCTCTGACGCCTCTGATATTTATACGGGATCAAGCTTCAGCCCCAGATGTGACTTGAAAACAAGCTCCTGAAGTGGTGTGGAGCCAAAAAAGTGAGAGCTAATCAAATTTCCATGCTAAATGCTTTGTGAAACGCGGTTCTTACAAGCACTTCAAAGGAAATCTCTGCAGCTTGTCTGTTTCTGCTGCGAGTTACCCAGAGGCTCGAGTGTGTCAACCAGCCCGAGCTCAGCCTAATGAAGGGCTTAAGTAGCCCTGAGCCATTAAAGTGTCGCTCATTCAAAGGCATTAATCATCTTTTATCTCAGGGGGAAGGTGTTTAGCACCTCTGACTTAAAACAAAACCCGGCCCAAACACACAAACAGGATCAGCGTGGGGGCCCCGAGCCTCCCCTTCACAAAACTCCAGCACCTTTGTGTTTATTCAACATGACACCAAATGGCCAGACCTTTCGGAGCAGTCCCTAAACCTCAGCAAATTCAGAGCAAAATGGTGAGAGGAGGAATCAAGACAACAAACCCATGATTTCAGACGTTGATCTCAGTTTTCATCATCATTCGTAGGTTAAAAAATAGAAATTTAGAGCACAGTAAGGTGTCAAAAAGACCCAGAATCCTTCTTATATTTTCTAATTATAAAGGGCAGCCCAAATACTGCGGCTCTTGTGTTTTTAAGTTTAATAAATAGAGGTTTATATTTTGTTTTTTGAAAGTGTGTTTCCCTCTGCCGTCATAATAAAGTGTTAGTCCTTCTTTGAAGTGTTGATCTGATCCCTTCATTTTCTGCGGGATCAGCGGATCATCGTTCAGAGAGCCATCAACACTCAGACACCTTGATTAAGAGGACACCTACTATGGTATCTACGACTCTGGAGTCCTTTTATTATAGTTACAACAAATCTTATTGAAACTAGGTTACAATCCTGGTAATACCCAGATTATCTGTTAATAAACTGATGTAATCATTCAAATCAACAGGGAAAACTGTAATGTTCTTTTATCCGGCATCATGTGAAGTTGATGAACTGTAAAGAAGACACAAAGGTCTATTAAACCTTTGTTTTACCTTTTCTGTTGCTACCCTTAATGGGAAATTAATTCACTTGTCAGTTAGAATTTATCACTTCTGTCAGGAAATCAGAGATTATTAAGATTGGAAAATACATTCATGCCCTTTGTGTAATTTTAAAACACCAAAGTCTTATTTTTCAAGTTGTAAAGAATATATTTTTAGGCATATCTGATCTTTGGACTTCTTTGGACTTCTGAAAAGCCTGATTTCATTCGCCTGTGATTTTAAATTCTGAAACTCAGTGACTGTTTCCCCCTTTAGAATTGACCTTGGATTAACTGTGAATGACCTAGCAGTTTTATAAACTTTTTTCTCCCCAAAATGATTAAAAGTACCCTCTCTTTCATTCGAACACACCTTTTTTTATCAGAGCCTCCCCGCCTCTCCTGTAAACCTATTAAATATATTCATCGGCACATGTGCTGGGATGATTACTCATCGATTATTGGATTACAGACAGGCACTCCTGACACAACCGTGCAGCTTATGAATAAGGATGACTGCTGGACAATCCCTGTGTCCACTTTGGTATAGGGCCGACAAGAGTGACGGCTAACAGTGTGTCTGTTCAGACAGTCTGGCCTTGTGTCCGTCTGGTATCAGGGTCAATGTCTGGGTCACTGTTATGTCTGGTCTGAAGGTCAAAAACTCTCTGGAAGAACTTTTACTTCTGATTTTGGTGCCTGTAGTCGGGGTAAAATTACTGTTTTTTTCTTTAAGATAAAAGGAGGAGTGTTTGTTTGATAGCCGAATAAAATTCAACAATGGCCTTGGAGGCAAAGAAGGGAAAAAAAATGCTAAATTTCAGAAAGAAATTAATTATGGAGTTATAATGTAAAAGATGTTTTATTAAATCGTTCTTAAATGTTGAGACTATTTGATGGTGTACCTCCCCCACTCACTTGACCCCCTACTGTGGTTGTCGTCATACACTATACTTAAATGGGGAGATAATCCCATTAAGCCGCTGTCCAGTGGTATATACAGTATGTTCACGTTGAGGGGTTAAAGAAGCCTCTGTAAAGCTATTGTCCTATACTGCATGGGAGGAGTCCAACACTCTGGGATTACGGGGCGTCATGCTGTAGGTCTAGATTATAAACCAGGAGACAGCACAAGGAAACAGCAGCAGCAGCAGTGAGACTATTAGAGCGTCCGAACATCCTGGAGTTTATATCCTGATAAGCACAGATGGTTTGGAGTTCATATCACGCTACGAGAGTCATTTCCGATCACCGTTTTCCTCCAGTGCTTGAATTTCTTCACTCTGTAATTTACCACATCGCTACTTTCAAACTTCTTCAAGAAAAGAGGAGTCATTTCTGGCGTCAGTAATCATGTATTTGAACAGCAGGAATAACAACATCAGTGCAGAGAGAAAGAAGAGGAACATAAAAGGAAAAACATGTGAGTAGAGACAGAAATTGAAGTCTGTTTTTTTTACCTCGATGCCGTAAATAAAACATGTAAGTTGATCATTTTTTTCCTTCTCAGGGGCTCACTTAAAGTTGAATTCGACCCGGGAGAATATCATCACCTCTTCACCCCAAAAGGAGGGGATGAAGCTAGCTCTGACAGAGGAGCAGGAGGTGATGCAGCACACTGCGCTGGGGAAGGCCGTTCATGACCTGAGCCACTCAGAGAAGGTGATGAATGATCTGCTGTTTGGACGGCGGGCGGGGTTTTACGAGTTGAGAGGAGAAATTGGCTCCGGAAACTTCTCCCAGGTCAGATTGGGAATACATGACCTGACCAAAGGTGAGATGTTTTGTTTTCTTTAGTTTTACAGCTTCAGTGCTCAGGTGGGACTTGTCTCCTTGTCCGTGTTTGTAGAAAAAAGATTCAGTCATACTTTTTTCCTCACACACAGGCAGTTTTCAAGCTTTTAATATTCACTCTATCATTTCTGCTTGATTCAGAAAGTGCAAAAACATCATCAAAATTATGAAACATGGATATTTTTTATAGATTTGAAACATTTAGCGGTTTAAAGGCCTCTATCTGGTTATGATGCAACAACATGCATGCATACCAGAGTTGTTACAGTATGGATGATAAATGATAAGATGATCATAAAGGCCACACGGTATCTCCCAGGTAGAAACACCTTTGCACCACTGCAGTGAAACTGGGTCATTCCAGCTTTCCCACACTGAGGATAAACATCCTGCACGTGCGTCAGATTAGCACTCCTCCTAATCTGGAGACTGGAAACTATTTCTTATATCTTGTATGCCTTATAGTTGGACTTTTGCATCCGGAAACAAAACCTGTTTTATTTAAAGTAAATTATAATTGATTACATTTACATTAAGAGTGTAATAATCGAGTCACAGGAATAATTTTTATCATACAGACATTAAATGCATCGCTAGCGGTAACACTTGACTTGACACCTATCTCTATAATGCATTATAAATAAATGTAGAATGCATTAATATCACATTATTGCACTGTATAAATATAGTTATAAACACTCATAAATGATCATAATGCTTTATACCAATAATCATAACACATTATAAAGCATCTTATCATGACTTACAAGGTCAGGTATTATAATATGTTGTGCTTATTGTTATAAAGCCTTATGATAAACAATGAGTGTTTATAATGATAGTTAAACAAGTTTATAAGCAAATTATAGCACATAATAAATATATGTATAATGCATTAACTATGTGGGCCTTGTCAGTGAGTTTTTAACAGTTATAACACATTAAAATACCTGACCTTGTAAGTCATGATAAAATGCTTTATAATGTGTTATGATTATTGCTGTAAAGCATTATGATCATTTATGAGTGTTTATAACTATAGTTATACAGTGCTATATTATAACACATTATACATATGTTTATAATGTGTTATAGAGATAGGTCTCAGGTAAAATGTTACCAAAATATCTAATATCAACTTGTTGCATGTTATGTTGAAAGTCTACAAACATACAGATATCCAGATTAGTCTCATTCAAAACACCCAGATCAGCTTAAAACATCATATTACACAATATGAATCTAGTGTGGCCCAAAGCAGAAGTCAAAAAGGGCTGATCTCATCAAACCAGCAACCCCCTGATCTCCACCGTCTTCAGCAATCATGTTTAGTAGCTAGTGTAAAATGTTATATTGATGCTATTAAAGCGATGCATTGTAATATAAGAACAATACAATGAAAAAAGAAGTAGAGGTTAAGTGTTTTAACTGCCTGTGCTCATGTCTTCATCCGCCAGAAAGAGTTGCTGTAAAAATCCTGGATAAATCTCGTCTGGACAAACAAACACAAACTCTCTGTGAGTCAGAAATCTCCTGCATGGTGAAGCTGGCTCACCCCAACATTGTGCGCCTGTATGAGGTGATGGAGACGTTCAAGAAGCTCTACCTGGTGATGGAGTACGCCAGCGGAGGAGAGCTGTTCTCCCGTATCAGCAGCAGGGGGCGCCTGTCAGACCTGGAGAGCAAGCTTGTGTTTTCACAGGTTCTGTCTGCAGTCAAACACATGGTAAGAAAACAGAAATGTGAGGAGTAAATTATGTTTTACAGTGACATAAAAACAAGTGGGTGATTTCTAAAAGGTTACATACTGCTTTATTTTCTAAATATGTGAAGGTGATAGTACCATAAAGCAACCAAGTATGAGGGATTTTTAACCTGTTGGAGCAACGATCTCACTCTCTTTTCTTTTTTTCCCAGCATGATAATAACATTGTGCACAGGGACCTGAAAGCAGAGAACATCTTCTATACCAGCACCTACTGTATCAAAGTGGGTGACTTTGGTTTCAGCACGACCTGCCATCCCAATGACGTCCTGTACACGTTCTGTGGTTCTCCACCTTATGCAGCACCTGAGTTGTTCACAGAAAAAAGCTTCTCTGGTCAGTGTGCAGATATCTGGGCGCTGGGTGTCTTGCTCTTCTTCATGGTGACTTCCTCTTTGCCTTTTAAAGCCACAAACACAAATCTGCTGAGGCGCTGTATACTGCAGGGCTCCTATGTGATCCCCTCTTATGTTCCTACATCATGTCAGGAGATTATTAAGGGTCTTCTGAGGCTAGTTCCTGAAGACCGCCTCGCTATAACACAGATCATGAACAGCAGCTGGATGACAGGTATTGAATACCCCCAGGCCTACCCAGTTTGTGCAACCACACCTTCGCACCTGGTTGAGCCGTCGCACATCCTCAGCTCAGATGAACTGAGCGTGAAGGCAGCACTTGAGGATCTTGGTATTACCAATGCTCATCTCTCAAATAACAGTCTTGACTTAAGAAGTCCCATAACAGGGGCTTACAGGATTCTGCTTCACCGCATCCAAAAGAGGAGAACTGTGGAAGCTGTGGGTTACAGCCAGACATGCACCAAAGAGTCCCAGGATAGACCGAGATTTAGAGCAGCCTCAGAGGGAATGCTAAATAAACGCCGATCAGTGGTCTGTAACGTCATGTAGTAACATATCAAGGAATGTGCTTACTCTGCTCGCTCTCATGTCTGGATGATAAAGATGCAGGAAAATTGACCCGAGTTAAAAAGGATTAGCTCTTAAAATGAATCTGATAAGGGCTGATATGATCATTTGACTCATTTAAGTATCAAGACTATCCTCAGATTGTGTCACCGTTGCAGATCTTGGATTGATTTTGATCCGACACTAATCATAACAACATTGCACCTGTGTCTTGTCCCCATTAGGAGCTTATACTGCTTAGCCCCTTTTACACAAGTACATATGTGAACATAAACAGCCCACCTTGGATAAGCTGCTTTAAAGCCTCATATTATCCCTTAATTAGAGGTGAGCTGCAATCTAAGACGCATTATTTCGACAAATCTCTGAATTTTGAAGTTAGCAGATGCTTTGCTTTCCATAATATAACAAGCTGTAAACACTTAAAAAACATTTTCCGTGCATCATCAGCTTAGATTTGTTCTTCAGAATACCTGCTTAAGTTGTCTTGAGTTTGATTGATTGATAATCTTATAGACTTGAAAGAAAAATCTAAGCTGGGCTAGAAAATGTATCTCAGATTACAGAGAGTCTGACACACAAACACTCTGAATCCTCAAGTCCAGACATGGAGAAATGTAGTTTTTTTAACAGGTCTTTCGCAAACCGTGAAACTATTTTGATGATCTGATCATGGTGCTCTTGTCACGTACCGTACTGGCTGAATGCAGTGATGTAAAAGGTATAAAAGATGTACAATACCACTGAATGAGCTGTGTAGATCTTCTTTAGTACTCGATCTTTATCACAGACGTGACATTGATACTGCTCCTATTGTCTTTTCCCTTGTAGTGATGAAAACAATGGCCTGTTTCCCTAAATGTTGAAACCGTAATTGACAGATCATGATTCAAAGTGTTGGAAAGAGGCTCTGATACCATGGAAGTACAATGACGACAGAAAAGTTACTCACATCTCATGCTAATGCAAGTCCCTGAAAAGAAAGTAGACCCAGCAGCTTATCTGTGACCGTACTTGGCTCTGTGTCCATTTGAACAACATCCAATGACTGAACATTGTTGCAACAAATTAATTGAGCGTGACAGATATGTCTGATCAGGAGCCGAGGAATCATGGGACAGGAATGTTGGAATATACAAAACAATTTCAAAAAGTGGGGGTTTTTTTACGAATAAAAAAGTGATATTTCAGGAATATTTCTGTTATTTCAATGCAATGAGTTTGATTGTGCTAGATTTACACGTTTATCAAAACTGATGTTTCATCTGAAGTGGGGTGCTAACTTTAAATCTGAAAACTTAATGTGGTTTAAAATATTCGTTTTTTCTTTTCAGGAATACAGAGTCTGCCTCATTTGATCTCACAGTTTTAAAGCCGTATACACATTTTAAGATCTGTAAATGGGACAATGACCTGAGCAACCTTGAAAAAGGAGCAAAAGTCCTGGCAACATTTACATCATTACAAAATAGTTTTTATTGGGGCACATAAAGTTCGCTGCTTATTGTGAAACAAAGTTATGATCATGACAGTTGTCGGAGTAAAGTAGCATAAAATATTACTGTAATAAATAAAATGACATTTTGAAATAACTGCAGGCGAGGTTGTGAAAGATTTTACGACAGCTTTCATCAGTATTTTTTTGCCCTTTTTACCTTTCTCTTTTAAGAGACGTAATTTATAATTCAAACTCTGAATTAACGGTTTGCACCAAACTTGCACAGACTTCTTTAACATTAATCTTAGAGTTTTGCAGGTATAAATTTGGCAGCGGTACAGAAACTGTCTGCGCTGTGATTTAAAATGTTTGCACTTTCACGTAGTCACACTTTTGACCCCTTTTTTTCTGCTACGACTGTGCTCAATCCTCCTGTTTCCTGTAAGTCATCAGGTTCCTTTCAGCATAAATGATTTTGTTTTCCTCTCATTCTGAGAGTTAATGCTTTTCTACTATAATAAAAGAAAGTTTGACATTTTGGATTGCGACACCAACCTGCCACACCTGTCTGCCCTGGTGTGCAAAACCAAGGGGCGCTGCACGTTTGTCAGTGTTTTTTTTTATTTTATTTACCATCAACAAGGACAGCAGAGGCCTGAGCTGTAAATCTTTTTGAAGCTGCAACCTAGTTCTTTGTCTTCTGGAGGTGCATCTATTAGTCTCACTCCAAGCAATTATAGATGTCCATTAATATAGTTTATGACATCTTTGTCTTTGTAGCTGCTCTGTAAATGTCAGGCTATAAATCATTGCTGCCTTTGGGCCAAATTGGACACCCATTCAAGTAAATCAGTCTGCTGTGCACAGTGGAATCTTCCGCTTTTATTGTTGATTGACCTACTTTAAAACATCATTGTCATGTCTGAAAAAGTTGCCATTGATACATATTTTAATCAACATGCAGTGTAAAAGACAAAGCCTCTGCAAGACATCAGTTTGTGAGTCATTAATCTCTGCAGACAGCGCGGTCAAACACTCTGCATTACTCACACTGAGATTTTATCTGCTGCGTGTCCCGGCACTTCTTGTGAATGCCCGTGAAGAGGAACGAGAAAAGCACACAGATCAATGAAAAAAAATCCATTCAGTAGCAGTCCGATCAGATACAGCCAGCTGTAAATCAGCACATTACATTCACAAATACTCTCTCTGGAGTTTCACCAACTGTGAGCTTCATCACTGCAGTCATTTTGTGCTGCAGTTGTAAACCAAAAAATTAAATTTCTGGCTTTTACTTCACCTAATCTGATCTTTATTTTCTATTCATTCATTGATTTAGATCTCCATTAGCTTTGGCTAAGGCCATCACTATTCTTCCTGGAGTCTACATTTACAGTTAAATCTCCATCGCAGTGCACAGTCACAAAAAAAACATCATGCCACAAACACAAATAAACAAATAAATGGAGCAAATAAACCACACAAAATCACTACAAAGTTTAAGATAGAAAGAGTTTAAAACATGGAAATTAAGAGAAATATACACTTTCTATTATTGTTTAGCTTTCTTGATTTAAAAAAAGACACATTTTGCAGTAAGAAAATATGAAAAACAAACTTTTATAATATAAAAATTATTATAAAAAATGTTTTGTGTTTGTGTTTGTAAATTACAATGGGAACGGTTCAAGTAACTTAAAGTAATCATGAGGAGTTTTTAAGTGGTACAGAAAAACACTGAAATCAATAGTGATGCTTCTTTCATGACCCATAAAAGCAGATGAGACCACAATCAGTGAGACTGACAGTTTCTTTTAATGCCTGAACCTGCTGTGAGGTTCAGACCAGATGGTTAACAGCACACTGAAAAAACAAGCTGTCTTGCATTTTCAACACCAGATATACACAATGGGTGACACATTTGACTGTTTAAAGACAGCAGGATGATTCATTTGAAGGAAAATGTTCCCAATCCATGCAATCCAGATCAAGATCAGTGAAGTAATTAGGATCCAACTTTGCCTACAGAGGACTCTAATTAGACATATCCTGGAATATCTTGCAGCTGTTATTAGTGTCTACATCAGTAACGGATGAACAACTGCAAGAGCTTTTTAATACTCAACTGAAACAGCAGCATGTTTTCTTTTTTTCAACTGATCTTATTGTGATCCACACGAAACATAACAGAAGTTAAGTCATCTGCAGTGATGTATAGTAAGTAAGTAGCAATACTTAGGTACAGTACTTTAGTATAATTTTGAAGTATCTGTACTTAGTGGATGTTTTTTGTGCCTGTGACTTTTACTTGGCCACATTTCTAAGAATAAAAGTATACTTTTACTCCACTACATTTTACCTAATGTTGATTTGCATTGCTCTTGATTGCCGTCAATCAGTCACTCAATCCAGTTACCCACCTAGATGTCCAGTGTCTGTGGTTTTTTGTCATGCCCAACTTCTGTTCCAAGTTCCCTCTTGACTGTAGGAGAATGGACTATTGTTTCTGGTTTTGGTGATGTGTGTGTGTATGTGTGTGTGCCCCTCCCTGTGTGTGTTCATTTATTATTCTAAGCTGTTGCTTGCACCCACCTGAAATGTGTGCTTATTTGGGCATAAGTGACTTTTGCAAAAACTAAAAAATATATATTTATTTGTATTTTGACTTTGACTTTTTACTTTTACTTGGAGTACATTTACTTTAATACTTTTGATACTTAAGTAGAAAGTAGAGTTCTCATGGGACACTTTAATTTTCTGGTAAGGTTACTAAACTTCAACTCAAGTATATTTCAGTACCTCTTACAAAACTGGTCATCTGGTTTACATTCAGCAACGTTTTGTTTCAGTTATCTTTTTTGCTGATCTGTTGAGCTATTTGCACAGAGCAGCTGTAAACATGGCGTATTGTGCCTTTAATGTGACTGTAAATGAGTCTGTCATGAGTTTAAAGTGTTTTATCTTTGACTGTATCTCCACCGCAGACGTTGTTAACAACGTCTGCAGTTACATATTAACTTTTGAAATAGAGCAGTGCGATATTGAGATTGCATTTACACTTGTGTTAAAATCAAACAAAGCCAGTAAATGCTCTGTTTGAAGTTAATGACATCAGGTGAGGACGGGGGATTTTCTGGCCTTTATAGCTGACTTACGGAAAACATTAAAACGTATTCAAGTTTAGACAGAAATGATGACCTCTTATTGATCCAGAAAGAAACATAACTCATAAAAAGTCATGTACACTTACAAACAATATGAGAAAGAAAGTTTATTTTCAAACATTTTTCAGCCAACACTCACAGTTATACAAAACCTGAACTCTAAATGTGTAAAAAAAACAAACAAACAAACAAGTATGAAACGTTGTAGAAGAAATTAAAACAGATTTTCCTCATTTTTATGCTACAGGATTAAGAAAGAAGTTTACATTCAATCATTTGTTGGTGAACACAGATATTTGACATCTGGATACATGTAAGAAGTGTATTTATATACACTGTATATATTATTTTCACTCCATCACCATTAATTGAGCAGCTTATTGAATATTTGATGCCTTGTAAGTAAGATAACAATTACAAAAATATCATGAGTAAAGCAGACATGACACTAGAGATATTTACTGTTTATGTGTACAGTTCAGCCGGCTTTCTCAGCCCAACCCCAACTGAGCTTTGACCCCTGGCTCAGGAAGAGTGAAAGCAAAAGTTATGCTACAAGATTTCCTTGACCAGCCTTCCAGAAAGGGAGCATAAAACGGTTTAATGATAAGGTTTGCCAGAGGGAGGGGGGGAATGTGAACGACAGCCTTTGTAGCAGATGGTCACCCTCATTCTGAGAGCTTCTGTGAGCGGCTCTGTGAAGAAAATGACATCCAATGTTAAATCAATTGACAATTTTTTTGAAATCGTTAAAAAAAACACCTTATAAATGTGTTTGTAGGTCATGTAGAGGTATCAATATTATCATCAGTCAGTTTTAGAAATGCATCGACTCTTTTTCACTACATAAATGTTGTGAGTTTTAGTATAGATACATGTAAACTTTATACTATACAAACTTTATACCACCCCTGCAGTGCACCATCCAGCCCCCCTACTCATTTAAGTCTGGATCCGCCCCTGGATAAAGTGGACTGCTATCAGGAATGTCTCACCTTCCTGCCATTTTGTCTTCTGATCCTCTTCTCAACCATCTTCATCAGATCTTTCACCCATTTCTCTTCGGGGTTTGTGCAAAACTCCCGTCCTTTTTTCATGGTGAAGCTAAAAGATGCAAACAGGTGTTAAAACAGTATTTTAATTGAATTCAAAGCAGCTTTTAGGAGACGGATGATCTGTTGGCTGTGCGCCTGTACTCACATCACAGCGGCCAGGTTGCAGCCTCCATCAGGCACTTGCCATCTGTACCCCACTGCGTGTTTCTGAGTGACGTTGCTCAGTTTCTTCACGAACTTTAAACAGCAGTCGTCGTAGCTCACTGAGGAATCAGAAAAACAGTGAAATTAAAACCCCTCACTGCACATAATAGATTATATAACATCATTTGTGCAAAGTTCAAGAAATTGACAAATCCCTTTAAGGTAACCGACACAATCGGGGTTGCTGAATAAAGCAATAAATGCACAATGAGGCCTTTTCTTCCCACTCAAGTTATGACAGGCAATAAACCGCCCTTGACCTTCATTTTATCTGTTATATCAGTCTCTTATTGTGACAGCTGATACCAGGCATCAGCTATCCTGTTATAACATCTCACCTTGTGCCAGTGCAAGACAGAGACACGATCCGACCAGCAGGAAGAGGAGTGTGTTGAACCGCATGGTGCAGAGTTGAGTCCAGCTGTAAAGCGGGGGAAGGTAGATGCAGAGAAATGTTTACTTGCAGTCAGTCTTATCATTAAGCCTCACACACCTTTTGAGTCCTAGTAATAACTTTGGACCTTGGACACAGATTTGAGCTCGATTGTCTTTCTGTTTAGAGGAACATGTGCTTTATACCTGGATGTAGAAATGAGACAATTTTAACACTAAATCACTCCAATTTTTCAATAAATGCAACTATTTTCTTTTCTCTTTACATCACATGACATTTCTGTTTCAGTTTAATCATACAGCTGTTTAAAAAACATTAGTCCTTTTTTTGATGCAGCACAGAATTGCAAGAAAACCTTTTAAATCAGTTTTAAATATAATATGTTGCCTTTAAGTTGCTATTGTAAGAAAGGGAAACAACACAAAAATCTTACACTTTTGCATGAATCTAATGTCAGAGGTATAAAGTGTAAATACTAGATATAAACATTTGCAAATATGCATGCTAAAATTTCATTATTGCCTTTATCTGACACATTTATTTTGAGTAACAAAAGAAAAGAAAAGAAAAATTCGGACTAAAGTGCAGAAAATATCTGTAAAATTATTACTCGTCATTATCTGCAGCTTGTCTAGATTTCAAAATACAATCCTGACTAAAACAGAGTGCATTACATCTAAAAGAATCACAGGTAACTCACCTGAAATGCTCCACATGTATTTCACAGCTTCCTCTGTGTCTCTGTCCTCGTGTGTCTGTGCAGGTTAGGGGAGGCTCTTATAAAGCGTTTTTCCCGGGATCATATTTCAATAAACGCTCCTCACCTTTGCACCTCAGCACATCTTTCTTCCTCTTTTTTTTTTTTCCGTATGTCAACCCACATTGATGTCGGACCTCTTCAGTGTTCTAACGTGTCAGAATCAAAGTACAGAGACTGCCGTGAGTTGCAATATCCAAAAAACAAGACTATTCATGTGAGTTGGAACAAAACAAGCAAATCTGAGGCCATAAATTTGAGCTTTACATTTTTATGCAGTGACATCTCCCAATTTCCTCTGAAGCTTTGGAAACTTAAGAAACATAGAGCTTTCCCTCTACATTTACATTAATAAGACTGAAACTGATCTCCTTATATGATATATGCTCACTTTGCCTAAGGTTGTTGTACTTGGAGTCTGATCCATTAAACTCTTTAAGGTTTTGACATCCGCTTCACACTGACAGTAACATATTGAGAAACACTAAGTCTGCTGTCATCGCCGGTTAATGACGGTGTTTTTTGCTGTTAATCTTTCATGACTTGTTTTCAATTTGAGAGTTTTACTGAATAAATCCTGGCGCTCTACAGTAATGTGAACATGTGATAGCAGAAGGAACAGTTAAACTTTTGTGCCGTTACAGAGCTCATCCTGCAGAAATCAGTGTCCTTTTATGCAGCATTAAGAATAAAACTGATATAAGCGTTTTCATACTCCAATATTAATGCAAAACAAACACCACAATGACAATTTTGCTGTATCTTAATACAGTGACAATAAAGGGATATTTCAAGTAAATATTAATGTAAATGCAGCCAAGTGTCTGTGTATAAACACGCTGTAAAATCATTCACATTTTAAAGTATGAGGAAAACCAACATTCCCCTTATTGAAAAGGTCTAATTGCATTGTTTATTTATTGCCCTAATCAATATACCATCAGTCATTGAGCAAAACTTTCCAGCTGAGATAGATTGCGATATCACCTGTGTGCTGTCTTATTGAATTTAATCAACAGGTAAGTAACAGTAAATCACAAAGGGAAAGTTACTTGTTGCTCATTTATTTCTGATTGCATATGGAAGTCCCCAGTCCCCAGACACCAGACTTTATATCAGACCATAAAGGTTTTTATCTCAGAGTGATTACTGCTCAGCCGAAGTGACAAAGAATAATCTGAGGAGAATGTTTTACTGCTAATGCTAACAGAGAGGGGGAATAACAAGACAGTGATATACAGCGTGCTTATCAGGACTATTCTGCATATTTGTGCCAACATTATTGATCTGTTTTTAAATTTTGATCAATATGTTTATTTCTTGCCAGAGGCTGAACTTACCCTAAAACCATCTTGCAGGGCAGATTTAAAGATTTTAAAGGCACTATAAGGAACTTTTATACCATTCACAATCTAGCTTAAACATGAAATCCCGTTCATATCCATTTTTCTCTTTTATTCAGTAAAGCCGTGGTTGTAGCATAACTCCACCTTGATCAATACTTCAGCAGAAAACACAAAACCTTGTTTCTAATCTTACCTCAGTGTCAGTTCTGAGTACAAACAATTAACTTGACAGGTTATTATCAAAAAGGAGAAGAAAACTTTTCTTTGGATGATGTACCGACTTTACTAGTAAAGCTCTAAACATAAACACTCCCAGGCAAGTGCCGACAATTCAGCACTAAACTTCAATTTAAAGGATTAACCGGTGTTATAAAAGGCTTATGATCTTATTTACTTTGGGTCACAGTGAGGCATCAGTAAAAGAGTGAGACTAATTCAAAACCACTTAAAACTCTCCGCATTGACTTAAATGTTCTCCTTCTGCCACGTTTCCTTTTAGAGTTCAAACATTATAAACAGGAAGATCAAATCGTTCGGATAGTTAAATGTAATTCTCAAATCCTTCAAGATTAGTGAAGACAAACAGGGTAAATGAATGCTGTCCATTCATTCATGTGTGTGTGTTTGTGTGTGTGTGTGTGTGTGTGTGTGAACTCCTACCACCCCTGCATGAGTCAGTGCTCCAGTTTGGCCTCTCCATTAAAGACATCTGATTGAGACACATTGGAGCTTTGTGTGTTATTCTAGGTCAGCCTCATATTAGACTAAAATTTTATCACTAAAATACACAAGAAGAGTCAGTATATTAGAATATATGCATATTTAAAACACATTTTGTCATCTTTTAAAGGCAAAACTGAAAATCTGTAACAGGGTATTTAGTATTTACAATTGCATATGAATATTTTCCTGTCTTTTTGCAAGTAAAAACATTTTCCCATGTCACACACCCACACACAATCACAGCCTTTGTTAGTCACATTTTATGTGACCTGGATGATTTAAAGTTCCTTTACTGGAACAGTCCATAATTCTTCCAAAAACCTGTTTACTCGCTCCGTTATGCCTGTCAGCATTCTCTGAGGACTTTGTCTCTGCGATATGGGAAACATGAGTTGTACAGAATCAGATATGAAGCATCCCTCCATCAGTGATACTTCAATCTGGAAGTTGAGAGGCTCTGCATTAAAAACACATGTCAGCATTGCCACATCGCGTATCCGCCGATAAAAGCTTTTACTTTTTGATTCCTGAAAATAAGTCGCAGTGTTCCTTTCACTGATACTTTTGTTGAGGCTTTTGTGACAGGTATTAATGAGCTTTGAGCGCCTGAGTGGACATCTGATAGCGCATTTCTCTGTTTATACTCTTAACAGTGCTCACATCCAAACAGCCTGCTAAAGCCCAATGAGGCGTTTCCATGGACCTGGCCTTTTCATTTCCTCTGCCTGCAGGGCATTTGTGCACACTCGCTCCACTTGTTTACCACTATTTAGATCCAGAGCGCACACACAACCTCCTATAGAGGTAATTTAAGAGTTTACCGTGAATAGTTGCCACCCAGGCATTGAAGCAGCTCATAAAAAAACTTGTTCTGTTGTGATTTATTCACAAAGTGCCTCAGTCTTTTTGAGCGATTCTGGTCTTGCTTGCTGCTGACAGTTGGATTTTATCACGGCGCAACATGAAAGAGATCAGATTGCTTATTGCAGGAACAACCTGGAACTTCAGACAGAAAAAAGTATAGAGTTGGCTGCTATCATCTCCATTCCTGGTTGTGACTCCATAATAGAAAGATCTTGATGGATTAACAGCAGTCAGTTTGTGTCAGGAGATGATGGTCCACTGCCAACAGTATTTGGACTCATGCCGCATGGTGATGCACCATGTTGTCTTCATCGTACCTGTCAGACAATGTGATTGTTTGTTCATACACTTTCATCACAGCTGTCATTTGGCGTGCATATTAAAGCGGACATCTCCATTAATCAGTGTGTTGGAAACTCGACTTTGGCGCACGGCTGAAAAAGCCGCAGATGAGATGAAGACAGAGTGGTCTCCCATCCTGCAGACTGAATAATGAGCCTAATTTAACTTTGATTCCTGTTTCAACCATCCATTAATAAACCACGTGTCCGGAAAAAGAGAAATGAAAGCTAGCATGTAGCATGAAAAAGACTGTGTATCTAGTTTAGCTCATCTTCTCTGGGCATGCTGATGACAAATAGAAACATTGCAAAATGGTTGCAAAATCAGTTTGTCTCTTTGCCAGATTATGTGAAAAGGAGAAGTTCTCTGCTGGTGTGAAACGTCCAAGTTGATCAGTTTTGTTCTGACTATGTTGTTAAGTTTTGTTGTTCCTGGAGGCCCAGTCTGGGAACTCATCCACTAATATCTTGCGACAGGCTGTGCAGGCTAAACACACATTATTCTGGGCAAAGGATATAGCCAGGGGTAATTTGCCCGAGTTATAAGGGATGTCCAGGTCCAAGACGTCCTTTTCCATGTTCTAGTCCAGCTAGCATCATGAGACGGAAGAATGGAGCTGTAATGGAGGGAAGTCATCTACATCTGGCTCGCTATGTGCTCATCCGCAGGCCTCTCTTCACGTTTACAATCACTATGTTTACATGCTACATGTGCTGATGTGATCAATCAGATTTTTCTCTCTTACACACAGCAGAAATGATCAAACTCTCTAAAGATCTACTGAAATCTTTTCTTCTGTCTCCAGTGTTCACAAAGATGACTGAATGACAGCTTCAGTTCAAAGTATTTTCTGCTTTTTTTGACACAAACACAAAAAATACTGACAAATGTATTTCTAAGTGCAAAAACATAAACGATTAAGGAAAATGAGTAAGAAAAATATGATTTACTCAATGTTTGGTTGAAGTTGCAAATAACATCCACTATACCGCAAAGGGTCACACATAATAGTCACACATTAAAGCCCCAGTGAGTAGTTTTTTCACAACTTTGAGACAGACTCTAATTAATATTAATGCCTTTTTATGGTATCCAAAAGTAAACAAGACGAGCAACAAGATTTTTATTGTAATTTTTAATGCCTGAAACAAGTGCGAGGGGGTGGGTGTCAGCCAAGCAGGTGTTGGAACAGCCCTGTTTTCACAATTTTCCACATAAAATCTTCACAATAATTGAGTGAATGAGCTGCAAGAGTCCAGTTCATTCAGAGCGGTCATACTTTTGAACATCTTAATATCAAATATCCAGTAGTTTCACCATTTTTGGAGCCCTTCCACTAATGTGAGCGCTGTTTTCCAGCTACTTTTTCATTTCCTCTGAAATTTTTCTTTTTTTTTTATCAATGGGATACATTTACACCATCTCGAAGCTGCATTCTTCAAATGGCACAGCTCAGAAGATAAGATTGCATATTGCAACACTTTTATGGGTTTTGTGAAAGAACATGTGGATTACAATAAGCTTTGTAGTCTTCCAGTGTTACCCTTGTGGGTTTTATTTTGAGGTTTTAGGCACAGTCATCTGAAAAACACTGGCCTGTTATGTAATGGATTGTGACCGAGGTAGTTTTCAGAGCATGTGCACATCATTATATTCACATATCCCACATGTGAGGAGCAAAGAACAATAAGGCTTCTTTCTGCAACCAATACTTGAATGTAGGTGAGCCTGTCTGCTACACTGCAGTCTCCCACATAGAAATTTGTCAGGCTGGATAAAAATCCTTAAAGATCTCTCTGGAGTATAGTGATGCTGAGGTGAGAGTTGAGCTTCCGGGCCCGCTAGCTATAAAAATGTTGACTCACTGATTTTTCCGTGGACGTTGGACATCAGCAACACTGATGGATTGGAGCAGAAGTGAAACTGTTTTGGTTTACTGAGCAAGCCAAGCTCTCTTGACAGACTCTGTGGCAAACAGCACAAACACAAGCAGAGGCTTGTTTGGGTTTTGCCTGAAGGGAAATTTGAAGAATGATTCTTTCTGAAGCTTTGGTCGGCATTGTGCAATCCACTCTCTTGTGAAACATTCTCTGTTTTGTGTGCTTCAACCATAATTGAAGAAACAATTCAAACAACCACTTCTGTTTATATCTATGCTGAATTTGCTCTGGTTTGTCTCTGACTACTTCTTACACACGGTCATTTTCTGATAGGAAGTTTATGTACATGTTTATGTAGCTGTTGCTTTGACCCTTATTCTGTTTCTCGGTGAGTGAGAGGAGACCAGATCATAACAAACAATGTGTTTCATTCCCCCACAGAAAAAGCTATGGTTGAAATAAGAAACATTAAATAGGACACTGTGTGCAGATTACACTGAATTTAATATGAAATACTGTACATTGCTACAACATCAACAGCAGACCCTTTGGTAAAGGCCACAAGGCGAGTTTACAGCAGCAATAATTAACTCAAAAAATTGAATTATTTTGATTCTAATTAACATTCAAAAGGTTATTACAGTAATTTAAAACATAAAAAGTTTGCATCTGAATTAATCACCAAAGTGTGAACATCATACAAGTTCACGCAGTTTATAAACACGCTGTGAAATCGAAAGGAAACTCATTTGGAGCTTCATGTTATAGTCTGCCCTCTAGTGGTAGGTGTAGTGAACAGCACAGGCCTTTGGTTCAGTGTCAGTACTCGGGCTGTTAGTAAATACTATTCAGTGGGAAAAAAAATCCACATGAAAACAGATGGAAAAAAAGCTAAAGACAAACTGAAAAGGGTCAAACTCTGGCACTGTGTTTTATTTTCCCCAAATGTCCCAACATGTGGTGCTCCTGGATTTGATCAGAACCAAGTGTGTGGGTGTGGGAACCAATCAGAACTGCTGAGCAGCTCATAATGCTCTCATGTCTGATTCACAGCAAAGCAAATGTGGCTTCCAGAGAGGCACAAATACTTCAGTAAAAGGAAGGATGTAGAGTGCAGATGTGCAGACTGGTAAACAATGATCACTTCAAAATGTTCCAAAAGAGTATCACATTTCTGTAAAGATAGATCCATGTTTTAGCTGGAAAATAAACATACACTTTGATTATACAGTATATGAGACAAAAATTGGCTTTCTTGTACTCTGTCTATTCAGTAATACTTCTTACTGACATAAACAGACTTATTCTAAAGCTTATTTTCCTGTAGTTTCTTGTTGTTAGGTCCTATCTTTGTTTAACTTGTATATACATGTTTTTATTTCCCCTTTCTTCACTCATACCTTTTATTCTGTGTTGTTGCAGAGACCAAATATCTCCTAGTATCATTGCCTCATATTATTTCATCCTATCTTATTTGGTCTTTTTATAAGCATGGCTCCTTTAAAGAAGACTCCTTTGATAGCGAGTAATTTACTAGATAATCACCCTAACCACAAGCTTTCCTCAGAGTTCTGTGGTTTCAAACACTTGTAAATTTTAAGTAGGCCCACTACGGCATGGGATACTGCTTTGATGGCGCTGAGAAGCTGCAGTTCTAGTGTGTTAGCTATCCAAGCTTATGATAAAGGTTCTGTAAGAAGTAGGGGTGGGAGAAAAAAGTTGATTCACATAAGTATAGCAAAGCTATTCCTGGAATAGTCAGTAGACAATCATAATCATTCAATTGTTTCACTGGTGTTAAAAATTCAGACTAAAAACTGAGAAAGTCGACAATATCATAGAATCCCAATTTAAATCGAATTGGCATCCAAGAAATTGTAGAAGAATTGAATTGGGAAAAATATATATATATCATCCCAGCCCTAGTAAGACGTTTTTAGCTAAATGTGGAAGAGTCTCAAGTAAATATAAATGCCTCTTAATGAATTAAAGAAACAAACAAGATCACCAAAACAAAGGTTAAACATGTTTTAGTTATTTTTTATGAGCTGGAACTACTGCTGGGGTAGATGTAAGAATAAGAGACTAACTGCATTTTGCTGAAACAGCCTTTTTATTCTCAAGAGTAAAGTTCTGTTTCAAACATTACTTTGAAAATTTTTTAAAAACTGCTTGCAAGTGACTTGATTTTCATAACTTTGGAAGAGCATTGCTGCCTTGTTTGAGGGGGGAAAAAATCCAAAAAGTATGTATAAACTGACCTGCAAGTGAAGAAGATGATATTTGATTCTATTCAATGTCTTTTCAAAATAAATTTTAACTTTATTCTTAAATAACACGATCAAAATATATATTTCTCCTTTTATTTTTGTCATTTTTGGCCCTTCAGTCTCTCACACTAAGTTAACGTAGACGTGGCGAGTGTCCTGCAGGGGGCGCCATATATATATATGTACACTGTACAAAGAGAAAGTTTTTATAAGGATCTTCAAGCTTGTGTTTTGGAAATAATATCTTATTTCAAACCCAAAACAACACCCTGATAACATCAGTGCTCACATTAAATATATGTGTCTGATTTAGTAACACGGCAGAGGGCAGGAGGACGTTTCCAGCAGCACTCGGCGGCAGCAGTGAGCTCTGTCCGCCGCTGAAAGCGTCTCGGCCTCGGCTTATCTGCGCGGTGGGTTGTGGGTGTGTGAGCGTCGAAGTAAAATGGCGGACTTGGCAAACGAAGGTGAGTAAGTGGCAGTAAGAGGAAACAATACACATACTGTGCCGTTTAGCAGCGCTGCCGAAACATTACCTGCATATTTTATATCTGAAACGAAGCTGCTCGACCGCATGTTAGGAACAACTTTGAGGGATTTACGGCTCTACGGCGTTCACAAGTCTACAGTGATAGCGTGCTGGCTAACAATGCTAACGATTGGGCTGTGTCTATTACCTGAAATGTGTCGAAACGCCCTCTTAAAGCTAGCACCCGGCTATTTATAGGCAGTATGTTTTTGCCATTTGTGGTGACTTAAAAGAGGCATTGCGGGTGTAAACCAGGCAAACAAGGCCTAACAAGAAAAGCGCTGCTTATATTTGAGTTAATTCACAAATCCGTTGCTAATTATGAGATGTGTGGATCGGCTATTAATGTCAACAACACGGAATCCTTTTTGTTATTCAGCTAGCGGTTAACGTGCATTTAGGCGCGTAGAGAGAAAACATCAACAGCGATCCAATCTGTACTTCCTGAACACTTTCTATTAAATATGCATGCCAGTGAGGTGTTTTACAGGCTGCTGTGGAGGAATCCAGTTAGAAAATTTGTGCCATCGCATGTGAGACGATATGACTCATGCGGGATGGAGCGCATTAGCAAGCTAACTATAACTGTTCGAGGGGCATTAGGGAACAACCGGTGGCGCCGACTATTTGCTGGAACGGGTCAGATAGTGTAAGCGCTAGCCCCTTAACATAAGCCGGGAACGTCTCGGGTTGCTTGAATTTCTTCAGCGGGTATCGGCGCTGCATGCTTGAATTATACCGTACATGAGGTAAGATAGCTGTCTGTGAACTGCACAGTAATTCAAAGCTGGGTGTTAAATATAGGTCACAGCGTTTTGTTGTGTTTTCTGCCTTTTAGACGCGTTACATAGATAAACAGCAATGAAGGGTCACGTTAAAGACGCTGAAGGTCTGCTCAGGAAACAGTCAGGACGGTGTAGTGTCTGCTGTTTTGGGTGATAGTGTGTGCATTTGTGCCCCGGCACGGCTCACAACGACACCGATGCTACACCTGCTCCGTGTAATAGGCCCAACCCAGACAGAGGAAAAACCTTTGTCTGCTAACATTATAGGATTACAGAGGTTACCCTGTCGAGGTAGACGCGTCAAGTGGACTGGGCTTGACAGCATATCATTACCTGACTTGGCGATTGGCTGGTTTTCACAGTAGTATATCAACATCTGAATAATATGATTGTAAAGGGAGTTACATTTACAAGACAGCTGCAAGGTTAAAACCTCGATCAGTGTGATGCATGCACGTCTCAATTAATCTCTCGTCTTATTTTAATAATATTGTTCAGTTTTTGATCATTGTTTATCCAATGTTGCCACAATTTGATCTCATTCTTCCTGGTACTAATGGGATTGCAGGATTAACTCTAATATAATATTATGGGATTTTTTCTTTTGGATTACTCAAATTGAAGGTTTAATTAGATTTCACAAAGTGCAACTGTAAGATGTCTATTGTCAATATACAGTGTATTACCTGTAGTAAATGGTTGTAAGGCCCCTGTTTAGAGCAGCCGATACATGATTTAAGCCACGATCATTGTCGACTAGGTCATAGTAAAATAAGCTACAAGCAAAGGCTGCATAGATGTCTGCAAGTTTATTGATATCCCAATATGAGTATTTGCAATAAACATAGCAAAAATCAAACTTTTTTTACAATAAAGCAGGAAAATATTAAATGTTTCCCCACTCAGCATGTATGCTTTACTTCTTAATTGGAGGTTTAGTTATTTTGGGTATGCTTTTACACAATTAAATGAAGCAAGATAAAGCTGTAGCCACCTGTCAGCAAACCTATAATGGACTGGTGATGTTTTAGTTTTGAATAAAGAGCTTTTTAGATATATCTTCAATCAGAAGAAACATGGCCTAGTGCAGGGGTGGGCAATTAATTTTTGCATTGCAAGAAGCAAGCCCAAATAAACAATTACGAGTTACAAACAGGCCCAAAAAAGCGCACTCATGACTTGTGAGTTTTACAAGCGACTTCTGAGAGAAATAAGTCTAAAGTCTTTTAAAATAAGCGGACTTGGCAACTATCAGGCGTCTACGTAAATTTTGCCGATGTTTAAACTTGTCTCTGTTCACGAATGCAGATCTAGGATGTACGGACGTGCATCCAAACGGAAATAAAAGAACGGCTAGGTTTTCAGAATAAAAGCTACACACTTGTATAGCATGTTGATGATTTGATTGACGGACCTCACGAAGGGCCGGGCAGGGACATCCAAGGGGCCGGATGTGGCCCTCGGGCCAAAAAATGTCCAGGTCTGGGCGAGTGTCACATTTGCTGATTAAAAAAAAATAGGAAAAAGTTTTGTTTTATTAGAGGAAAATATGATTTAATAACCCAATTACAGTATAAATAATTTTTCGATTTTAATTGTAGATATGTACATAAAAAACACACCACACTTTTATGGTCTTATTTGCTGTCATCATCACACATGAAAATAAATATTGAGGAAACAAAACTGACAGTTTATTCTAGTATTGTGCAGCCTGAGTTCAAACAGAATTCACAAAGAGTAGTTCATCGGGTACCTGCCAGTATACATTAACCAGCAGTGAGTGGTAATCAGTAAGGTCCTGTTTGGCGGGTGTATAATTGAAGCTATGGTCACTGTGTGGACTGCATGTGGCAGAATGTGTAAAAGACACCTAAAAAGTGCCCCTGCTAAAAAATACTAATAAAAACAGTATGATGCTCCCATAAGGAGATTGAGGCTGATTATAACAGAGTGAAATCCATATTGATGCATCCAGGAGCTACAAGAGCAAACAAGACTATAAGCGTTCAGATTGCCTGCTGAGATATTTTTAGTGTCTAAAACCTCGATCATACAATAGGTGTCAGATGAAGTGACAGACAGCACTTTGCATAAACAGTCTTATTTGCTTTATTTTCTATGTCAATGATTCTCAAAGACTGATAGAACAGTGGAAAACTCACTTCAACATGTACAGAACATGATGACCACCTAAATATAAGAGCGAAAGGGTACAGTTTTATCCACAGGGGCTGCCAAAATCAACCCAAATTCAAAGGTTATTTGTGTGCAGATCTTTACCTGCCATCCACTCCAGGTTCTAAATTTACCACAGCACCTCATGCAGTTGATCTTCATGGGAACATAAACAAACCTTGAACTTTAGTGAGAAGTTATTTAATATAATTGAAAAAAAATCTATTTCCTAGTGTCACCTTGGTCAGATTATTTTCACACTTGCTCCTTATACTTCAGTGTAACCCTACTGTCTGTATGCACCGTCCTTTAACTTGGGATTAACTTTTGACTTTGTGTGTTAACTCCTCTGATGTGTTTATTACTTTGCATCCAAAATGCTGGGGTGTTTTTATGCTTGTGGATTATGCAAAGTACAAATGCACAGAAAACCTTAAGCTTTACCAAGGCCTGTGCTTTCACTGCAGTGTTTAGTAGAATTAAGCACAGAAGAGTTGGCAGAAACAGGACATGATATTTGTAGGTATGTTTAAAGTGGCGTGTAATCACCTGAATATAAAAAAACGTCTCATCTTTCTTAATTTAGAAAGATTATTTTAGGAACAAGTCTCCTTCCACTCAGGCTGACATCTTTCACAAACAAGTGATAATATGTAACGCTCTTGTATTTGGTGAGATGATGTGCAAAATGCGTTGATTAGGAGGTGAAGTCAAAGATGGCAGTTTTTGTTGAGCTCAAAAGAATTTGTACTGATGGACATTTCTGATGGTAAATAATAGACAAATGAGGGATCATACTTATCCAGCGTCACAGCAGAAGGAGCGAGTAAGTGAGCTTTTCAGTCCAGAATCTATCCTTCTTGATGTTGCTTAATATTTCTATTTCTGTACACTTCACCTTCAGGAGTATATCTGGGCCCTAAAATGAGATTCCCAACATTGTAGCTGCTTTTCTTTTCTATTGCTCAGCATGATAAATAATAATATATGGAGGACTGCTGTACCCTTCCATTTTTGCACCAATGACTAGCCTATATTTTCTCTTAACAGACAAGCCTGCCATAGCGCCCCCTGTCTTTGTTTTTCAAAAAGATAAAGCACAGAAGGTAAGTTTCTTAATCTTATTCAACTATTTATTGAAGCTTAGGTCACTTCCTGTTTTTCTTCTGTTTTTTTTTTTTTTTTTTTTAGATTTTATTAACTCTCTGCACTCTGAGGGGCACAAATAACAGACGAGTTATGAAGCTCACTTATGCATCTTTCCAGAATTTAATCTTCTTTTCATAGGAAACTTGAAGACCTATTACCACTTACTTTCTTCTGAGTTGTTTTTACATGACCTTTGTTTTAAAGAATCACTTTGGGATAAAATCGGAGCATTTAAACTCTTGGTATTTTTTCGCAGCGATCTGCAGATGGCTCAAGTGCAGAGGATGGAGAGGGTAAATCTTATCTTCAAACTTGCCATTTCTTTTTTTTTTAATATCATTTTTTTTTTGCTAGCATAGATTTCTGTATCCTTGGATGATCTGAGTTTGTGTCCACTGTATTCAGATTCAGATAAAGACGAGGGAAGCTATTGCCCCCCTGTGAAAAGGGAAAGGACCTCATCATTCCCACCCCCACACTCTGGTAAGGGCACGTTGTGACTAAGCAGAGCATTTGTGTTTTTTCTTGGTTCTTGCTTGTGGTGTACACATTGATTTGTATGCTGAGTGCAATGCCTGTTTGCTACTTTGCAGTTCCCAAGAACAATGTATTCATGCCCTCAAGTTTCTGCCAGTCCCCGACTGGGAACTCTGACTCTGAGCCAGGTGAGGCATCAAGACCACCATTAGCTTTTCTTCACTGTTGAAAGGCTCTTCTCTTAAATCCTAGTTTCAAGAATCTGAGTTTTCAAAGGTCAAACATGGGTTTTTGTTTTTTCAACTGTGGGGCAACAGAGGTGATGAATCGGCTGAGACACTTAGCCTACAGATACAACAGCTAAGATACAAAAACTTGCATGCCCAAGAATTACATGTCAGAAATAATTTATGTGTGTGTGTTAAGAGTCTTTGCAGCAATAGTTGTAATTTAGATGTTGGTGATTTCTGCCAGCAAATGCACCCCTTCACATGAGGGGATGATTTTGAAGCCTTAAATACACTTTTTATATAATCTTGACCCACAGTCTAAGTTGGTTTGTGTACCATTCTTTGCCATTTTGTTATATGTGTTCTGCTAAATTTTCTCCTGATAGAATGAAACACAAATGGCTAAAAGGAAGCTTCTCCTCATCTCTAGTTATTCAGTTTATGATAAGCTGTTAGTACCTGTAACTGAGCCTGTACATCACGTAGCTCTGTTCTTGTTAATGACTTTATAGATGTTAATGTTCAGTCTGGAAACAAATTTTTAGCTCACCAGTCAATTTTATGGCACAAGCATTCAAACTGGTAATACAGAGGGATTACTGTTATTAAATGCTTCAGTGTTATGTGCTGATATTCAGCTAGAGTTTGTATAGTTGCACTGAACATAGAGGGGAGTTCATCTGAGTTTATAAACCACTTATGTATTGTGCTGGATGGCTACTGTGCCTTCTTTTGTATGGAATAGATTTATACACTCAGTTGGTGTACTTCTACAATGTTCCAGTCCAACAGCGCTGACATTAACTTTACCTACAACAAATACAGCATGAAGGGATGTGATTCCTCTGGATTTATCTGGAATTCAAAGGTTGGGAGCCAAAGAGGCGACCAGTTAATCAGAAAAAACATACTTTGAATGAAGGGGAGCAATAAACTGCACGGTGAAGTAAGCATGTTAATGATCAAGTTACTGTTCAAGCTTAGTTGCCTCTTGTTTTTAACGATCAAACATGTAACTGGCTTTCATGTCACCAAGGTCTAGAGTTTGGTATAAATGTCCACTTTGAGAAAATAGGCGTTATTTAGTCGTAAGAACAAAAATGTAGTCCCTGCTCAGAGTGATGAGGAACTGTCTGTCTTTCTCTTTTCCTCTCCCTCTTTCTGTTTGTCTCCCCTAGTTTCTATGGCTACAGGACGCTCCGTATCTGTTAATATTTTTCCTTCTACCTTTGACTTGTCCGACTCTTAAGTTGATCAAAATTAAGATTTTGGTCTGCGTTGTTGAAATATTGCCGAACAGGGGTTTTTAAATTGATCCAAATGATGTGACAATGTGGCTCTAAATGTGAGTGAAGGTCGTTGATTAAATCGGGTGGGTCCTCCTGCTTTTTTTTCTGTCTGATACTAATCACATCCCTGAGTAGTGTAATAGCTTTAAGTTTAATGGACTGTTCAGGATGTATTAATGTAGCTGCATCCCCGTTACAGAGGCGCGGTGTCTAGTTCTGTCAGACTGCATCATATTATATACAGTAAATGTTATCCTTGCATTTTTCCTCTCTTTTACTGACATAAAGGGGAAAATAGAAACTTTCTGATGGAATGCGTCCCTTTTGTACAAATACCATTCATTGTGAGCACAGAGATGACACAGAGATTCATGGGAGAGCAGATGTACTCGATAACAGCTTACTGTATTAGTTAGAGTCGTTGGGTCACCAAAACTGTTCGCCTCTTGAGTTCTCAGTGTCTGAGTCACCAGAGAAGAATTCGAGTTCAGTCCTCTTTGTAAATATTGTCATTTATTACAAACAGGGAGGCTCTTTCGCTCCAAACTACTTACTGTATAAACCTGAACTGACTGAGTGGGACCTTTTTAGGATGTAAAAAAAAAAAAAAACACAGGTCCTTTATTAGCATTAGATCCTGACTGCTCCTGTAGGCGTGTCTGGATGTTTCATTATCAGTGAAGCCGCAGTGGTGTGTGTGTATGTCGTGTAAAAAAAAGCCACACTTCTCCTAATGAGGGGACGGGCTTGCCGATTCTGCTGCAGTGTGATCGCTGCAGGTCTCTGACAGTCTTAAAAACACCTGCAGGCCAACCGCTGTGAGTGACAGCTTTGTTTATGTGGCAGGTTCAAGATACTTGATGTCTTTTCTGCGTATGTGTGAATCTTTAATCTTATATGTCAAATCAATCAGAATTTTAGCAAACCAAACATCTTGCACCCTCCGCTTGTGAACAGTCACACAATAGATAGTCCAGGTAGCCTTGGCCTAACCTTGATTTTTCTGGCTGCACCTGGTTGATTCTCTGTCACCTGGTCGATCTCTTTCAGACTGCCTCCCTCTACTGTAAATTCATTGAAAGCAAAATGCTCCACTTGTAGTGTCTCTCTCCTGGTAGGAACTGTATCTAAACTAAGATGGCATGTGATCATGCATTCAGGTGGACACACAAGCTAGCTGTTTCTTTAAACTCCATAAACTGTTAGAGCCTTTCATTAGAAATACAGACATGAATATCAGTCAGGATTTGAGTTGTTGTTGATTTTATCTGTCAGATAATAGCACAAGCTCAGTCTTTTACACTTACCCCAAATCCCACAACTGTTCAAAAAGCATTCACTTGATCAAATTAACCAGGCGTAATTAAAATCCACTGTTTTCAGTCACTTCATCACCCACTAGTTTTGGAGTTGCAGTTTCCCTTCTCACAGTTGTGTCCAGTCCGGCTCTCTCGGTTGGTAAAATGAAAATGTAGCCCTGATTATACGTAAGCACTTTTTGTTGAACTCTTCTGTACATGAGACATGTAGGAATGATCCTGTAAAACTCGAGGGGAAAAGAGGATGCTGATTCAAGAGCGATTTCAGCTCACTGATTAGGAGCAGGTCATGCCGGGCTAATAAAGCCGCTGAGATAGAGAGCGAGAGGCACACAAAGATCAAAGGCCCCAGAGCCTGCCATGCTTGTGTGCAAGAGCTGGATCACAACAGAGCTCCTCAAGCTCCACAAGGGTTGCTGTGGTAACGGGCCCTTTGGTTTGAAAGGTGCAAAGACAGAAGGAACGTACTCTTGATAAGTTGCTGTGTGACTCTTGGATCTTTTTTTAATGACCGCTCTTTCTTCTTCCCCGTCTCACCAGAAGAGAAACCCGTGGGATTCCGTTTAAAGCCACCAACCCTCATACATGGACAGGCACCAAGTTCAGGTGAGTGTTTGAGGTTCTTAGCCTTGTTGACATAGTCCTCTTTCTCTCTGATGTTACTGAAATAGGAAAAAAAACAATTCAACTCTTTGCACATGACCACTCCTAAAAATTGAAAGGGTACATGTAGACTTAAACATGTAGATCCCAGACATCTCATTACCCTCCGACATATTGCAGCAGTGCTGGAATTAAATGCTGGTTTGCACTCACAAGTTAGATCCAAAACAACATTTTATTAGTCTCCCAATGTGTACTTTTCACATCCTATTGCGACATTGCAGAAGTGAAGGCATGGCATGTAAACACACGGTAGGAGCGCCACAATCATTCAGACCGTGTCCGTAGGTATACATGTATTTTTGAAAATTGTATTCTTTCTCTGTGTTTTGTCCTCCTGTCCACATGCAAACTGAGTTTTAGGTCACTGAAATCTTTTCGCAAACTCTTTATAATGTTAATGCCACTCCACTGTTGCCATGTGGACTGCAAAAACAAAAGTTTTGGGGAAACGCTGATGCATGCTGCACATGGCAGTTATTTACATGTGTTGTGCACATGCCAAGATAAGAGGCTGCTGGTTTGTTTAGGCCTGCTGGATATTATTTGGTTTATTTGAATGTTTACATGGAGACCTGGCTGTTCTCCATTGTTATACCACAACGCAGGGGCGAATAAATACATCATGGTCAATAATTTTCAGTTTATTTCTTACATAGTTCAAAGAACTTCTCTTCAAATTGCAGCTTGCTCAAGAAAACACTCGAATGTGTATGCCCACAATGTTCTTCAACGGTGGTTGGATGTGACGGACTGATTACACATTAATGCTACCTACCGGCCTGGCATGCTCATATGAGTGTTTCTGCGTTTCAGACAGAGCAGTATTCAAAAATACCTCTGATGTGGACAAGATGTTTTTGAAAACACAGAGAAAAAATCAGTTTTCATAAATTCTGGCCTCGCAGATACGCACATTCACACAGGGCTGTTTGGTCCTACCAGCTCCAGTACTACACATCGCTGCCACTTCCCATTCTGCCTCTGCTACTACCTTCAAGAGAGGGCCAGAGGCTGAATGACTTAGCCCCACCATTACTCCTCTGTGCATTTCACATCGCAGAGGAGGAACTGCCTGGAAATGGCAGTTTGTAAGAGCAAATAGAGTCAAAAAAATTATGAGACAAGTTTGCTCTGTTGCAGGGGTCCCAAGTCAAAAACCCAAGGAACAACAACGCAGTGTCCTCCGCCCTGCAGTTCTCCAGGCGCCACCCTCCAAATCACATATAGAGTCCAGTGAGTACTGGTCATCTGCACTGATTTGCGTCTTGAAATTGAAATATTGTTTGACTTACCAATAAAATAGATCGTTCATTTCCTTTATGACTTCAAGCCAAACTTCTTATATACAGTCAAAGGAAGAGACCATCGATTATATTTCTCCGTCTCCTCTCTGTCTTTTGTTTAAGATTCAAGTTGTGGAACCAACGGGGTGAAAAAGTCATCAGATGGGGCGCTTGCGACCCCGTCCATCTTTCTGAACAACACAGAGCACTCAGCCGACTTGGCAAAGACACAGGTGAGGAGTGGCCAAGTCTTCATAATAATCCAGGGCTCGGTATTGAAAATAAAGCCAGCCAGATCAGTGCAGGTTTTTCTTAAGGTCTCCAAAAATGTGGGAATTAGCCAAAGGGCTGAAGACCCGTGGTTATTTTTATTCTCTTGTGACTAGGCAGCACACTGAGTCTGTTTTAGGAGTTATTCACGTTATATACCAAAAGAGTCCCTTTGTTTTGAGTGAAAGTGGAATTTTTTTTCCCCCGAGCAGAGTATAACTGACGCATTTGCATGACACTGAAAGATAAAGCAAGATATGAAGTTAACCCAGAAGATGTCCTCTTTGAACTTGTTTTTCAGAAGCATGAAAATGAGGAGGATGGAGCAGGTGGTAACAAAGAAGAAGGTGGAAGAGAGAAGAAGGATGCAGATGTAGCAATATCTTTTGTATTTGGTCAGAATATCAGAGACAGAGCGAAGGTGGGTTGTTTTCCATGTCGAACACCTCTTCTCACATGAAGTGAACATGCTAAGTCAGGTCTCGAAGGATACCTTTGTGTGAAGTTACCTTCCTTAGAAAAGTGTTTTTAGAGGTGCATTTGTAGCAGTATTTCTTGCTGCAGCCCTGTTTTAGTCTTTTTTTTGAAGGTTGAGATATTTCTCTAAGCATAACTCCAAACATACTCCTTTCTCCTAGTTGGAAGAGAACAGTACAGAAGACAAGTCAAAGGATGGTGGTCCACTGGACTCTCAATCAGAGGGCACTAATTATTTCTTACAGTACATCTCTACCCCAAGGTAACAAAAGGGTCTCCTCCTTTGAGTGTTTTTTTTGCAGCTCACCTCATTCATAATTAGGTTTATCAGCTCACTAATTCCTCTTCTCTTTCCTCTTCTCGCAGTTCAAAAAATGCCACAAACAGTACAGACAGTGGGGCAAAATTTGTATTTGGGCAGAACATGTCTGAACGAGTTCTGGTGAGCTTTTGTACACGGTTCAAAAAAAAAAAAAAGAAGTCACTCTTTCATCTGCCAATTTGCAAAAACCTCATGAGTGAGCTTTGAACAAGTTCCAGTAATTATCTTTGGTTGTGCTTTCAGAGTCCCCCAAAGGGTGAGTCCTCAAATGAGGAAAATAAAGAAGTTACAGCTGCCCCTGCTTCAGAGCCCTCATCGCAGGAAACCACCCCAGAGAAGGGTAAACACAGTACTCCTCTGATATTTCAGGAACTGTTTGAGCATTTGACTGCTTTTAGATCAAAGAGGACACATACTAGAATACAGCAATAATCACAAATATCTTAAAAAATCTAGAGATAAGATTATAGTCCTCACAGTTGTAGTCAATGAGATCTTTCTTTTTTGACAAGTTGTGCAAAATCTCTAAATATTTACACAAATGTCCCTGGGGAGTAAAGTGTTTACTAGAACTGTACAAAGGTCTGTGCTGGTAATGAACAGTACAACTTTAGTTTCAGATGCAAATTCATACCGTTGGTTTGATGAATATCATTAAAACAATAGAGGCTATAATTACACACATTTTTGTTTTTTGGGTTTGAGGGAAAGGCATTTCCTTTGTTTGGTTTCAATCATGAACTCTAACTCAGAAACAGAGTTTACAGTGTAAATACAAGTCAGATATTTCTGTTAAAAGAAAAAATCTATACCTGCATTTTTTAAGGCTGGGATTATCTAATCTTTTTCCCAATGACACTGGAAAAAATCAGCCTCCTTAGCGGCTCCTGCACATGCATTTATTAATGCAGGCTTAGAGCTGAAGTGCTTATGATTTTCAGCAGCCTGAACAGCTCCTGTGTTAAGTCAAGGAGTGTCGACTACGGTCCTTCATGATCACCTTACAGCACTGGATTATACCACTTTTTGCGGGGGCATGTTATTTTAATGGGTAAAGTAAAATGAGACCCTTAAATTAGGGATAAAAGTCTCCAGCTCTAGTCTCAATTTGTTATCGCTGTATCCCATCTCCATAGCGAACAGCGTGTCAGAGTCTTTGGAGGAGTCTGCAGCAGCGTACACCAAAGCCACAGCCAAGAAGTGCATCTTAGAGAAAGTCGACGTCAAAACCGGAGAGGAATCAGAAAGCAACGTTTTACAGGTAGAAGCGGGCTTTCTTCATCCAACTCTTCATTCTCTTCATCCTAAATAAAACTTAAAGTACTCCTTTATTGTCACCTTTACGCTCCAGATGCAGTGCAAGTTATATGTTTTTGAGAAGACGGCTCAGTCGTGGATAGAGAGAGGGCGAGGTTTGCTGAGGCTCAACGACATGGCGTCAACAGACGACGGCACGCTACAGTCTCGTCTAGGTAAGAACACAGACAGACAGACACAGAAAAAGTAAACAGAAGTTACTGCTGGGAATGTTTCAATGGATCCATGATCACATCAAACATAGCTACAGGATAACAAGGAGTCATATTTCTCATTAAGATACTACATTTGGACCAGGGTAGGGGTTTTTAATGACTGACTTTGAACACAAGAGGGAGCCCATTACTAAGTGGTTTCCCTGTGTGGATTAAACCTGACTGCATGCTGTTAAAACACCGGGGTAAGGAGGGATTTGAAACTAAGAAAAATATCAAACACCAAAAGACTTTATGGTGAAAAGTTTAATTCATTTTTTGTAAACTTTTTATGACCCTTTTATTCCAGATTTACTAGATTTACCTGTATCATAGTTTCTATGCTGATATACAAATAACCAGTACGGTTAAGTCTTGGTAAACACATCTTCAGTCACCTTGGATAATAGCCTTATCGGTTTTGTCTTATCGTTGTAACACAGCTCATTAAACAAACATGGTACCACACAAAAGAGCTACACTGACCTGTTTGTTCACTCACCTGTGTTTGTGTCTAAACCCTTCAAGTGATGAGGACCCAGGGCAGCCTCCGGTTGATCCTCAACACTAAACTTTGGCCCCAGATGCAGGTGGACAAGGCCAGCGAGAAGAGTGTACGAATCACTGCCATGGACACAGAGGACCAGGGGGTCAAGGTCTTCCTAATATCTGTATGTATCAGCCAAAATGTCTAAGACCTTGTTCTCCTATTAAAGGGAAAGTTATTTTTGATGAGCTTGATCGAACATTTGCTGGGATAGAATTTGAAAGCTTTTTCTTAACTTCACCTTAATTGTTTTATGGCAAGACATTACAGCAGCTTAGCTACCCATCTGTGAGAAAGGACAGGGTTTTAAAAGCCAAAGAATCTGCACAGTGATCAGTCCACTCCTGTGGCCTCATCTCAAGAAAAAAACCTTTTGGGACAGTTACGGTGGATAGTTTAATAATTTTACAGGCAGTGGCCTTTTGAACACCTGGAATTTTTTGAATCACAGTATTTAAATTCATCACATTTATTATTTGATCATTTGAGATAGGCTGATGTTGGAGAGAGAGAGAGGAACCTGTATTTTTCTATTGTTTACTCTGCTGGTAAGATTTCTGTTTTTCTTGTCTCATTCTTTTTAAATTTGCTGCGTTTGTGTTTATCGGGGTACATGAAATGTCAAAGGCTATGCTCACACTGCAGGTCAATTCTAATTTTTTTAACATGTGTGACACATATCTGATTTTTTCATGTAAGTGTGAACAGTGCAATTCAGATTTTTTCAAATATCCGACCCAGGCCTGTTTTGTATGTGGATATAAATCGAATATGTATCCGATGTGACTGCAGTGTGGACGCTCAGGTCGCGTTCATCCGACCTATACGTCATCAGTATGCGACAAACGTCACTATTGTGGGTCACTTCACGGATGCATTCCGTTCACATTAGATGTTGTTATGTAAACAACCGCACAAAAAGATCGAATTTAACAAAAAACCCGAATTGTGCATCATAACCTGCCGTGTGAACGTAGCCAAAGTCGTGCAGTACTGTTTCACATCAAGAGCCTCATAGAAGCTTGAAGCGTGTAACGGTCTTTTGATTAGCGGCTCACTATGAAACATATCTATGTAGCTATGTACTGAAACGCTGAAATCTCATGTTATCCTGACTGTATATCATGTGGACTGATTGGTCTCTCCCTCTGTGTCTGTTGTCTTCAGGGTAGCTCTAAGGATGTAGGTCAGCTGGCTGCAGCGTTACATCACCGTATCTTAGCCCTGAAGAGCAGGGCGGAACAGGAGCCCGAGACCCCAGCAACAACCATCCCCGACACTGAGGTACCGCAGTCCAACGAGGAGGACAGCGACGAGGAGGACAATGCCTCTGCCTCAGCTTCAGCCTCCACTCCTGCTACGAGTCAGTGATTTTTATTGTTAGCGTGTGGGTTTATTGCTGCTTTTTTGCTTGTTGGTACCACATCAGCAGTTTGTCTCGTGATATATATCCAAACCGCTCGCCTACATAACTCCTGTCAACCTGCTGTCACTTCTCCCCCTGCAGGTAATTCAGAGGGAGGAGAGAGCCAGGCAGCAGGAAGCACATAGCGTCACTCTTGGACAGCCTACTTAGATGCTGTTGTTGAGGCATTTTGCTGTAGGCATCTCCATGGACACCCCTTGACCAACATGGGTCCTCCAGACCAGTACTTTTGGATATTAGAAGTCTAGCTCCAGGAAATAACCCCTTGTGCCGGAGTGTCTCACCCAACTCGTGCAGTCCATCTTCTCTGCATTCAGCGTAATATCTGGAGTCGTTTCTTCCCTCCCTCTCCTGTTTTGTGTTTTATTTTTGTTTTCGAGTACTTTTTCCTCTCCCCGATAGCAAAAATAAAGACTTCAAAGCTTTGGTTTGGGACTTTTCTGCTCATCATATTGATGAGTGTAAGGGTGTTTTCCTCTACATTTTAAAGTATGGCACATGTTAAGACTGCAGTTTCTACTTTGGGACCTTTTTACTCACTCTACAGTCGTACCTCTGGACGCCACACATCCAGAGGAGCTTCATTCACAGTGTATTTGACTAGTCATCAGTCAGCTGTTACTGCATCAATTCCAACCCTCCTCTTCCTCCTGCCTCCATCCCAACCAGCCCGTGCGTTTAGGTTTTGGCAAATGTAATTTATTTTGGATCATCATCTTCATAAGGTATCTCGACACATATGTGCTGTTTGTAATGGCTAGCCAAGACCACTCAAGTTGTCATTAATAGCAGTTTCTTATATTTCCTATTGACCTATATTATACTGAATAAAAGACTGAAACAAAGCAGTTGCTGCTTATGTGAGTTAATGATGTGATGACAGAGGAGCAGGAGTCACCTCAAAATTTGTTTTTCTATCAAATTAATAAGACTTGTTTGCCATTCACTTTGTGTTTCTATCTTCTTTTCAAAATCAAACGTTTCTCACAGTCTTCGTTCTGCATGAAACTGTTGTTTCTGTTTTTTTTTTTTTCTTTTAGCATCCCAAGAGTTTACTGTGTTGATACATATTTTTTATTTTGAAAATATACAAACTTTTTATCCATTTACATTTGGAGAACATATTGGAATGAAGATTTAAGTTCATGTGTGGAAAATTTGAGTGATAACTGTAATACCTTTTTGAATGTCATGTACATTTGAATATATCATTTAGTAGCGCACCATGTTTTTCTCATCTCCTCCAACTGCCCCCTTTACAAAATAAACCATTTTGGACTGACATCTGGGATTTAATTTCCTTCTGAAACCCTTTTATTCTGAGCCACATCCATACCTAACACTCAGTAGCGTGTGGTATCATTTGACATTGTCTTCTGTGGATGTTTTCAATCGAGACAACACCTTGGAAAAAAGGGAGACTGGTTCATCTGTTTTGTATTCATGTGTCAGATCTGGCCCGCAGGTTGATGTATGCTGTGCTCTGACTGCATTGAGCAGGAATCAGACCAGAACTTGTTTATACACAGTACGCATCACACACAAGTCCATGAATATTTGATGCCTGTACCTATCATAACAACCCAATGCAATCTTTTACATCCAAAGCAGGAACATAAACGCTACCTCTACCCAACCTCTGCTTATCTGACTTTTTGTGATGACTCATGGGGGGAGTATTTCTTGTCGTTTTCCCTGCAAATGACTGCAGCGGTGTAATGACAGCCCCCCAAAATAATAAAATCTGACCTTAGATGTTGGGTTGGTGTAGACATATATATTGATCTGCATAAGTTAGTGGGTTTATTTCAGCCGCAGCCTTGAAAACTTCTGTTTTGCCATACTTCACTGAGCTTCTCTGAGCAGCTGCCTGAAATAAAGTTCTGCATACAGGTCTGCAAACAAGCAAGTAAACTTTATTTATACAAGGCTTATCTAAACAAAACTCACAAAATGCTTTACGGGAAAAAGAAACGTGGGATAGGAGAGAGCAAGCATTGAGGTGTACAACCTACAATATCCTAAAAACAACAGAAAGCCAGAGAAAATAAATATGTCAACACACTGTTCCAGATTTCAGGAGTAACAATAGCAAAAGCACAATCATTTTTAATTTTCAACCTTGGGCAGCCTGAAGTCTCTGCTCTGAGGCGGGCACAGATATTCTCTCAGGTACAGAGAGCTTGGCTGAGTCTAATACTGTACACTGTTTATCATTTCTGAGTCAGATCTGAGGCCAAGAATGAATGTGACGTTATTCAAACTCAAAAATGATCATACTCGGGTTGGTCTGTGTCTGATGCCTTTATCTAACATTTCTTCAGTGATGATTCCACACAGCTAATGCGACACAATGTAAACAGTTTACAGTGTCAGGCTAAATGGGTTTATGAGTAAAACTAGAAGAAACACTGAGGGTCCGACTTTGAATCCTGGTAGAGCCCAAGAATGATGATGTTACAATGTGACGAACAGACAAACAAGCAGGCCGAGTCTCAATGAAACAATAAGATCATTTAAAGCAAAACTTAATTTAAGGTCAACAAACTGTGTTGACTTGAAAGGAACAAAAAGCGCTCTTTAGTTAGGGATCTGCTCTTTAAAAAAACATGTAACTCAGTGATTTATTATCATGACTTTTTAAAATTGAGTTTATTGACATCCTTGATTTGATTATTTTAAATTTACCATCAAGAAATCAGGTCTGGTAGCAGGGATGATTTCCACCTTAAGACAAACAACTTCTTGTTACCCGTAAAAACAACATTAGTGTTTGAGAGTGTGCAGCCAACATCCTTCAAATCAATTTGGGACCACTTGTAGCAGCCCCAGCCTCGGGCGTTGTAGTCATCATCATCATCATCATCATCATCATCATTTATTTCCACTCCTGGAAAACACATAACAGGAGGAACCTTCACACATTCACACAGAGAGGATGCAGATCTAGGTCTGATTTATTTCACATTGTTCATATTGTTTTACATATTCTCCCACATGAATAGTCTTGGAGTAAAGGTGACACAGATACAGAAATAAACTGTCGAAATCTGAATAGTTGACAATATCCAGGGGGGTCACCTGTCAAAATCTCACTTTTAAATTGAAGTGAAATATTAGACGTGTGGTTTTCTACCACTGTGGGAACTCTACTGGTGCTCTTATTTCACATAAACTTGATGGAAACTCCACCCAGTCCAGTCCCCACAGTGGGATGTTAACCATAGTCACAGGTCAAACACACAGAGTGGAGCAGACTCCTCTCTGTTTTACATCTACTGCTTCCCAGGAAGAAAGATTCTTATAATCATTTTAATCAATAACAGAGCTAAAAGAAACTAAAAGAAAATAAGCAACTCATGTCTTATATAAAAAGGTTTCCACATCCTTTTTTTTTTCACTATGAGGGGACCAGCAGACCCCCTCACCTCCATCGCCACCTCTCCTCGTTTTGTAAATGACTTACGGTGTGATTTGTATCCCTTTATAATTTCTATGTTTCTGCTTCTACATCTGTCCCGAGGTAAGGTTGTCACAACAGTTTGTAATGAATCGCACATGGTGTCACACTAATGTTTTTCCTCTGTTATACTGAGATCAAATAAAGATTTTTCTCCTCACAGGAAGAGGTTAGCCCAGCAGTATTAAAAGGAAACCCCAAACACTCCCCTTCCACTCCTCTTGGAGTCTTTGTTGATTTATACAGCTTAGAGGCTTTCTTTCCTCAAAAAGTTGTTACGTAGGAAACTCGAGACCTAAATAAACAAACAATGACCCAGCAGAAAAAAGAGGAGAGGTACAGTTGGTCGAATATTCAGAGGTGGTCTTACCTGTTCGGCAGAAGCCTGTTGCATAGTAACCTGGCTGTTTTTCTGAATCATGGCGTTCCTTTTATGCGTGCCTAAGGCGTGAAGGTCGTATAGGGATAACAATTACCACAGTAACAGCATAAGCACCATGGGTTGTTAGAAGCAGCAATTTAAGGCAAATATTTGTGGTTTATGGCAGCAGTTAACACGCTCTATCAAACAGGGAAAGATGCCTATCAGGGGAGGATGGGAAACTCCACGTGACTAAGAAAAGGTTGTACCATTTAGGGTTTTTGTTTGTATGTTTTTGTATTTCTTTGTACTCAGGGTGGAAACTTTGGTCTGTTGGACTTTTGGTCAGATTGTCACTCGGTCTGAAAACAATTGAATTACGTTTGATGGATTGCCGTGACATTTTGTTCGAGCATTCACAGGTTCCAGACAATGAATCCTAAATGCTTCTGTGATTTCCTGACATTTTTCTTGAGGTTTTTGGGAGAAATGTTTGAAGAATAAGACATTTGGTAAAGTCACTCACGTCTTAGTCAGAATGAGTTGTAAGAACTTCGATAACCCGAAGACCTTTTACCCACCGACAAGTCAAAAGTACTGCGCTCTTCTTCCATAGCTTGTCTTTGGGTCACTTTGATACTGTTATCCAAAAATACCAATCTATATGAAATGAATTTATCATAATTATTGTAATTATCTCTCATCAAAAATAGCATGAAAGCAACCGCTGAATGTTAATAGTCCCCGCCCTGCCCCAGTTTGGAGCAAGTTACAAACAAAATGGGAACTCCACTGAAAAAGCATGACTTTTTACTGCTGGTGGTACTTTAATGCGAGTCTGTAAATGGTTATAATGCTCTTTGTTGTAGTGGCTCAAACAAAATGTTCTCCTCGGTTTCTGCACAGAATTAATCTGCATGGTGTTTGGGTGAAGGATGAATATTCAGTGTTTTTCTGCCCTTTAAATGACACACCAAAGAAACGGCATTACTTCAGACCAGGTGGGAGCTGTTGTAAAGTGATACCCTTCAGTTGCAGCAGCTCCTGAATTGCAGTAGACCTGGATAGCTTTCAAGCCTATACATGTCATGATGTCAGAATGAGAAGCAGCTAATATGCATTGTTAAAAAAAAAGTAAAAGCCCAGGAATGAACCACCGCTATGTCGTTACTCAAACAACTCCTTTTAAGAGTCCCTTCAAGAGAACAAATTACACCTGCTAACTCCAAACTCATTCTTCTTCTTCTCCTCTGCACAGATAGCCAAAGTCAGTGATTTCTCACAGAGGAGTGCAAAATTGAAATTTTCGCCCGAGACGCTACATTTTTAAGACTTGTTGTCACCTGCAAACTGAAGCTTGTTTACCATAGGCAGGTCTGTAAATGAGTCATGCAGTCCTAATCTCAGGGGAAGTTTTAGGACGTTTATAGGACGATCATGTCAGAGTGGATGAAAGGGGGGAGTCGATAAAAGATAGTGTTGAAAATACTTGAACGAAGAATTTGAGGAATGCTCCAATGGAAAGGGGGAGTAGTGTTTTTATATAAGTGAGCAAGAGTAAATCAAGTCATGCTATATTCTCCCTCTGAGCTGCTTGGGTAAACAGCAGGTAAAACATAAAATTCTCACATCAAAACCCAAGAAACACTTGGATCAGCCCCCGTAAAGAGGCCGAATATAAATCTCAGATTTTATTCTTCCTTACAAGGAGAAGAGTCCTTCCTAAGAGGGCTGGTGGAAGAAGTCACTGTTTCCTCCATGAAGCATTTACAGGAAACCAAATGGAAATGTACAGTAGTGAGATTACAAACAGGAATAATGGAGGAGCGTGACGTGGATTTCTATGGTCTGAACGTCAGTCCATGTATAAATAAATAAATTTCTCCAAAGTCAGTCATGGCCTCACACTCGCACTGATTGTAGTCTGAGTGTTGACTCTAAACAGACAGACACCAGAAACAAAATGTTTTGTCTTTTAACCACGCGCTGGGATTGTGGGCGCATTTGTCCGATGACTACACATGAAAATTTGTAAAGTCAGTTGAAATAGTCATTTTTCTGACTACATTTCTCTTTCACAAAACAGAAAGGCAAAGAAAGTGCTCTGAGCAATTTGTGACGAGTTTCAAAAGTGGATTACAGTTGGCTGTTTTCATGGAGTGATAATTACAGCAATTTTTGACAACTTATCTTTCCCCTCTACCAAACATGTATTTCATATTAAATGTAACTACAAGTCCTCCCAGTATTTTGTTATAAATGACTCTAAATGCTCCCTGCAGGCCAGCAGTGTTAGCAGATACCCAGGAGGCCCAAACTGTGAAAGGATCCACGGCCCACGTTCATTTTGCTCTGCTGATTTTTGGTGTTTAGCCTTTAAATCTACTGGGGAAGAATCACTCCAGCGGAAAGGGGTGAACATTTTCCTCTTTAATGTCAATTTTATGTGTTTTTAGAGCGCAT